ATTTCTATATACAGTTTGTTTTAAGACCTTGGCTCGTGAGTGCTTGGATGACTGCGTGAATTTCCACCGAACCAAATGCCCCTGCGTAAGTCTTCGTACTGGCTGTAGTATCGATAAGGCATTCACATTTTCCAGAACAGGGTTGAGAATATGTGTGGTGGTCACTCTGTAAACACACACACGCTACACAGTACCTACCAGAGCGGGGTCATTGATAACCCTGACCAAGACCCCGCCTGAGGGGTGGAGGCTGTGGAGTGTGTGTGTGTGTGATCCCCCAGAACCCTGCCCCTAGGCAGAAAGCGGGATAAACAAACACAGATCGGTTGGACTACCTGTGGCCAGAACCCCTCCTGAGGGGAGGGGGCTGTGGGGGATCTGTGATCCCTCAGAACCCCGCCCCTCGGTGGGGAATCCTATAAAAGGCGGGCTCCTGAGAGCAGAGTTCAGTTCGCCTCAAGCCGAAGTCGAGGAGCCACCTGGAGACGAGACCCTGGACCCCAAGCCCTGACGCCCTTCTAAGGACCGGGGCTCAGTGCGGTGCCAGAGGTCGAGAGGCTAGGACCCTGAGGTTCCCTCAGCCCGACGTCCTTCTGAGGGCCGGGTCTGGACGGGCCAGTGGTCAGAGACCCACCGGTGCCAGTGGTGGGTCAGCCTCCTTAGCTCCAGCCAGCCGGAGGGCTATAGGAGTAGGTCAGTTGCGAGGATAGATAGCCCGGAGGCTGTACCTCCACAGGTTGTGGGTGGAAGGGGCCATTACCCCTTCATGTTAAGTCCTAGTGAGTGTTGTTAAAGAGATAAATAAAACGTGTTGCTTCCTACTACGACTCCGTCTCCATACACGACTACTGCATATGTATGCGGGTCATAGAAAGATGCTGGGTTTAAGCCGGATTGCTCATGCGATGTCGGTGATTGGCCTCTGGGTTGTCCATTATTTGGATTCCTCACTGAGCTTTGTCAACAGTGGAGGACCAGGAGGTGGTCTGTACGTCTTGAGACATCAGTTTTGTATCTCTTTTGTATAAATAAACTCAGTGGTTCGCAAACTTTCTTAGCTACTGTACCCACCCCCCTCCCCCCCTTGTTTAATTTAGTTTAAACCAAGTACCCCTTTGCCTGACCCAACATGGTTCTGAGAAATACATCTATGAGTAATGAACATTCATATTTTAACCAATTGGTAATTTTGTCCTTTCCAGCGAGTACCTGCAAGCGAATAAAATAAATCTACGGACAACTCGCGCACGCGTGACGTCGTTTGTTTACGCTGCACGGTTCCTGTTGGCAAACACGTTGCTTACGATCAGCGAGTTTAGAAAGGTTTTTCATATCGTTCTCGGTTAACGTATGGCTTTAAAATGTTATCGTAGTTATTTATATTTGACAGATTCATACACGATTATTCACGAATGACTCGTGCGTTATATAGTTTCACGCATTTATCGATCACCTCCCGTACCCCCTGGGACACTGCCACTCACCCACAGGGGTCTGCCTCGTGCCCCCGGCTGAGAGCCGCTGTCACAGGCCAACGATTGAGGCATCACTCCACAACAGATAGATTTTATTTCCGTGTAAACGTTTAGTCAATGGGTCCTTCTGATATGATCCAACAGCTGGGTCACGCTTTTTTGATCATGTCCACACACCTATTCCATCTGGCGCAGGAGCTTTTTTTAAGTTTTTTCACACTGAAAGGTTTTGGTTTACCCCTCAAGGTGTGACATCTGGAACCTTCTGCTGATAACCTGAAAAAAACCGATGAATGATTCGTTTCCTGGGATACGTGAATATATGTTTTTGATATGTAGATTTACGTGGAATTGATTATATGAATACGCATACATTTATCAAGCACACATTTCCACGAAAAGGAAATAAATCAACTTTCAGTCGAGACTCGGGGGTTGTGCGGAGCCAGGCTTAGGTTAACTAAACTAAAAATACACTTTTTATTTTACCAGATAAAGCCCAATGAGCTATATAACTCTTTTTCAGAAGCCACCTGGCCACAAATGATAGCCCAACGAAGTGGCTTATCACGTGTACATTTATAGCAGCCAAATCATCGAAACGCATGTCGATTCTAAATACAGAGTGTTAGAAACTGGAGGACCAGGAGAAACATCCACACGACCACGGGGAGAGAGACACCGCAATCGTCAGCGTCAGGATCAGGATCGAACCTACGACCTCCTGCATACTAGGCGAGGGAGATAACATCTCACCTACCGCGACGTTCTATCTCATAGCCCCGAGGACACAGCTCGATTGGCCTTCACCCCTCGCTTACAACGTGGTGGTGGTGGTGGCTTTGCTTGTGCTGTGTGCGTGGGGCGGGATGCGACTCCACAACGAATGGAGCCGCTACAGAGAAACGGCGTCGCTCTGCCAGGAGGACACCCCCAGTGCTGGTGAGGGAGTCGCGAGCGGGGTGAGGGATGAGTGAGCTCCGTGGTCCACGGGGACCCACTGCGCCCCCGGTGTCGAGGACGACCAAGTGATGCGGAATATCGTCGCTGGGTTCGTGATATTGTCTCTGTCACTCACCTCCGAACGTGTACAGGGAGTTGAACTTCTTTCGTACCGTGCTAATCGGAGGTGCGGGCGAAGGACAACAAACTAAACACTACAAGCAGCTGTAATTAAATTAGTTTTCGATCGAGATTTTAAAGTGCATAGCTCCAGTGGCTTCCCAATATTGGAAGAGCGTTCCAGACGGCCGCCGACGGGCATCTGGAAGCGCGCGATGATGATGATGATGCAGTGACTGGCTGAGCCAGAAGCCGCTGCTGCGTTGATGATGGTGCTTTATGTTTCTTGGCGATATCAGCAAGGTGTTGCAGTCCATTTGTGGCAAGCACTTTGTGTATAATGAGTGCGCGACCTTTTTATAATGTATCTGTTGGCACGGTTGGCTCCGTAGGGGTGCGAAATAAGTTCACCCTTCATACATCACGAGCAATGGCTCCGCTTTGCTCTGCGAGGCACGACTATCTGTAAGATGTACGACCATCATCTTCCCCTGTTCGCTCTCTCTTCCTCTTCTGTGTGAATGTGCCCTTTTTGTTTTAATCCTGGCAGCTTCAATCGCTGTTGCAATGTGCACTCGAATTTCTTTCCTCATTCTTTCCCGCACCATTCTGGGTGTTGCACGCTTTGTTGGGTTATTTGTCCATTGAAATAAAATGGCAAACAGAATACGTGGAGAGCGGTGTGTGCGTGTGTGGAAGGTGGTGTAGGATCAGCGCACTGCGTTACGAACCCGGTGACCCGAGTTCGATTCCCGCTCACGGCCAACACCGTTGACGATTATCTGAACCGGTCCTGGGCCTCCTCTAGGTCGACTCAGCCTCAAATGAGTACCTGGTGCGGTGTGTAAACATCGCCACTGGGGAGACAAAGGCGGCCGGGCGTGGTGCTGACCACCCACCCCCTCGTGTACCGTTCCCGCCTTCACAGGTGCTACTCGCTAACAGCACTTGCCCCAACAATCGGTTCAGGCTATACGGGGGATCTTTGTCTTTTTTTGGTCTTTGCATTTGGAATTCAAGAGGCTCGCACCAGCGTCATCCCAGCAGTCCTCACTCAACCGCAGTTTGTAGAGACGAGAATTATAGCTCGTCTCCCGCTTGTAATATAATACAAGTTGCATTTATTCTCAGAGTCGTAAGATTAGGGAGGCGTAATTGTACCTTAGTTGATTCGTGGGTGCACGGCTTTACAAAAAGGCAAAGGCGCAGCCCTGAAATTGCTTCATCACGACACTGCTGGTGGAAGGGTCGCCACTACAGAGGGTCTTTTCAGGGGCGAAATTCTTGTTGGGGGTCAGTGGCAGCGTTGCACAGCCCCCCATTGTAATAGAGTCGTTGTGCCCCTGGGAATGTTGGCCTACTCTTCCATGCTGTCCGGATGTCTTGTAAGAGGTGGGAGTACCCACACTTTACCCCACCACACGTGGCATACCGGTCGACTGACCTGCGGTGTACCCAGTTAAATTGCTGGGTGAACATTGTATCGATATGCGCATTCAGGAACATCGCTTTACAACTGCCTATAATCATCTGCAACGTTCACGCACATTGGTACACGCGTACTATTGGGACGAGTTTTTGAATGCAAATTTCGTATTTTGTGTTATAATGTTTTATCTTTTGACGAATGTTTTGGATCCGTTGACGTTATTTAGTTAGCGAATGTGTCTTCGTGCAAACAAAAGTGACGCCATCATGTCGTACGATCAGATAACGATCGCAACATTTTACATCTGGGCCCAATTTTTCCCTTCGGGTTTTTGGCGGATTAATCCAAAAAATCAAGAGCACATCCCCGGTGCACAACATGGGTTACCTCTCGGAGGGCCTCCGACTCAAGTTTGAATCTGCGTTGTAAAGATGACGATGATGATGATAACGATGAAACACTTGGAGATGATGTCCACAAGTTGCCCTGCGGCGAGTAGGGCTAGCCGTGCTCCTCCTCCTCGCCCAGGGCTCCACAGCCTGCGGCTCCGGAGCCGCGTGCGGGAACCTTTAAGGGCCGCTTCGCGACGTTGTTTGTAAGGGACCACAGTCTCGTATCCACGTGCACTGCAGCTCTTGAAATATTGAGTTTTGTTTTTAGCGAATTCGAAAAAAAATTCACTTCTTGTTATGTCGGCTACCAACCCCACGCTCTAAACGTGTCGCACACCCCCCCCCACCCGCCCCCCGCAGCGCCCATCATGATGGGCAGGGTGAGCTGTTCTTCAAACCAAACAACGCCGGTGGAAGTCACGGACACCGCCTGGACCAGCTTGTCCTCAGTGGCCGGGGGAACCGAACATTCCCCTACGGCCACTCCCAGCAGCATGGCCCCGAACACGGCCACGGCCACCGCTGGCTCCGGCAGGAACGCAACCACGACCACAACCACCGCCACTACCGCCACCGCCGCCGCCGTCACCGCCACTACCGCCACCAACGCCACGACCGCCAACACCGCCACCACCACCGCCGCCACCACCACCACCGCCGCCGCCGCCACCGCCACTATCGCCACCAACGCCATGACCGCCAACACCGCCACCACCGCCGCCACCACCGCCGTGACGGCTGCAACGGTGACGGCGGCTGTGGCTCCCGGCGCTAACACCGTCTGGGGATCTGCAGGCGGTGGGTGCCACGACTGAGAGCGATTTGTCGTTTGTTGTCCTTCCCCCCCCCCGCACCTCCGATTTGCACGGTCGGCCACGCACGATGAGAAATAAGTTCGACATACACACGCGGACATTCATCGCTTCGTGAATTTATTCATTTCATTTTGTTAGTTAATTAATTCATGCTTTCTCGTTTGAAATGCAAGGCGTTGGTGGCCCTGCAAGGTTATTGCTCGCGCTGCTCTCCGACGCAGTCAATCGTCATCCTTCTGCGGCACTCGATGGAACGAGTGCCGATTTGTTTTATTTTCGGGAAGGCCGACGGCGACCGTGCCATGGGGGGTTGATCCGAGGCGTTCCCTCGCTTGTGGCCGCCTCCACTCTAAATCCAACCTCTCCGCGGTGTCTGCTCAAGGCTGCCGTCGTCACGTGCTCTGAAATTGCTAAAAGACAGAAAGAGAGGCGTTTCGATCTGCAGCGTGGTGGTTGACCGCAGTGTGGATGAGACACAGCTGTAAGGGGTCAAGCTTTAGCGCTGCAATCGCCTGCTCACGCTGCTGCTGGAGGGAGGGCCTCCTGCAGAGGGAGCTTGAGATGGTCCCACTGGGAGGTGTTTGGTCTCCTCTTCCGTCCTGGCCAGACGTTCTGGACGAGGTGGTAGTGCCCCTCACTGTGTCCCACCACACCACGACCTTCCAATCAACCAACTGCTCTACCCATCCGTGCACTGCCGGAAGGACGGAGGCAGTGGTCTGTGGTTCAGCTGCCGCGCCCGGAGACAGAACCAGCCACCTCTGGATTTGCAGGTCCAGTGAAATAAATGAAATGACCCGAAAAGTGTGATGCGGGTACATTTAAAATTATGAACATTGCAGTCTTTGGTGTAAACTCTTAGCGTTTAAAACTTGGCGATGCTCTTCACTAACCCGCACTGACCGGCGTGGTGAAGTATGGTCAAACGGGCCATGACCGACAATGCGTGGGAAGGCCTTCATCCAGCAGTAGATTGATGTGTCCGATTTCAAGTTCTCTGGGGCTCGTTCCAAATGAGAGTGCGGCACAGGGGAAGTCTAACTCGGTAAACACATCCCTGGCATCAATACGATTACTCAAGGTCAACGCTAATCTGATGGCTGCGCGTCTCATTCCAGTGTTGAGTGGCCAACGGAACTTGCAGACAGTGGTTTACGTTTGTCTGCATTGCCCTCTAGCTGTCGGTACTTGGAAATGCATTCTAGAAGCGACCTGGCTGCAACTAAAAGCACAACGAAGTTGGTATTCACATGGCAATCTATAGCAGCAGGCAAATAGTGTAAACGCGTGCTGATTGTAAACACGGAGGGAAATACTGGAGGATACGGAGAAAAATCCACGCGACCGCGGGAAAATCATTGTGAACGCTTGCCTTGAAATATAAAATATCAACAACAATAATAATAACAGGCGATGTTTTCGGGCAGTGTCGCTTACCGTTGTCTAGTGCTCACAGAGAGCCCACTGCCCGAAACGTCTGCTATTATCGATATAGTTTATAGTTGAACACGCCAGCTTTCACGACCAATAATATCCATAATAAAGGTATTTTTTTTAGTTAGATCGCATAAATATATAAATATAAAAGTGTCGTTCAACCCGCCACCACCTGACAACCAATTTGTAAGGTTTGTCACGTAAACAAAACGTGCCAATTAGTTACTAACCCTAACCCAGCGGTGTGCTGAACCAGTAACTAATTGGCACGTTTTGGTAACGTGACAACCCTTACTAAATGACTGCTTGGACTACAACAAGTTGTTCATTTACCCACGGCTCGTGCGTCTGTTTCCCCGATTTCGCATGAACAAAACCATTTCCACTAGTGCTGGCCGCAGGCCACGTGTGCCTCGTTCACTTCGTTCTGACACCAGGACGCTTGGGTTATGCCCATTTTAAACCTTTCAAACAGCTCGCCTTCAGTGGCTTTTTTCCCGTTTTTCCACCAGATGACGGTCGCTTGTGTTGCGATCTAAAGGTCGTGGTTTCTTGTTTATTTTTATTTGTTAACCAATATACGTGAATTTACCGAAAGACCCAAAGAATATGAATTCCTGCAGTCACGAAAGCTTCAAGTCTTTATTATATACATATATAGTTTTCCTTTTTGATGAATGTGTGGAGTTTATGTTAGTTGTGTTTGTATATTACTGCCCACGCAGTGTAAAAAATATATAATTTGTATTAAGTAGGGGTTGCTGCGAAATGGTTTTTCATGATACAGTACAACATCTCGCAGTGGGGAGATGTTAACTACCTCGCCAGATATACAGGAGGTCCTAGGTTCAACCCCAACCCTGACGCCTGCCATATGGTTGGTGTTTGCATGTTCTCCCCTTGGTTGCGTGGATTTTGACCTCATTTAGAAACAAGCTTTTAGATGATTTTTCTCTGGGACATTTTCAAATCATGAGCCACATCATTGAGGTATCATTTGTGGCCAGGTCGCTTCTGAAAAAGAGTTATATTGCTCAGTGGGCCTTTCCCGGTAAAATAAAAAATTGTTAGTAGTTAAAAAAATTTTTTATTTTGATGACAATTATCGCCATGTGAGTGTTCCATAACTTTCTAAATTAAATACTAGACAAACAAAATTGTGTTTGCCAAGTATTTGTGCATTTGCTCTACCCCCAGTACTAGTTGTTCAACTGCAGCTCACTCAACGTTAGCCTATAATATACATTCCCAACATTCCAATATAAACAACCCATTAACGTTTAATAACGCACACCTGCGCTAATATACACGGAGAATAAACAAATCATCAAATAAACATTGAAAAATATCGCGGTCACATGCCACGCTGCCAATTGCTCTAAAAAACAAGCAAAGCACAAATGGATAATAAACTCCGTATTTATTTTAACAGAACTCTCATTCTTGTTCATGATTAATTCCGAAATATTTTGCCAGGAAATGACACGAGGTTAAAAGTTTAACGAGCAACGATACCCGCATACAATGTCGCAACAACCCCTACACTTCAGTGTCCGTGTGCGATTGTGTGGACTCTTAGCTCAGAACACCGAGGTACGATTCTTGGCCAGGGCTGTTGAAGCCTGCGAGCACAGTGTGTGCCACGTGACACCGCCTTGATTTCGTCTCTTCAACACAACACGTGCGCTTGCCTTCCAGGTTCAAACGGAAGCGCTGGATTCTATTGCCAGAAGATGTCCTGCGCTGGAGAAAACTGCTACCAGAACAAGACGTTTCTACAATACAATGAGACGTGCATGAGTTCAAATCCCATGTGCTGGGTGAGTGACGCGTACTCAACCAACTTGTACCTCCGAACCCTTGCGCCAGGCCAATCATCACCTCCAGCATTGATTTTGTGAACGAAATCAGCCGCGTGAATATTTGTATGCGCGTATGCTGAACTTCTTACCCACCGTACGTACCCAACCGTGCTAATCGGACGCAAAGCTGATCAGTGACAATAGTTGAAAGTGGTAATGGCCACCTTGCTTGAGAGTGGTTGATAAAGATGCAGATTGAGTTAACTCTGAACCAATAATTCAAATACATTTTTCCAATATAATGATTACTACGAAAACAATACCGAATAGTCGAATAACAAGAATCGGAGGTGCAGGACGAAGGACGACAAAGTAAACACTAAAAGATGTTCTAATGATATTAGTTTGTCAATCTCCATGAATTAAAAGTGCATAGCTCCAGTGGCTTCCTAATATATCGGAAGGAAGAGCGTTCCAGACGGCTATACAGAAGCGCATCTGAAAGTGCGCGTTGCGATGACCGCCTTTGTTGGACGACCGGCCAAAAGCCGCTCTGAACAAAGTGCCCTCCTCCGGTTGAGTCGACGGCGACGACGTTGACGTTGATGACCCCGCAGCGCCGAGTGGAGCGTGCCCGACCGTGACGAGACGAGAGCTGTTCTGTTCGTGCGTACGGCAATACGTCTGGGATCTGGCGGGGGCAGTGAGGCTGGGGGTAAAAAACTGTTGGCGATGGGTCGTGGTGGCAGTAGTGGTTGTGGCATCGTACTGAAAACGAATTTATTTAGAACTGACCTTTTGTGTTTAGTTTGTTCTCCTTCCCCAGCACCTCAGATTATCATTGTTTGTATGCGTATGGTGCAAAAAAAAGTTGAACACGCATACATCGGCTGCTTTGGTCACGACATCTCGGTCTTAAATCGACGCCTCCTCATTACGCTCCTCATTTCAATGCAGTTTTTGCGCTCGACGGAGGGAACTGCTGTGAACTACACCTCAGGCTGCGTGTCCAACAACTTAAACGCCACGTGGTGCACCGCGTCGGGCACAGCGTCCAGGTGCATCGTGGAGTGCTGCAACACCAGCCTGTGTCTCAACTTCCCGGCACCACCCACCACCGCAGCCACCACCAGTAAGAGAGACTCGCCGTGCGTTCTTGCGTCAAAATCAGAATTTTTATTTTCATCTCCGCATTTATAAACGTGCATTTAGATGACAGTATTTGGATTATTTTGCTGCTATACATTTTCACACGATAAGCCGCTTTGTTGAGCTATCCTTTACGGCCAGGTCGCTACTGCAGAAATAACTCTCTAGATCAGTGGGCCTGGGACTTCAGTCTCCAGGGACTGCGAGCTCCAGAGCCTGGGCGCCGTGTGGACAAAATCTCGGTGGGGATCACAGAGGAGGGTCGGAGCCCGGACCACTGTCACGCTGAGTCGGGCGCGCTCGGTGAATCTCGGTGGAGCGTGTGGGCCCCCATCAACTCCTGGATGTATCGTGGAGCAAGCCCCATTTAATCCCTTGAAAACAAGTAGGGGGATCTCAGCTCTGACCTCACCCTGGCCGCAATGATGGCGCGTGGCCACTCACTGATGTCGCGGTTACAGGCGTCTTGCATCGTCGATTCTGCTCTCACTTAACATTTCACACGTGTTACACATGTGCAGCTCCTTTGTCAATCCACTGCAGATCGTGAGTACCATCTCTTCACCATAATTCACAATGCGGGTCGGTGTGAAAGCGGGGAAACGGGAGAGCACGGCACAGGACGGCAAAGTATGTCGTTGCCAACAGCGTGGCCCCCTTGTGCACGTCGATGGCTCACTCATCAGACATGCGAGCAGTCTCCAGTCTCACTGCTTAGCTTGCGAGACGCGACGAGGCTGGTAGCTTTGCGGGTGATTGGGTCGTTGGCGAACGTTTGACAACATCGCTGGCTCTGCGACGGTTCACCACTTGACAAGAGTTTCTGTTCTTCAGCAACGACTGCAGTCACCACCACCAGCGAGCCGATGTCCGACGTGAGTACACTGAATCCACACCCGTTTGCACGCAGCTGTTTTTTAAGCAATGTTATGGATGGTGTTGCGGGGGGGGAATGGTGCGTGTTGATTGTGCCACATGCGAGATCCTGGGCTCAAACCCAGGCAACCGCCGTCTGTGACTGTACCGAGTTACATTGAGTGCAGTGAGCTGATGATCTCATATTTGGCTAAATTCTCTCGATGAAATAATTAAAATGTCAGTTGGACTTTTCGTGCGACCAACGTGATTACGCCCAGGGGTCAGAGCGGGTGAGAAGGGTGCTCGCCCCTCCTGCAGGGGTGGGCAGCCTGCGGCTCCGTAGCCGCATGTGGTGCCTCTTTAGGGACTGCTTCGTGACGCCATTTATTAAGGACCGTCACCGTCTCGTATTCTCACGCATTGTGGCTCTTCAAATATTGACTTTTACCGAATTCGAAAAAAATGGCTGTATCTTTGTTATTTTGGTTGCCAAACTGTGCTATCAACCGGGAGGCCCACGTTCGATTCCCACTCACGGCCAACATCAGTGACGAATGTCTGAAGCAGTCCTGGGTGCAAACATCAGCACTGGTGAAGACAAATGCGGCCGGGCGTCGTACAGGCGACCCACCCACCTTACTGTGCTGTGCCGGCCTTCATAGTTGCTCGCTAACAGCACTTACCTCAACAGTCTGTTAAAAGGCTACATGGGGGATCGTTTGTCTTTTGTGAGCAGCGTGTCTGCCAGATGTTTACCTGCAGCGGAGCTGACTGCTTCATCAAGGTCATACCTGCTCCACAGCGCTGCTACAAAAGCCAGCTGTACTGTGAGGTGAGTGAACTCCAATCGCCAAGCGTCCTTACGATGGCTGTGACTGCCTGCCAGAGACTGCAGCGCCACTCTGATGAGACGAACGGAATCCGCGTGTCTGAATGAAGATGCAGCCTGAGATCATTGGGGCACCACGTTGGTGAGATGTGAATTACCTCGCCTGGTATACAGAAGGTCGTGGGTTCGATCCCGGCACTGATGCCTGCTGTATATTTGGAGTTTGTGTGTGTCTCTCTCTCCTTGTGGTTGCATGGATTTTTCTCCGGGTCCTTCAGTTTTCCCTCCACATTTATAATCAACATGCGTACTCTTTGGTTCTATTCGTGTCTTTACCGAATAGAACCAAAGAGTATGGATCCTTGCAGTCACGAAAGATTCAAATCTAGAAATAATCAACATGCGCTTCGAGTATTTGGCTGCTATACATTTCCATATGATAAGCCACACACTTGTAATTGGTTAAGTATCATGGTTGAATAAATTAGAATAAAAAAAGTTCTGATATTTAAGAACAATTTCACATCTTTCTCCGATTTTAAAAAAAATAATTTACATCATTTGCTCACGACAATAAATCGTTGAGGAAAATAGCGGAAGTGGTTGCATAAATTGGTGAAATCACTTCCTGTGTTCGGGTCAAATCGAAAGAAACAAAAGTTAGGGATCATCCACAATTCTAGATTTGAAGCTTTCGTGACTGCAAGGATCCATACTCTTTGGTTCTATTCGGTAAAGTCACGTAGGTAAAAAATAAAACAACAAAAATCACGACGTTTTGGCCACAACACAAGCAGCCTTCATCAGGTGAAGGGACCAGGCTGTCTCGAGGACAGCGCTGGAGTATCATCCACAATGTTGTCTTGGCCTGTTTTTTTTATTTCGAATTAATCCAGAAATCGGGAGCACACCCCTAATATATACGCGTACAATACGTATACTCAGTTCACTGATTGCCTGATCTGAATATTTGTTGTGGGGCAAAATTGCTCGTCCCTATAACTAAGAGTGAACGAATTTCTTGACTGCTTTAGTCAACTACACTAAGATAATGACTAAATGCAATCCACAGACTAAGACCGTGACTGCCATTCCCCAGGGATGTGTTTAGTTTGTCGTCCTTTCCCCACACCTCCGATGAGCACGGTTGGCTACGTACGGTGTGAAAGAAGTGCAACATACATATATACATACAGGACATCGCCGAAATGTATCAGTCACCTCTGCGCTCTCAAAGCCTCCTGTTAGGACAAGGATGAAGCCGTGATGATTGAAGATGATGGTGATGCCACCCAAAATTGGCAATGTCTGCTTCCCAGTGCAGTCCGCATGATACCGCTTGGCAGAGGATACAGAGCTGTCCATTCTGTAGGAATGTGATCATGATGTAGCACAAGAGGAGCAGCAACGCAATTACTTGCCCATGTCACTGCTGGCAGAAGGGCCTCTACTGGAGGGAGCTCTGAACAGCCCCCCCCCCCCCTCCAGAGTATTTGGCCTACTCTTTCATGCTGGCCAGATGTCTAGGCAGCAGTCCCCACACTCTATTCCGACACGCGTGACCTGCCTGACCAGCTGACTGCGATGTATGTGCCCATTTACACTGCTGGGTGAACACAGGAGAACGGATTTAAGAAACTGGCACTTTTATTTAAACCGACGTGCCAGTTTCCAGGTTTGGTCCCCGTCGGTGCACCCTGGGCTCGAATACTGGCGACCTCCACCTATTACACCACAGCAGCATCCACCTGTGGACCAGTTGGACACTGTTCGTGTGCCCAGAATTGGCGATAGAATTGGCACTGGTTGCATTTTTTGTTGTTTTAGACTATATTTATTATTTAAACGGTGGAAGATTTGTGTTGCAAAACAAAGCATTTTTGATTCTTTCAGCATGATATATGTTGATCTTCTTTCGCACCCTAAGTACCTAACCTTGCTAATCGGACACAAAGCTGATCAGTTACAATCGTGGCAGTGGCAATGGCCATCTGGCTTAAGAATGGTTGATAACGATGCAGGTAACGATTTATATTGACTTAACATAACAAAAGCACCTATTAAAATCAAAATTTTTAATACAATTAATAAAAAAAACAATCCCAGTCATCGGGTAACAACAAACATCATGCCGTAAACTCTTAACAATCAGTTCTAACCAATCACATCGGAGGGGGGTGCAGGCATTGCCAGCTCAATTCATTTCAATCAGTAGCAGGCAATGTTCAGAAATCTCGTTACACATGGCAGCATTCAAACACGTACTGAAAAAGACACACGTGCCCTGATTCACAATCTACCGCTGAAAATATCGATGTATTTTATTCACCATTTGTCCAGATCACTCAGCAGTAGGATAGGGTGGCTCGAAATCCGAAGTTTGTGAATTCAAACATTCGGTGGGGGTTGACTCAGCCCATCGTCTTTCCGAGGTTGAGAAAATCGGTACCACGTTGTGGCGAAGACAACGGTAGCTGCCCTGTGGAGAGATTCGCCCCTGCCATAGACATTTGTAATTTCCACCACTGGCTCTGAAGGGGCTTAAACTGGGTAAGAGCAACTCCATAATGCTCATGGGCAGGAATTTCCCCTTGCCTTTCTGATTTATTTGCCACCCACACATCACGTGGGTGGAAGCAAACTTCACGTCGATTATGCCGTTGGAAAGAAATAAAAGATAGAACCACGTGAGTTTCTGTACAGTGTAGCTGTCCGAAGGTGGATTTTTGATATTGTACAACAGCCACATTTTGTATGCCTGACATTTCACAGGCGCCATTTCACGACTTTCACTTGTAAATGTTAAAGATGGAAAGAAGCAATTGTGGGTTTAGGCAGCAATGGCTCACAAATGACAGGTGGCTAACGCTTTTATTGCTGTTTTTTTTTTCTGTAAAGAGTGTGTTGAGTGGGATGCATGATGTTTTAACGTTTCACGTTGCGGTGTGCACACGGCAATCAAGCGTCTTTGTACAACGTGCGTTGGTTGTTGTTCTCCCTCCGGTGATGTAACCAAAGGTCTATTTTACTTGTATCGGGGCCAGTAATGAAATACTAGCCATTAACCAAATGTCGGCTCCGCCATGCGATCCAGAAGGCAACAAACCGTTAGTTTCTCTCAAGGAGCACCATGAACCATCATCACGCCAACTCCGCTCATCCTCCCCCGCAGCAGCAGTGGCAGCGGCTTCTGGCTCAGCCATCGAACACAAGCGGTGGTCACCGCATCATCATCGTCGTCGCGCGCTTTCAGATGCACGCTCTTCCTTCCGATATTAGAAAGCCACTGGAGCTATGCACTTTTACTGGTAGGAACGAAGTTGTAAACTGAGTGTACCAGCCTGCAATAGATTAATGTGACCGTCCGTCCGTCCCCTTTCAATACTTTAACGAAGTGAAATCTCGTGCTGTTGGGGTGTAAAAATTAAATTGCGCAAAATTCCAATGTTCCTACCAGCCCACCCTGCAGGGACCTGTTAAATATATATTTTAAAACTAATTTCTAATTTCTTTACAACTGATTTTTGTGTTTAATTGTTGTCCTTCCCCCGCACCTCTGATTAGCCCGGTTGGCTATGTACAGTGCAAAAGAAGTGCAACATACATACACGTGTACAGTGGGCTTTCACCCACTTTTCGATCTGTTTTCACATTGTGCCGCATAATTCAAAATATGTAAACGGCGAGAAAACCCATGACTATGGGTCGTAACCGTGTTTTGTTCGGCATGATATCCAACGTTACGCTCCACATCCTTGTTTAGTCCTGGCAGCTTCGCACAACGTGGAGCGAAACGTTGGACATCGTGCTGAACAATGCACGATTCAATCAAACAAAACAAAAAAACACATCGGAGAGCTACAGCACAATCGTGAAAAGCCACGCAGTAGTGGTACTAACACGCTGCTGGAGATGGCACAGTCAACAAACTGATGTGAGCAGTCATACCCCGTTAAGCAGTCACACTCCAGGTAAGCTGTCTTTGGAAACCTCCGATTAGCACGGCTAGGTACGTACGGCGCGAAATAAGTTCTACATGCATACAAGTCACCCCCAGGACATTAAAAATCCAGGTTTTGTCAGTTGCCTAATAATACAACACATTTTGATTTAAAGCTTTCGTGACTGCAGTAATTCATATTCTTAGTTTTTTCGGTAAAGTCACGTTGAAGAGAAACAACAAAATAACAAAATATATATAAAACAATAAAAAAATTCTCACGACGTTTCGACCATAACTCAAACGGTCATCATCAGGTGTGTTATGGTCGAAACGTCGTGAGAATTTTTTATTGTTTTATATATATTTTGTTATTTTGTTGTTTCTCTTCAACGTGACTTTACCGAAAAAACTAAGAATATAATACAACACATTTTACGTGTATTCCTCCCCCCCTTGCTGTACCGATTGTTTTTCCACCTCAGAGGTGGCACCCCTGCCGGAAAACCCCTCTGTTCTAAGGTTATAAAGCTCAGCGTTCACATGCAGCCACGCAGCAGTGGCAACTAACGGTGTCCCTCCCTCCCTCCCGCACGCACGCACACAGCTGGTGAGCCACATGGAACACTCGCAGATCTCGTTTACGGCCGGCTGCAGCTCTCGCTGCAAGGGCAAGGTGGCGTCGTGCGCCTCGCAGCCCGAGTGCTTCCAGGAGTGCTGCGCGGGCAACGCGAGCTGCCTCAAGCTGGACGGGAAGCTCTACGACGTGAGCGGCGGGCCGCGCCCCGGGGCGCTCGGGGCGCCCGGCCACGCTGCCACGTTCCTGCTTGTGGCCGCGATCGCTCGGGCGATGCTGTGAGTGGTCGACGAGCGCGACGGGTTGGCGGGGGGGCGGCGAGGGGCAGGGCCCCCCGACCACCACCAACCACGCCGAGCCGGGCGAAGGGCCACACCAGTTCTGGTCACCACGGCGATGTCCCCCACATCCACGTTAAAGATTTCCATGTCTACCAACGCGCGCATTTCATTGATGTCGTTTCTGGTTCATGTGCAAGCAGGGCGGGTACTTGAATCCACATGAGTCAGTGAGGTACCCAAAGTGAGTGTTTTTGATTGCTTTGCTGTTGAGAGTCAACCACAATAAAATAAAGGGAACTCATCTTTAACTAATTGTACAGCCCCTTGTCATTCACCTGCTGGATTAGGGGCCCACCCATGCCACGATGACTTAGGGGGTTTTCGTGGCCACGCTTATTTACGCTGGTCAATCACTTGACAGTGATGTTAGCCATGGCCAGGAATTGGACTCTGGTGGTCAAGTTCATGGCACAGTGCTATGCCTGTGATTTATTTTTTACTGGGTGGTAAGATAGTGAAGAGTGAGATCATTTTAAACATTAGAAAAGATGGGTGGTGGTTGTATTAGCACTATTGATACACCACAAATTATAATTATTAGTAGAGAGTGATGGAATGCCTTCACAATCTATGTGGTTACACTATTTTGGAACCTTTTGCGGACTGACCTGCACATTAATGCCATTCTGGTGTGCAAAAAGAGTGGTAGACATGGAATGCTTAAACCTGGATGCTTCATGACTGAAGCATTATATCTGCCCTAAAGTTGCAATCAGGAGTCATAGATATATGTGGAACTGTATTTTTAGTTTTTTTTATTTCACCCTTGCACGGTGCAATACTGCATTTTCATACGTGCACCTGGAGCGATGCATGTTCAGTTTTTATTTGAAAAGTGAAAGGTACCCATCCTTTATGGAGCGCTAAGGGCATGAGCACAGTCATCAGTTTTATTATTAGAGTTAAATTATTAGAGATTGGCATACCAAGCTAAAGTCTCCTAGTGGAGAGGTCCAAGCATACGTGAATGTTGAAATACAGAGGGACGTGAGAGCAGGTTGGAGCTCTTTTAAAAAGCACTGAACGTGATAACAAAAGACAACAGTGAAATAGTGAACAACCTAAATAAAAAAGTTTTCAATCAGGGCATATGACCTCCTACGACATGGACCAGAGAAGCATGGAGAGGTGCATGATTTGAATTCAACCGAGACACGAAAAAACGCACATCAGATGACACGAATTAAAGGCATGTTAAGAACAGTAAATGTGCTATAGATGACGACTGATGGTGGGGACCACCAGTCGAGTGGCAGCCAAATAAAGAAACCACCTCGGAAGTGGAGCAATGAGATCAGCCCATGTGTAGAAGTTGTACGTAAGTACAGTATGTTGAACTTCTTTTGCACCGTACGTAGGAGGTGCGGGGGAAGGACAACAAACTAAACACAACAATACATTCTAAATGCATTTTTTTATCTATTTTAAATTGCATAGCTCCTGTGACTTCCTAATATTGGAAGCAAGAGCGCTGCAGATGGACGCAGACGCGCATCTGAAAGACCGCGATGCAGTGAGTCTTTGTTCGATGGCGATCAAAGTGCAATGGATTGTTGCATCATGAGATTGAGCGATGCCAACAACTTGGAGAGATTTCCAGCAGCAGTCCACTGAACATTCCAGATTTCAACAGATCGCACATGCATATGAACTCATTTATTTGGAGGATTGCCCTTTGTAGAAGTAAAATAATAGGTGAGCATAGGTCATGAGGATCAAGTTATAGTTAATTGGAATCATATAAAACAAACTATTTTCTAACATATAGGAATTAAACCAACTTTGTCACGAATTGTGAAGCCAGTTATTGAGACAATAAGACACATCAACCTGATCGCATATATTTTAATATAAGTAAATAAGATTGCATAATTAACACAGTACGTCACATATCCGACTTGCTAGAGAACACTGTATAGGCGTGTGTGAAAATGAAATGCCAGATATGTGAACACCCGAGAGATAAATTTTGATTTAAAGCTTTCGTGACTGCAGGGATTCATAATCTTGGTTCTTTCGGTAAAGTCACGTAGAAAGGAAACAATAAAAAATATAAAACAATAAAAATCTCACAAATTGTATTTATAAAGCAGCAGCTCACCTGGCTAAAGACACGCACACCGTGCCGCTGGGTTGCAGTGTCGGGCATCGCAGTTTTTGCCAGAGCTAAGCAATAGCCCACATTCCAAAAAATATAAAACAATAAAATTCTCACAAATTTTATTGTTTGATATTTTTATTATTTTATTGATTCCCTTCTACGTGACTTTACCGAAAGAACCAAGAAAATATGAATCCCTGCAGTCACAAAAGCTTTAAATCAAAATTTATCTCTAGGGTGTTAACATACCTGGCATTTCATTTTCACACACGCCTATGCAGTGTTCTACAGCAAGTCGGATGTGACGTAAAACAATAAAATTCTCACAAATTTTATTGTTTTATATTTTATTGTTTCCCTTCTACGTGACTTTACCGAAAGAACCAAGAATATGAAACCCTAGAGATAATGAGTTACACATGGGGAAATGCTTCACTATGCTTTAGACGCAAATTGTCCGCGATATTAGTGTGCATTTACTGTATGTGAAACGGTCGGATTTGTGCACACCTATAGAAAATGCTACCACACGCGCATACCGAACTGGGTGTGTGCAATTGGATGTTACGGTCGGATATGCGACTGAATTTCATTACCAGTCGGGTACATTTTGTAATTAAATTCGTATATTAAGTCTGTATATGTTCCACGTATCTCTATGACCTCTAGCGGCAGCTGGGAGACTTTCTTTCACTATTCATTCTCGCGATCTCTGCGTTTCCTTTGGGAGGCGAGCCCAATTTATAAAGCAGCAGCTCACCTGGCTAGAGACACGGACACCGTGCCGCAAGTGTCGGGCATCGCAGTTTTTGCCAGAGCTAAGCAAGTCAGCCCACATTCTAAAAGTTAATTTAGTATTCCTCCCAAGTATGCGTCCCACCTCCAGGTTTTACTGCTCACCAGTCCGGCTTTCCAAAACGTCACTTACTCTGCATACAGAAATTGGTTTTAAATATAGATACACATTATCACGCGAATAAAGAATGTATAAAAGCTGGATTTTCCGTTACAAAAATCAACAATGGGTAGTTAGAACTGGCAGAAACTCTAGAACAAGGGCAAACCAGTTTTGTTTTAATCTTTTAAATGTGTGTATGCATAGAAGTGTAACAGAAGACTTCAGCAGCCTGTTGAAATTAACGCTTGTGCGTCTATTGAAAACGTGGAAACAGTTGCAAGGTGTAAGACTAAATGCAGCTAGCATTACATCATTAATATCCGGTCAGCTTCAGCAATAACGTAAAACTCGATCAAAGCTTGCCAAGTACTACAGCAGCAGGAAAGGATAACGTTTGTTTCTCGGGACACTTGCTTTTTATTTTACAATACAAATACGTGGGTAAAATCTGAATAGCTGAGGAGTTAAGCATTTGCCTTCGGGCCAGTTTGTATGACAATGGTTCAATTCTCACAACTGCTCGCTAATTCCTGCAGAGATGTCCTACAGTGCTTTGAATATTGTAATGTAACTTATATGAATAGGCTGTCATGTGCTACTGCCATCCCTCAGTTCATCATTTACCCAGATAACCGGTGCCTAATTAAGCTCAAAATCTACCGGGCACGGATTGGGAACCGTCAGAAAAAAAATAATGCTTTAAAGTGCTGAAAATGTCTTATTCTATAAAACAGATATACATGAGGTGTTCCAGTCAAGAGATGCCTTTAAGACTTGCTGTGGGATTTTGTAAGTACAGACCTGATTTACCAAAGCATGGTCGATCGTGCCTGTAGGAACGTTTTATTAGGCTCTGCAGATAACATATTAAAGGAAAATAAACACGTTATTATGTAACTACAGGTACCCACGTCTGCTGGGTTATGATTCACAATGTTTCTCGCTTGGCTGCATAAAAGGGCATTCCATTGATGTATACTATAGCTGAGCTACGTCATGAAAACCACGCACATGCCACGCCAGTTGACCAGTCACTGATGTGGTCTTAAAAGGGATTATTACAGATCCAGGTGAGCGTTTGACAAGAATATAGGTGAAACGTTGCACAATTCCAAGTAAAATGCCATTAATTCACGACACTATAACCAGGTGAAACCACAATGAAGCAACTTGTCAAGGGTTTAAAGAAGGCTTATCAATGTGAATGCGTTATTCAGCCTCTGTAAAATGTAACAAACACAAGGCTCTCGTGTCCACACACCAACCGATCGCAGCTCATTTGAACTATTCCGCAATTCGGAATTTGGGAGTTTAAGAATTCACAACGTGGGTGTAGTGTTGGATGTGGTCGGGTGGCTCAGAGGTGAAACGCTGAGCTGGCACTGCTGAGATTCTGAGTATTAATCCGGGATCTCAGCAGTCTGTAATTCCACCAGGTTCACAAGTGCCGCGTGTTTACGATGTTGACCGCGTCACCAATTCTATAGCACTAAAGATGGTGTATATATTAATGTTTGAATTCAAAGATTCGATTTGATTACTGAATGTAACATTGATAACCGCATTTAATTATTTGTGGGGGGGGGGGATACTTGTAAATAAAAAAAGGTTTCATACGCAATTTCCGGCTAAAGTTACTCCCTTTTTAATAAATTCCTTGCCGAGTAGTTCAGTGTATCTGCAGAAAGTATGTGTACACAAGTGCCCTGTTTTGTTAGGGTTTCCTCCCCCCTTACCGATTATTAATCAGTAACCATGGATAGGTAACTGGGCTGACAGTGGGCGCCTCTTGCGAGAAACGTCGAAGGATATCTAAGCGTGCAAAACATTTCATTAAACGGATGGTGGAGCAATACTGTGGGTTGAACCAGCAAGATGGGCATCTGCGACCACTCATTTACCCTTGCTCAATGCACCTGTAACATATAAGAAAAATGCTTGCAATTAACTCTTTCACGTCAGCGCCCAATGCTATTTCTTTGATTAGATATGCATAAATGCCTCATGTGCAGCAGCCAATCACTTTCACAGTTCAATTTTGAGTGTCAGCATTGATGGTAGACAGGAAAATATGAAAACATTACCAATTTGAGAGCTTATAGTTTGTGTTTTAAAATGGGGGCCGGTCTGACTTTCTGCTGTTGCCTTTGTCCTAAAGTTGTTGTTGCTGCTAATGGAGTTGAAGAGGCCACTAAAAGCAATAGCAAGAGGCTAAACTATGGTTCGGCTTGTCACCCAGAACCGTACTCCCATTGGCACTGCATTATATCACTGTGGAACTGACAAATGTAACTGATGGGTCAAACTTTGTTCCAAGCGTATGCGAAATCACGGGGTTAAAATGAAATCTAACATGTTGACAATGTGTAATGCAGTCTGCAATGTATCTTTCTCTATTACAGGTTTAAGTGATACGCAATAGTAATTCTACGCATTTTCTGTCATACCAAGTTTCAAACAGACGTCGAAACATTTACTCCAAAACCATATGCTAATTTACAGCATCCTAAATGCACTTATTCGGAAAACAAGGACATGCAAATGCCGTGATCTTGAGTGGAACATTTATGTACATACATTTTCCATCCTATAGATTTATCCCGCACCTCCAATTAGCATGGTTGGCTACGTGAGACGTTCAACATAAATATACACATTTAACGCTTGTTCACTCAAATTAACATTTGAACAAAAAAATGCTAAACAGAAACCCAATTACACATGTGATGCAATGCGCTGCATATTACTGGAAAATTCCATTCCTAAACCATTTTTGTCCACGTTTTTCAAATGCTATTCAAATGCACACGTACATAACGATTCAAATGGAAACCCGTGCTGTTGAGCACAATAAATTGCATTTGGGAAATGCTGAACAAAGGACTTATGGAACTCGGTAGCCAATTATGCTTAAAAGTCACTTCTACACTGTATACAAAACACAGTTGTACAATCGTGAATTTCCAAGAGAGCACAGACCCTCTAAATACTGAAGCTCCAAGCATGCACACTGCATTTAAACATTATCTAAAAATAGGGAGTGGCGTGCGCAGGGTACATTCTCCTGTGCTGCCACTCCAGTCGAATCAAACACACATTCAAACTACCCTCATGTGATTCTTAGAAAGTCAGAAGGCATTCTGCTACAAGCCAATGAAGGAATGTTCTAACTAATGTGATGTCACCGCAAAAGCTATACTGCATATAAAGGGCTCCCAATGAGCACTAGGAAAGCACATCTTTTGGATCAAACATTTCAGATTAACAATTGGCTCTCATAAAACAATTACTGAGATTGTTTGCGGCTGTGCTGTATTGTTCTCCAATGTGTTTGCAGCTGGACGTTATGTTATGCAGCATGTCTGACGTTTCTCTCCACATCTTGGGAGCTACTTCAGGCATCGAAATCCTATGACGTGAAGTAAAACAGAGAACTATATAGCACAACCGTAAAAACCTATAGGTACGAACTTTTATTAAGGATAGTTTCTGAAAAAGCTCCCAGTAAACGTGGAGCAACACGTTGTACAACATGCTGAACACACATTTGGACATCGTGGTCAGCACGCTCTACATCCAGAAAATACATCAGAGCTAAACTAATGAATTATAATGATCTATTAATGAACTGTATCGAATCAGCTGGTGCTGCTTGATGACCTGCCAGTGTTGAAAGCATGGCAATCCACGACTAAATTGCGTTAATGGTAATTACACTGAATTGTGGTCTTCTCAGTCGTGACTGTTAAGATCTTTACTTTATTACAATAGATTATATACCAGGCTTGCTAGGTTAAATGCATTTTCAGATTACCAATCTGCAGATTAACAAGTCTAAAACAGTGTGCAATAATTCAGCAACCACAGCAAGAATAGCAATGTAATCCAAGTGCAGAATATTATTTTTATCATTATACACATAAAGAGCTTTGCAAAATAGGTCATCAGGGGGCTATTATTCACTTGCAGACCAGGTTGGTTCGGAGGGTGCAATGAAGTTGGTTCAATTTGAGCTTCTAATTTGACAGACTGCTTCGCTAAATGTTCAGAGAAGCCATAGTGCAGCCAGTTTTATTTTTGGGGTCATTCCCACATCACTTTATATAAGATGCATTTAATATATTTGCTTACATTATGTTAAATGTAGCTTTATGCGAAAATGCGTGTAATTGTCAATGTTGATACCTTAACATTATGCTGATCACATGATTTTTGTATGAACTTAATCAAGTAAATTCCCTTTGCTCATAAATGAATTTTACTTCTGATTGAAATTGCTGCCTTGCATTGCTTCCTGGGTATTTTAGATGCATGCTAGACATGCATGAAACATGGACAGACTGTTGCAATAACAGTAGACAGCTTGCAGATGGCTTCTACAGTGTAGAGGTCTTACACCTGCCACCATGAAACCCTGGTTCACCACAAATTACTTCCATGCCTTGGGTCACAGAATATAGCATTGACTTAATATTGTCGCACGAAGCCAACAACTTATTTTTGTATACAACTCAAGACCACGTGCTATAAAAACATAATTTGGCTTAACCCTGCCACGTAAGGTAATGTGACCGTGGCTAACAATTTTAACATTAGAATATTTTAATTGTTCATCATAAAGTGTGATTTCAAACCACCCTCGAACAATTACAGATACTGCAAGTGTGGACACAATTACTCAGTTCAATGTACAGGTATCCCTCGATTTACGAAAGGGAAGCATTCTACAAAAATACATGCATGAAACGAAATTTACTAAATAGTAATGGCTTTTCCTATCAATGAAAAAAACTAGATGTTTTTGGCCAGTCACTCCAAGACTAAAAATATACACCTATATCACTTTTAACAATACAAAAAAAGAACGTGACATTAAAACGATTGATTTAAAACCAAAATACTCAACTTTTCAAGAAACTCACCAAAAGGTCTGCATGTTGGAATGAATGTTCCTCTGATACTGTCACGCACAGCCTCCCAGTTCTCTCCATGTAATGGAAGGGTTTACAATTTGTGAACTGCATAAACGCAAAACTTGATCAACAGAACGTTCATAAATAGCGGGATACCTGTAAATTGGCACTCAAATTTCTGTAGAGGTTTGATGGTAAACCAAGGAATCCATACCTTCGGCACTCTCCTTTTCAGATTCTCATTCATATCTCGACATTTTCAGATGGTTTTTAAGCACGCAAATGTCAGTCATATCAGTACCAACAAATTTATATTTGTGCAGTGCAATTCACCACAACGTACCAAATTATCTCCCACGTGCACGAAAGCCTGGACACCCCAGATGCACCACTGCAACAGATATTGCCACGTTTAAACCAGGACATTGTAAATAGAGAACACAATTAAACCACAGTAAGCAACACATTGCCACCTTGAGACAAAAGTTGTTCTACTAAACACCAGTGCTGCATTACTATTTTTAAAAGCAAAAAAGGCCACAATTGTAATGGTTCCTATAAAAACAGCACCATTGCGTGTAGCTAACTTCAGACAGGTAATGTAAAAATGTTCAGGGATGCAGACCAGATATATTGTGAAGTTTTGCCATCGACAAAAATAACTCTGCTCGTTACGATCCATTCAGCAATGCATGCTTAAATGTATGTCAAAATCGCCAATCGTATAATTAAAAATACATTGCATCTTGACTCATTCAAGTGTAACATGTTGGCACTTTCTCAATGTGCTTAAATTGCACGTTACATACATCAATTTAGCATGAAGTGAAAACGTTGCACCCACCCAAAAGAAATGCACTAAAGCCAAATTCAGTAAATAGGACTATGGCCCAATTACGTTTTAAATGGTGGATTACAGCACCGTAAACCTGCTCAAGTATTAATGCTAATTAAGCTTCATACACTACCTGACCACATAACTACATCAAGTCCTTGCAGTCACATTCCACAAGGTGGAGTCACTTGAACTTTATACTCATCCTTGGTGAGAAAAATGCAGCCACCATTTTAGCAAATTGTCATGTGCATGGCAAAGCAACATGTGAATACATCTTAACTCCAGTTCCAGAACCTACCACAGTAAAGCACTCTGCAATGTCAGATGGACATTTATTGGATATTTGCATAGCGAAATAAAGACTGCTGGCAAGTGTCAAGTACCGGAGTTGAGATGAATCAAGTTTTGGATTAAAGTTAAATTTAACTTTCAACTATATCCACAAATCCAGCTCAATTACCATTACATTGACGTTTTAGATTGCCATCAAATCAGAATGCCAACTTAAGCTACAATGCATCAACCATGGTACTTTTGTTAATGTAGTAGCAAAGCCCAAAGTACATTTCCACCAACAGCACCAATCCAAAAAGTCGAATTTGAAACTGAAGTTCCAGGAGACCTGTTTTAGGCCACAAGCGATTTTTTTCAAAAATATCTAATATTCAAATCAGCCAAAATTAAGTCGCAAAACGAAAATATGCATGGAAAATTATCAAACGTGACAATTGCTAGATGTGCAATGGTAAAAAAGGACATCTCCAAATGCGACTGTGTTGAAGTGGCTTAAAGCCTGGTTTCCTGAAACCAAATGTAGCTTTGTACACCTGAACTCATGGAAATTTAATGAACATGAGTATAACCATATTACAATTGTTTCCATACACTAAAGTTGTTTGCTCACGCTTTTAAGATGTAAATCAAAGTTCAAATAAAACGCTGCATATCATGCATGTCCCGAAGCACTTTAATAAGTTGCTGTGTGCGTACTGAAAAAAATATTGGTTAAACCAAAAATACAGAACAATGCATTAGAGAAAACATCCACATTTTATTTATAATTGTAACGGATCCAGTAAATATTTTCCAGGCATTTCTAACAGCTATGTTGAGTGTTGGGATGATAGGTTACTGAAACTAACATTACAACAGAATGGCATTTGACTAAGAGAAGAATGCATTGTCAAGAGACATTTTATTTCCAATGACAAAATTACATCATATTCCACGTAAAATAATGCATTAATTACCAAGCCATATAAATGTAAAATTGTAACTTTCATTTTAGACTCAACTGCCTTGCGCACACATGCATTTAAACCACAATTTATGCAAATTATATTTCTAAGCTGCCGTTTAAACCACACAAGACCAATAATGCAGCTAAAAATAAAGCTATCATCCCAACACCACCTTAATGGGAAGGAAAAAAATCCTCTTTTTAAAAACACCCCACTGCTAAATTTAAATTTTACAAAAAACACACAATGTTATTAAAGTTAAAAAAGGATGTCATGCCAATTGGTTGTGTACCGATCTTAAAATGTACTTTATAATGAGAAACTACTGGTTAATACTACTGCATGGTGGGAATGTTGCCACTGCCGCTGTGTTGTCTAAACTGTTGTACAACACATTTAGAAGGCTGAATAATAAGCATTCCTGAGCATTCCAACTGGCCTAATACAAAGCAGGATCCAAAAATAGCGTCATGTACACTGGGCCGAGGACACTCTACTTGGAGATGGGCGTAATAAACTGGCTTCCTCACAAGGAATGCTCAGGTCTGTTGCAGCCTTAACTAATGGAACAAACTATGAGGTGGGTAAGCCTAAAAGCGGGTTTAAAATCTGTAATAATAATAAAAAAAGGACAACTGTACAGGAAGCTGGGGATGTCACAGACTAGTTAAAGCGGACGAGCTGAGAATGAGCTTCACTTGGAGTCGCTTGCCGCTGCCTCACTGGCTTTTGTCTGTGAACACATGCACACACACAAAGTCTCAGACAATGAATGGTAAAAACTGTTTGTAAAACATTAAGTGATGTGTTGCACATGTGCAACATTTGAACAGCATCGATTAGATATAGAATAGTTAAATGGTATAAAAGAGAGTTCTCAATGCATGTTGATGAAATGCAATGGATATTTAATGTCGGAAAAATAGAGAAAGGTGTGGAAGCCGCTATGCGGCCGAGATTGAGACACGACAAAAGCAGATGATTTGCACAGACAAGAGAAATCCACAGCGCCACCCTCCCCATACCTTCAGTAAATAAAGTAGTGATGAATCAAAACTAGCTAATAAGTTTACTTTACTCCAAAAAGGCACACAGCTGCTCTTCAAATAAACAGCATCGCAGCTTCTTCTTAAGGGAGAAGAACTGCCTATGCACTTCTTCAAAGGGACGGGCACTGTACCTATCCGGTCACATCTCTTGAATACAAAAATGATTTAGTTCAAAAGTGCCTTCAGATTTCTTCTGTCGATGCAGAGGACAGCGAGCAAGCAAGAGCAGGTGATTAGTGAAGCAAGCTGTGGAGAGGGGGGGTTACCTCCTCTCCGTTATCAGCCGTAGCGGCAGCAGCAGAAGCAGCCTTGCCTGCATCCTGCTTGGGCTGCTCGTCGGCCTTGCCCTTCCCCTTCTTCCCCTTAGCCTTCTCCTCCGCAGGCTTCTTAGGGGCCTTTTCCTTCTGTGGGCAAGAACGAAACGCACAACCGCCTGGTCAAGCCCGCGTGACGCTAAATTTAGCACTTGACTAAGCACAAATGTCATCGAAAGTGGATGAAGTGGAATGATGGCAGATTAAATAAAGACGGCAACAGCACAGACGTTCAGGAAAAAGAAAGCATTATTAACCTTGGGGGCAGCAGCCTTCTTCGGTTTGGGCTCAGGCTTTGGTGCCTGGGGGCGCTGTGGAGGAGAGTCAATACACACGTCAACGCATGCTCCACAAGACCACCATCCATTTCGCGACCAACAAAACACCAAGCACGCCTTGTTATGAGGCAACGCTAACGTCACACCGTCGAGTTACCAATAACTCGAAAAATACTCAGCAATCGTGGGAATGCATTAATTAATGAAACCTGCAATTAAAATAAGCAATCAAAAATGTCTCAACTGCCCGCTTTGGGAGAATGCATTTAAGTCTTACTTGTGAAATCCTGACAGACCTCCTCTGCGGCTGAAAAAAAACACAAGCAAAAAAATAAACAGTAAAAATGTAAATACAAAAAAACCCATTCACGTTTAAGTACATGTATAAAAAAGTGTGCAAGTTAAGTGTAAATAAAACTGAGAATACAAACCTCACTCTTCGCCTTCTTTGCGTCTCCAGCTCCCTCACCAGCACCCTGAACGCCAAGGCAACAATCAATTAGTGATAGCGCCCCATTGAAGGAGACCCGAGCAATCATTCACGTGACCAGACTTCCCGCTCAAACAACACTCCGCGCCAAAAATACAAAAAAACATAAAAGCGCGCGCACGCACGCATTGTATCATGCGCGGTGGCACTAAAAACCCCGCGAAAATATAAAGGCACCTGTCCCACCCCCCTTATGGGGGGGGTCACTAACAATAACCTTCAAAAAACAGCAGCGGCACAAATAGCGAGGCTTTTGCATCTTCTTCTTTGCGAGTTACAATTCCAGTTCCAGCCGGTTCACTCAAAACAAAAACCCCCTCTCGCAGGGGTCAGAGGGGACGCATCGCAAACTTCTTGTGCACAACAGCCAAAATATTTGACAAAGCCCACAACTAAATTTTGATTTAAAGCTTTCGTGAGTGCAGTAATTCATATTCTTAGCTCTATATATAAAAAATATATTTTATTGTTTCCCTTCAACGTGACTTTACCGAAAGAGCTAAGAATATTATTATTTTATTGTTTCCCTTCAACGTGACTTTACCAAAAGAGCTAAGAATATGAAAGCCCACAACTATTTCGAGGAAAGAACTTCAAAAATCCCCTCCACCCCCCGTAAAAACCAAACACATCCATAGGTATTTTTTTTCCAAGTAAAACGGCCAAGCGACGTCCATAACTGTTTCAAAGGCGCGCGCGCGCTCTCAAGTGCACGGATATTCGTTAGGGACTGTAAAAGTTAGAATGGGCGCCATTCCACCCCTGGTGGCCACCACCACCCCATGTGCTTGTAGCTGCCATGTGCTGCCCCCCCCCCCCCCATGGCCTTCAGGACGGGGGGGGCAGCGCCACAAATTTTGGGCGGGAATTTCGGTTGGCGGTGACGTCACCACACTTTTTTTTGGGGGCTCCTCGGTTTCCCGCCTTTATACATTTGAATTGGTGGGAGAGAGATGGCAGAGGGATAACGAGTTCTATAATTATAAACACCTCATATATTCAATAACCGCAAACGATAATTTAATCGGTCAAGGGGACCGATTAAATTGAATATTTTAGTTTTAAAAAACACTTCCATCGGGTTTAATTTTTTTAATAAGATCCTCAACCGAGCCCTCCCACCCCCTTAAATACATTGTTTTAAAATACTAAATATACAGCGGGGGGCTGATGTGCATTTTGCCTTTTCGCGCGTAAATAACGCCACGCGATGTGCAGCAAACCACGACAAAATGCGGCTCCGTCTAAATATTTTTTTTGCCATCGCATTAAAAAAAAACCCATCCTTGCGTTTGAACAGCACGACGCGCAGTTGAGAATAAATGCGGCGGCACGCAAACAATTTTTTTTTTTACAAACGGTAAGAGAGATAAAATTAGCAAGGCGAGTAGTGGTTTGTGTGTGTGGGGGGGGACGAGGCGGCCCTCGCCGTCCGCCATTGTTCGCCTCCGCTCCAGCCTCTTGGCGCGCAAACATAACGCGGCGAGGGAGCGCGGGGAGGAGACGGCCGCCGAGAGGGGGGGGAAAACCGCGCCAAAGCCGCCGCCGCCGTCGTCGCACGAAAACGTCGGCGAAAAATCGGGGGGAGAAACGTTTCGGCAAGAGGCGGAGAAAAACGAACGGCGGGCGCTCATTCCGTCGTGCGTCACACGGCTTCGAGAGGTGGTGGTGGTGGGGGGGGAGAAGGAGCGAGCGAGCCGCCGCCATCGACCGTTGCGACATCGCGACGGAGGGGGAGGAAAAAAAACACATTGCAAGAACCCGAAATCGCTTTCTAACCGCTCGAGCCGTCGCCGACACAAGTTTAAACTTTGTTATTTGTCAAGGGGAAGGGAGGAGAAAAAAATCGCAATCGAGCGTTGCTTAGGGTTAATGGTTATTTAATTTTAATCGCGGCCATAAAACGTTGGGCGTCGGAGACGAAGACGACAACGACCACGAGAGGCGGACGACTATCGCCTCTTCGCTCATTAGCATTTTAATTTATAAAAAACAGTTAACTTGCACGCATGTTAGTTTAACTCGCTGTTATTTTTATTTAAAATGCAATTAAATTTATTACAGGATTACAAAAAAATATGTACTCAACAATTACCGCCATTTTTATTCGCGGTCCTGTCCCCCCCACGCGCGTAAAAATTTACCTTTCGACCTCACTTATTTCTTTTTAAAAAATACATCAAATCTGTAGAAAAACTCAACTTAAACACATTAACGCGTTTAAATATATTTTTTAACAACCCTCGTGTTATCATTAAACGCGAGGCTCACCTTTCTCTTGGTGGTCATGTTTGCTGTAGTAGTGGTGGTAGTAGTATCACAGAAGTCGGGAATGCACCGCCTCACGCGCTGCGTCTCTGCCACAAATGCGCGCGCACAACTCAAGTTCTACTATACAAATACGATACCCTCATTTGCATAATTTATGCTAACGATATTCCCAACCGTCCTTTCCCGGCTTCGCATCTGCTCTCATTGGATGATTTAAATTCGATTTGGCCAATGAACAGCGGGCGGCGCGCGCCCCGTGCACATTCCCCCCCCCCCTCTCATAGTCGTTGGAGCGACCCCGCCCCCACAACCATTGGACGCGGCCGGGTGGGCGCGTGCGCGGTGACGTAGTTGCGCTCACGCCCCCTTCTGTCGAGCGTAGACTTTTGCACCCCCCGCCGCCCCACCTCTCTCGTAATGTATACACAAAAACAAGTTGAATTCCGTTGAGGGGGAAAACAAGTTGCGGTTAAAGGAACGTCGCGTTTTAAAATCGCGCACAAAAAAACGAACGACCAAAGATCCCATGCCCTCAAAAGGAGAACTTTGACCACACCCACCCCCCTCCCCCTCTGCAATGGCTCACGATGGTTGCAACCATAGCCCCCAACGCCATTGCAATTCCCACACCGCATACGGGCAGGCGGGCCCTTTGCATTTAGATGCACTTTTGTAATTGGCTGGCGCCGGCTCGAGACGAACGCCGATCTCGCACACGATTGGTTGGTGGCGCGTATGGAGGGGGAATGTGACGCGCCGCGTGCCTATGCGCTGTACGGTATCCAGAGCGCCCATTGGCGCCCATGTTGTGGTTGTGTCGAGGGGGCGCGAGTGGTGAGAGGTGTGGAAGGCGGCGAGGGCGATGGCGGAGCACGCGTGCGGCTGGGCGGTGGTGCTGTTCGTCGTGTTCCTGTGTAACCTGTGCAGGCTGCTGCTGCCCGCGTTCGCGCTGCTGGTGAGAGGGACCGTCGTCGTTGTCTCTCCTTTAAACAAAAAAAAGTCCCCCCTTTTGTTCGCGCCACCGGCACGTTAAGACTGCGCACTAACGCAATGCAATGTCACGTCCCTATGCAGTCTGATGTAAGAGGAGGGGGAAACCCCCCAACAAATCATTTAGCTCTCGCGGTGCTGAGGGGTGCTCCGGTTGCGTGGTTCGAGCTGTCTAGAGACGTAAGTTTGAGGCTTGGATAACGACATAAAAGCGCCTAAAGTCACTCGTGGTGCAATGACGTCGTCACGTAGAAGATTAGACGAAGTGACGTGGTGGAGATATCCTGAACGTAAACTTTTAACTATTTTTTTCGTACATAAACCCAACTTAAGGACGTCGGCGGACATCTGTTACCACGGCCTGGGTGTGTGTTTACAAAGTGTGCTTCAGGTTGAGTAATCGTTCACGCTTCATAACTTTACGCATTCGCAATGCACACTGAGGAGCATTGTGGTGAAGTATGGTCAACAAAAAGACCAAGGGAAGCACTTGTCCAGCAGTTAAAATTAAGAATATCCGTAAAGGGTGAATATCGTAAAGTGTTCTGTGTCGTGCATAAAACATCCACCAGTGTGTGAGAGACGTCAAGCTGTGATTAGTTTGGCCTTCCACATCATCTCCCGAGTATCAAGGTTGGCTACGTACGGTGCGAAAGAAGTTTTACATGCATACATTGCAGGAAGTCAGCCGTGGTCCTTTGGCTTATCGTGACCTGCCACAGTAATATAGAACTTTCAGTGCGATAACCACCCCACCACTGTTAACACCACCCTACTAAAATGTGCTCGTGATGTCCTTAAATGTGCTCATCTCCTGTTTGTAGTCCTGAGCCTGTCGTGTAAATCTCACATGCCTATGGTTGGGGCTTGTATATCTGAAGGATAACCACTGTTAAATTCCCAACATGAAGATACCTATTGTATCTACCCCCGAGGAATGATGGGCCGAGTCAACGTCAAGGATATGAAGAGACTCACAAAATTTAAGTCTCTTAATGAGCTCATCCATGAGGTTTCAATGTGAAAATCTAAATGAAAGATTAAATCATGGTTGTCCAAAATGTATGCGCATTATTGCACTATGAATTAGATAGTATTCTTACCCTTTAATGGGGTGGAAGAGTGGCACAGTGGTAAGCACATTGCATCATGAACCCAGTGACCTGTATTTGATTATTGGCTGCAGCTGAGATCAACAAGAGATGTACAGTATTTAGAAATATGCGTTTCGAGTATTTAGCTGGTATAAATGTCCACACGATAAGCCACTTCATTGGGCTATCATTTGAGGCCCGGTTTCCTGAAAAGGAGTTATATATCTTCTTTGGTTCTTTCGGTAAAGTCACGTAGAATGAGAATAAAATAATAAATTGATAAAATAAAACAATCATATTCTCACGACGTTTCGGCCACAACACAAGCGGCCTTCATCAGGTGAAGGGACGACTGTCCTCCAGACTGTCCTCCAGACTCGTCCAGTCTCGTCCCTTCACCTGATGAAGGCCGCTTGTGTGTGTGGCCGAAACGTCGTGAAAATATTTTCGTGTTATTTTATCAATTTCTTATTTTATTCTCATTCTACGTGACTTTACCGAAAGAACCAAAGAAGATGAATCTTTGCAGTCACGAAAGCTTTAAATAGGAGTTATATAGCTCAGTGGGCCTTACCTGGTCAAATAAAAAAAGTTTAAATAGTTTAGTTTAATGATCTCTCCAGGTCCTGTGTGATGCAGTACCATCATACAACTCTCCTTGATAAAAAAAAATGCAGGGAGTTATTTATCCAGCAGTGGACTGAAACTAATTATTGTTATACCCTTTGTACATATGCATAAACACAGAACATCAAGTGCAAATATGTATATTCGTTTAATAAAAAAATCAATGCATTTTTGTTCACTTCAAAATCTTAAATTCATCATTTTGCTGATACAAAAATGTGAAATGAACCTGGTGGATGTGTAATGTGGTTCTTTAGAGGTTTCTTTGAGCACTGGACATTGGTGAGACCCAACATAGTACACATGCTCCCCAGGACCATTAACATTGCCATGAACTGGTGTACAAACAGTGAATTTGTAGGTATTCCTCAATTGTGCTATTGGTGTCATGTTATGAGACTGAAGTATCCATTTGGATCACACATGCTAGAGAATGGCCCACAAGCATAAATAACAGAGCAACCTTCTAGTTACCTGGTCCACACAGTATAGTGCAGCACTTTTCCACCTGCTCTGCCACATGAGGGCAATGTTCATTGAGTAAAAATAATATTTTATTTCTCAGAGCTGGAATTTAACCAAATTAAGTGCAGAATATACTTTTTGTGCAGCTATTGCTGACCAAGCTGAAACTATCAACTTGCTGAATTTGAGAACTCATTTTGAGCACAGGCAGCTTTCCTGTATTCAAACCCACCATCTCTGCAGTAGCAATTGCGCCTGTTCCATTCCCATGTTTTTGCGTGAATGGTGGAGGTGGTGCGGCTGACGCAGCCGGACTCCGGACGGGAGCTGGAGCTGAGGGAGGAACTGCGGAAGATGCGGCGGGAGCTTGCCACCATCAGCGTTATGGACGAGTTTGCGCGCTACGCCCGCTTGGAGCGGCGCATCAACAAGGCCAGCGACGAGCTGAAGACCTCGCGTGCGTTCCGCCCTTCACACCACTGCCAGCAGCGAGCGTGGGGCTCGGTGAGATTGGATGCCGCAGGAAAAACTCGCCCCAGTTAGCGCTAGAGACGTTTTAAGATGAAAGCAACAAAAATAATACTACTTTAATTATCAAATATTGTCAATCGGACCATTTAAATGCGACGTTTGACTTTATTCATATATTTTCAGACTAGTGTTGGGCCATTCCTGTAAAATTGTATCCAAATTCCACGATCTAATGAAGGCTATTATGCCAGCAGCAAGCAATTGCAGGGCTGCATATTTACCTTTTACCATAATCCCATTACAATTCCTTGCAGGGATTGCGATTCCTCTGAATTATTCCCAGGTTAAAATGTCCATTCACTGGAATGGAGTTCTATTGGGGAATATGCCATGGAAGGAAATGTTCAATATAATTGCCCTTGCTTGGAGACACAGGAATTGCCATTGAAATGAATGGCATTCTTTGAGAGCTGAGGAATCACGCAGTGTATAACCATATTCATTTTTAAATGGTTGATATATGATCCTTATTGCGGTACCCCGGGCTACCAAATAATACAAAATGGCCGAGGCAATTAAATATTTTATTTCTGGGTCACTATTTTTTACAGGGGTATACTTAACGCCGTGACTGTTGTAGCAATCAATCTGAAATCAGTGCTACTCCGCGATGTCGAAACGCAGCGAGGGCAATTGCGCTGAAACCCTGCGCTCGTATGCACCATAGTTAATTGTGTACAGCTCGTCGAGATGAGTCAATTGCCGCATCGCCGACCATCAACAGACTAAAAATGACTGCATCACGGACATTATGCACCGCCATCAGGTTCATATGTGTCTCAACTGAATGGGGATTCCTTGGGCGCCTAAGAATCATCCAGTAGGATCCCCGTTCATTGAAATAGTAAGTCCAGGAAATTCCATTAAAATGCATGGCCAATTCCTAAAGAGTGACATCAAAATGAAATAAAATGTATATATCAAACACTCGTTTTTCATGAAAACATCAATGTACACTAAAATATCGGAATGATAACTTAATGTTTTTACGATGTTCAATGTTTTTTTCGTGTTGACTATTTACAGAAAAGAGCAGTGTAAATATTAAAAAGCAATGTTTATTCTCAAATAAAATAACGAAGAATAAAACAGAAAAGCGAGAAGTCCAGGGTCAACGCGAAAACAACAGCAAACTTAAATCTACTTTTCAGTATATTAACTTTTAACCTATCTGCACTATTATACAACTCTCCGTGGTGTTTGTAGTGGGACTATTGTTTTTAATTGGATGGGAAAAAAGTTTTTTTTTGCATAATAACAACATGGAAAGGAAAACATCGACGTAATAGGAGAGTCAAATTCTTGGTTCTTTTGGTAAAGTCACATAGAAGGGAAATAATAAAGTAATACAAATTAAACATTTAAATTATCACGACGCTTCGATTGCAACACAAGCAATCATCAGGTGTGAAAACCACGGCAAGAAAATTTTCTTGCTGTCACGAAAGCTTTAAATCGAAATGTAATAGGAGAGGTCAAGATCCACCATTCCCACGATCTTATTAGGAATTGTATTCAATGATGATTATTCAATCGGGATTCCACTCTAGGAATTGTGAGAATCGGCCAGGTCCATTTAAGACCACGTGTTACTCAAGTTGATGAGGTGTTTGATAGTAACTGAATTTGGGTTTAACTTAAAACGTATATTTTTTTATCCAATACAATGGTCCATGTGTATTTTTTTTGCTTAGGTAACGTGATACTTTCATGCCAACGTGTGACAATCTTGTAGGATGGTGCAGGGTTAATAACAATAACTTTGATCTAAAACTACCACGTGGCCTAACCCAAAAACAATTGTCGTTGGATTTGTTTTTGGGTTTATTCTGCTTTTATGCACAGTGCATAAGTAATTACGTTTGTGCAGGACAATCATCCTTATGGAGTTGCCTTTGTGTTTAGCAGCATTGCATATTGTCCATTTGCCACATTAATGCTATTGAGCAGTGTGAAAGAGAACCACTTAAGTGTTGTTCCCACACTACACACACGTGAACATCCATTAATTCCCGTTTATTATTTGTATGTGGGGTTTACATTGAGAACCCCCTTCTTAGGCCCACCGTTGAACATTGTGTTTTTGGTGTTCACAGTTCAGGCACGAACAACCCAGCTGACAACTATGAAGTGGATTATAAACATCTCCTTCTACACTCTGCAGGTGAGTGTGCAGTCACACCATCATTATTTTAATGCGAAATTGTGTAATTCGCTTTGCATCCCGACACGAATGATGTTACGTAGCGAGTTAAAGGTTAATTAATCTAAGTTCATTCATGCATAAATAAGTAATACAGTGGTCTAGAGGGTTCCTGAGGAACTTGGTAAACATCTTCATGTGTGTTCCATCTTTTGATTATTGCCGGTGCATGTTGTGTTTGTTAATGACAGGCAGTGGTGATGATCACTCTGATATGGAACTACTACTCTACACCGGTGGCAATGCTCCCATCCAAGTGGGTCTCACCTCTAGAAAAGCTCGTGGCTTTTCCCACAGGTGTCCCAGGTCAGAGCGTCTTGTGTGAACCGTTAAGCATCATAACTGCTGTTTTGCAGAGTGTATGTCTTCAAGTGCACCAACACAATAGTATTATGAGTTAATTTGACAAGTCATGATTGGCTTTACAGCCTTAGTCGTAAGCGTGCTTGCCATGAACACAGTGCCCAGAATCTTAGGTTAAAGTCACACACTGGCCTAATAATTTAGACAGTGAATTCATCAGCTATTGTCAATCCATTGCGGGATGAAGGCCTCTCCAAATTGCCGTCATCTCTCTCGATCCAGTGATGTAATAATCCACCCGGCACCTGCACACAAGCCGATTTCATCACACCATCTTCTCCTTGGATATCCTTTCGGATGTGTTTCATTCCTTGGCTGCTACTGTCACTTTTCTTGTCCATTGGCCATCATGCCTACGAGCAACATGTCCTGTCCAAGCCCACTTTTCTTTTTATGTGTTTGCCCTGCGCATGTTGCCTGATCCACGTGTTGCTCTTGATGTCTGTCGATGCAATTCCAAGCAGGCGTCTGCATACTTTTTTGCACAAGTATTTGTTTTTGTTCAATTTATTTTACAAAGGTACAGCGAGTGAAACTGTGAAGAGAAGGAGTGAGGGACATCTGTTCAGCTGACACTGTGTCATCTTTCGTCCCCACTTGCAGGAGGCATAGGCATCACGTGCTGGCTGCTGGTCTGCAACAAGATTGCAGGCTTACTCTTCCAGCCGTTCACCTGAGACTGCATCACTGAAACTCTCCTATATCAACTTAGGGCGCTTCGAGGCACAGCTCCGCCTGCCCAGCCTTACCTCCAGCGGGTCACTCTAATTGTGCGATAGCTCTTTTTTTTTGGCGGACGCAGTAAAACCTTAAACAGCGACTCGCACGTCTGGCAGACTCGCTTCTTTGCGACTAAGTATTGCTGATTATTTTATTTTGTTACCCTTTTTCTTTTTTAAACGTGCAGACCTTGATCGATGTATATATAATACCCAGGTCATGTTTGACTATTTATTATGTAAGCGAGTAATCAGCCATGAACAAAATGTTTGCATCAAAAATAAATTTGCGTCAAAAAATACAGGTTTGGTGACTCCTTTTAAATGATCAAAGTGTGATGATTTACCACTCACGGTTACATGTTAGAGGTCCTGATAAGCGCCAATGTACGCACACTGTTAATTATAACTTTTACTCTTAATTTGTAAGGAAGAGTGGTAGCATCGTGGTTAGTGTACTACGTGTTAAACAAACTACAAACTTAATGACCCGAGTTCAATTCCCAGCCACGGCTAACATCAGGATACTCTTAAGCCAGCATTGTTTTTCACACTGCAATATGTGAAGCTTCAGGAGGGCAATGTTTAGGGGTTCCACCATTAAACGCCATTTTACGTATGTATATTGAACTTCTTTCACACGGTACGTAGCCAACCCTGCTAATGGGAAGTGAGCGGATGTCACTGAACACATGATCAGTTTAACACGTAATCCTCCACCACCCGGCAGCCAATTAGTAAGGGATTTGTCACATAAAACGCCAATTAGTTACTACTTCAGCCCATCGGTGTGTTGGAGAATAAATCCACAACATTTACAATTTGAGTACGACGTTTCACTGGTAATTACATCCAGCATGATCGGGCGATTTCCAGAATAGTGAAGCCATCCACCTGCATCCGGTCTTAATAGAGCAACAGGACGACGTCATCACTGAACCCATCAGGCGCAGAAGGGGGAGTTATTGTAATTATATAATTAGTATGTTTCCTTTTAGTCTCACGCTTATGTTACGAACCGTCTGTTCTTATGCAGTGCTTCATATCTAGTGTGAAAACCAGTCAAATTAGTGAACAGACGGGATGTAAACATTAGCATAAGACTAAAAGAACACCAAAAAAATATTAAATATTCTCAAACACAACTATGGGCAGTTGCAGAACATGCTTGCCAACAAGGACAATCAATTTATTATGATAACGTTGAAGCAAAATGTAATGCGAGAATCCGTTGAAATTGAGTGAAATACAAATAATTTTAACCGCTCTGACAGCTACAGGCTTAGTGCGGCCTATAAGCGTATTATTAAGTAATTGTAAGATGAGATGAAAAGGAAGGCAGAAGAAGAGGTGGGGCGATGTGGTTCGATCGGACGTGGTGGCCCGAGGAGCGGAGGGAGAGATGGCGTGGAACGGGGCGGTGTGGAGGAGGTGGCAAGGATGGCGGAACACCCCACAAGAGTGGGACAAACGCGTGGAAGAAGAAGAAATCTTACATTGCAAATAGAGAAAACACAAACTGATTAAATTATTACGAATCAATTCTATAATTACAATACCCCCTCCCTCGCCTCTGATTTCTGCACTTGATGGGTTCAGTGATTACGTCCTCCTGCTGCGCTATTTGAGACCGGATGCAGGTGGGTGGCTTCACTATTCTGGCAAATCGCCCGATGATGATGGATGTAATTACCAGCGAAACGTCACGGTACTCAAATTGTAAATGTGGATTTACTCTCTGAAACACCGGTGGGCTGAAATAATAACTAACTGGCTGTTGGTTACCTGACAAATCCATTACTAATTGGCTGTCGGGTGGTGGAGGGTTACGACACATTTATACTTACGTGATCTAACCCAAAAACCTTTATTATGGAACACATGTCCACTCAACTTGTTCTGAAGACACTAGTTTTGTACGATCATTTTCATCCTGCAACAGCAGAGGGGATTGCCTAAGACTTCACTCATTTGACTGATTTTCACACTAGACGTGAAGCAGTTCACAAGAAGCTCTTTGATCGGTGTTGGCATAGACGTGTGAAGTCCCTGGTGACCATGCTCAATATCTATATAAAAGTAAAAAATGTGTTTGTGTGTGGGTTTCTGTGTGTTCGCGCGCTTGCGAAGAATTTGGCTTTTTAACGGAGAGGTTTACGTGAAATAAAATAGCCAGGTACCACGCCATAAGCTCCGCGGTGAGCAAGCGCTATTCCTTTTTCACATCCGTCAACTTTAAATTAGTTGAATTAGCGATTTAGTGCGATTTTTGTGTGCTTTTTATTTATTTATGACGAATGCACGGCCATACCTACTCAGGTGCCTTTGGTGGGGGGGGACGGCCCATGCCAAGCCGCACGTCTTCGGTGGGAGTGAGGGGGACATTTTCTTTGGCGTGAAAAATGCTATAAAATACACTAAACGCTGAGGTAAATTACTCACTGTGTGATGTCCCCCCCACCCCAATGCATGCGGTTACTACTGTACAGTTGGTATATGCTACCACTATAGGCCATAGATATTACTGCAGAGCGGCCGGGGAGATCTCGGCTGGTGTGGGGGGGGGGGTCAGGGGTAGCAGCCCAGCCCCAGCCTGCCAAGGTGCCACCTTGGCCGGCTGGACAATCTAGGCTAGGCTGGAGGCTCTGCACGGGACTAGGCCTTACCACGCCACTCTGTCAGGCGAGTACTTTGTGCTACAGAGTCGATAAATACTGCTAGTCAGAATGTACTACTGTAGTGATAGCAGGTACCACCACAGTCGGTATGCACTGCTGTAATCAGAGCAGGTACTACCACAGTGTGCACTGCTGTAATCATAGCAGGTACCACCACAGTATGCACTGCTGTAATCATAGCAGGTACCACCACAGTCAGTACGCACTGCTGTTAGATTTTTAAGAGTAGTTTAGAAATATTTGTTTGGCCCGGGCAACGCCGGGTACTTCCCGCTAGTTATTTATAAAATCAAAGTCTGCATTGGTTTACCTTCCAACCTCATCTGCATATGTTCGTTTTATTAACATTTCCCTTCAAGCACATTCTTTATATAAAGGCTTGGATGCAATCCAATTTTCTTCAGTTGAATTTTGAAACGACGGAGGTGAAGCTTGTTGGGTCCCCTCCCCACTCCAACTTTCGAAGGCTGGTTCGGTCTGTCTGACCACCGATGCCCGCAATATTGGTGCTGCTTAGTCAGTTTATAGCCTTGGCGTTGTCCTTTATGCCTCATTAGCCTTTGAAGCGCACATTAACAAGAACACTAAGGATTCCTTTCACCATCTTTAGAAACATAGCCAGGCTGCGCCCCCGTCCTTTCACTATTGGACACTGAGAAGCTGGTTCCTGCATTTATTTTCTCTCGTTGACCCTTGTAACTCACTGGTTTGCTGGCATGCCCCATACACTGTTTAAGTCGCCTACAACACGTGCACAATGCGGCTGACAGAATGCTTACGCGCAGCAAGTCTGCTGCTGAACACGGTAGCCCGTGAGCCGGCATCTCCATTGGCTGCCGATCTGGTTTCGGGAAGCGTTCAAGATTCTACTAACCTACAAGGCCCCTCAATGGTGCTGCCCCCTCGTATGTAGCGGACCTCCTTCGCCCATGTTCCAACAAGTGTACTTGGCTCTTCCGAGTCTAGCCTGTAGTGTGTGTGTGTATGCCGTGGGTCACATCTCTGTAGGATGAGGGTTGGTGACCATCGTTCCTTCTCTCGTGTGGCCCCCAGGCTGTGGAATTCACGTCCACTGAACGTTCGCTCTGCTGACCTCCCCCCTCGCTTTATTCAAATCGCGCCTGAAGACGCAACTTATTTAGAACGATTTTTTTTTACTTCTTGAAGCCTTTGTTTTTTTTTGTGGGGGGGGGGGGGGGTTAGATTTGATCGGTGTGAGCCTCCCCAGGTGTGTTGTGAACAGTGCCTTGTGACCCCAGGGTGACGGGCACTTTCAAAACGTAAATGATTGTTTGTGTATATAGGGTCTATACAATCGGACGTGCCTCATCGCGTGAGGACAATTGTGTGAATGAACACACTGATGGGGTTGGATATTCAATATTGCCCACGGAGGAAACAGGAGCCTGTCCTTAAGTTAACGCCGCTGACCCATATCTCTGATTACCACATGGGTGTAGCAGCATATAGCGGCCAAGGGCTTGTCGTTCATATCTTACAACACGTGTAGCTATGTGCAATAGCGAGATGCCCGAGATAACACACTATTTAGGCTGTTTGCAAACAGTACATTGTATTTATAAACGTTTGATTGTTCATATTCTTGGTTCTTTCGGTAAAGTCACGTAGATAGAAAAGAATGATGTTTTTTTATTTTTTTATTTTCTATCTACGTGACTTTACCGAAAGAACCAAGAGTATGAATTCCTGCAGTCACGAATGGTTTTAAGTCAAAATGTATGTGCTGGTTCTACAGTCTGTGCGGGTGGCAGCATTGTTGCAGTGGTTAGCAGACTATGCGCTTGGCTGAAATCGGTGAAGATCTAAACTGGTCCTTTGCTGCTTATACGGTCAGCAACCCGCATTGACCATAATAGTGAAATATGGTCAAATAACACCCGTGACCGAAATGACACGGGGAAGCCTTCAACCAGTAGTCGATATACAAAAATGGATTAACATTTTAAAACGGTAATAGTTGCGCAAAGGGTGGTGGAATACTTTTTTTCAGATTCGATCATTCCGTTTTAAATGTAGTCATCGTTAACATGGCACACTCTATTACAATTAATGTTTGTCTCATAACCATAGCAGGTCGAAGTTGTAACAGTGCTACGTCTAAATTTAAAAACCGCAAACACAAGTTCTAATATATTTGCTTCTTTCGGTAAAGTCACGTAGATGAAAAAATAATAATGAAAATAAATAAATAAAATTTCATTTTTCATCTACGTGACTTTACCGAAAGAGCCAAAGAGTATCCTTGCAGTCACGAAAACTTCAAATCTAGAAACAAGTTCCAGCTTTTGTTAACGTCGTTTTATTAATACTGTACAGTACAAAATAAATACCATACCAACATTTATTTTTTTAAGTAAAAAAAAACCACACACAGCTGGAGCAAATAAATGTACCACCGACGTAGAAACGGACTCCAGTTGTACGAGTTTGTGTTGCTCACTTCCCAGCCTCAACAGCTGGGGCTGTGGACTCAAGGCCCATCATCATTTTGCCATTGACGGCAAAGAGTGAGTGCATGGGGGGCCACGTTTTCAGCTTGCGTCCGTTGTTGTTATAAGGCAATCCCATGTTGGGGGTCCTTGATGGACGGGCGGTGGTTACCAGTGCCGCGAGTCACGAGCAAATGGAACGACCACGGAGAATAATAAACACGCAAACACGTCGGTTTTAATAATCGTGGCCAAAAACCAAACGGAAAGACACTTCCCTCCCCCCCCCCCCACTACACACAAACACAATTTACACATTCTTAATGAAACCACTGCCGTGCACACTTTCAAATGGGCACAGATAATTAAATAAGTGTGGTTCCAGCGCACTTCCCCTTTGCCGTGTGAGCGTCAGTGTCCGTTTCATTTGGTGGCCCTGCATGCGATTGGTCACTCGGGGGTCGTTTGCGTTTGAATTGCGAACGGACGCCAATCGGCGCCGAGCGAGTCGGCGTTAGCGACCGTGAGCAACAGAATGCTTTGTTTAAGGAAGGTGTCCAGCTAAAACCGATTAAATCACTAACGCGAGACGCGGTTTTCCTGTACGCGTTCACGTTTCTACGTGGCGTGCACTGTACCTTTCAACATTGTGTCCGTGCGCCAAAACGTGCTCGTTGCAGAATCTGAGATAACCTTTTACAGTGTTCAGAGATTTGGAATTTGTTGTTCAAACACTGGGGTTATAAAGGGTATTGGTGAATTGTGCGACTGTGTGTAGCCATAAGACTGCATTTTTTCAGAATGGTTACATGACCCCAAGTAAAACATTTTCAGTTCTTGTAAAATTCAAAAATAGATTTTTATTTATTGATATGGTAAGGTCTAAACCAGGTGAGGTCACTCTTGCAAATGAGACAATCTTGGTCTCTCGGGTTCTCACCTGGTTCAACAAAAAAAACCTAAACTTGATAATTAAATGAGACAGGGCTCTTGGTAGACCTTTACGTGAATTTCTACTGAAAATTTTCGTGACTGCAGGAATTCATATTTCTTGGTTCTTTCGGTAAAGTCACGTAAATAGAAACATAACAAACAAAAATAAAGTGAATAAAAAATTATAAATAACAAAAAAACCCTAATGTTGACTGCAGCCTGGTTCTTAATTGGAGTGAGTGTACTGGCAGTCTATAATGTAGACTGTAGCAATGGTTATTAAGCTGGGTGAGTGTATTGGTAGTCTATAATGTAGTTTAACATGTAGGCTGTCGCGACCAATATTCATAATAAAGGTTTTTGGGTTAGATCGCGTTATTAATAAATGTGTCGTAACCCTCCACCACCCGACACGGCCGATCAGCAAAAAAGTGTCACGTTGACAAAAGACAAATAGTTCCCTACTTTAGCCCACCGGTGTGTTGAAGAGTGAATCCACAACATTTACAGTTTGAGTACAACGTTTCGCTGGTAATTACATCCAGCATCATCGGGCAATTGTAGCAATGCTTATTAAACTGAGTTAGCATACTGGCAGTCTATAATGTAGACTGTAGCCTGGTTTTTAAGCTGAGTGAGCGTACTGGCAGTCTATAATGTAGACTTATCCTTGGTTCTTTCAGTTAAAAAAAAACCCACGACGTTTCGATCGCAACACAAGCGGTCGTCATCAGGAAAAGGGGGTTAGCCTCTAAAGGCTATCCCCTTTAGAGATGGGCGTACATAAAATGTGTGATCTGATCCCATCTGTGAAGGACAAGATTCCTGTCATACAATATCCCGGTGTCTACAAACTAAGCTGAATCTGCGGCAGCAGTTACATTGGGGAAACTAAACGACACGTCTCGGACCGTGTTCGTGAGCATAAGGCACATTTGAAACACGGTAGGACCAATACTTCTACCGTGACTGATCATTATTTTAATGCAGCTGGCTCACATGAAATAGATTTCTCTAAGACGATGGTACTTTGCAAACCTTATGGCTATCAACAAAGATTCGTTCATGAAGCCATCCATTTTTTTACAGACAGACAAAATTTCAATCGAGAAGATGGTTATAAACTCAGCAATCATTGGAACGATGTCATCGACCACTTTGGGTTATGACTTGATTTGTGTTTTCTTGTCAACCTCCACCGTCAGCAGTGTGGGTGTGTGGAGGGAGGTACAATGATTGCCTGGCGGCCCTTGATTGGTGTAGACCCACTGCCGGTGTCGTTGTTTTCTACCTACATTAACATTCGCTGCCCCGCCCATGCTGCTGACACACTTGGGCTACGCCCATCTCTAAACCTTTATAAGAGGCTAACCCCCCTTTTCCTGATGACGACCGCTTGTGTTGCGATCGAAACTTCATGGGTTTTTTTACTGAAAGAACCAAGAATAAGTCTACATTATAGACGGCCAGTACGCTCACTCAGGTTAAGAACCAGGCTCCAGTCTACGTTATAGACTGCCAGTACACTCAATCAGTTTAATAACCATTGCTACAGTCTACATTATAGACTGCCAATACGCTCACCAGCTTAAAAACCAGGCTACAGTCTACATTATAGACTGCCAGTACACTCACCGAGGTTAAGAACCTGGCTACAGTATACATTATAGACTGCCAGTACACTCACCAAACTTAATAACCAGGCTACAGTCTACATTATAGACTGCCAATACACTCGCTCCGATTAAGAGCCAGGCTACAGTCTACATTAGTGTTTTTTATTTTATTATTTTTTATTCACTTTATTTTTTACTTTTATATCTACGTGACTTTACCTAAAGAACCAAATAATACGACCTTTACGTACTTCACGACTCAACGTTAGAATGATGCAATGCTTTAATTGAATAGGGCTTTTCCTGCCATATCCTGCTATAATACAGTACTGCTTCGTTCTCTTTGTTTTTTTTCGGTAAAGTCACGTAGGTAAAAATAAAATAAAACAACTAAATTAAATCACGACGTTTCGGAGGCAACACAAGCTTCCGTCTTCAGGTGGAACAGTCACAGCAGAATCGCTGTACCAAGTGGGCAGCTCTTGAGACGACCGGTTAAGGGGGGGGGAGGAGCCAGAAAGGGACGTGGGTGGGGGGAGGGCTGAGTTAAGCAGTCTTTTGTTATGCTGCAGGGGGTTCGGGGGAAGAGATGCACGTGTACATACAACTCACTGAATGCAATGGAAATGGCTGTACAATTATAAGGCAGCTAAAGTTTTATTTGGTTTATAACATCTTTCCTATGGTTGCTCAATTTGAAACCATTCTCTCGGTTGAAGTTGTGTCTATGTTTGTATATCTGGATGGCTTCATGGACAAACCTGTATATAATCCCGGTCGTCTCAAGAGCTGCCCACTTGGTACAGCGATTCTGCTGTGACTGTTCCACTTGAAGACGGAAGCTTGTGTTGCCTCCGAAACGTCGTGATTTAATTTCGTTTTCTTTTCTTTTATTTTTACCTATGTGACTTTACCGAAAAAAACAAAGAGTATGAATCCTTGCAGTCACGAAAGCTTCAAATCTAGAATTACTGCTTCGTTGTTTATTCCGATTCCCATGGATTAAAGATTGAACTGATAGCACAATAAAAACATTTCAAAGTACTCCAACAGCATTCCCCATTGTATTGAAACTCATTTAAGATAATTGACAAATTACTACACTTGGTATTCACGCCATTCTCATATCATGGGGGCTATTATAAAGGTGATATGTTTCACAGATGGGTATAGTCTGCCAGTAGGGGGGCGATATTGCCATATGGGTTTTACCAAATTAAGTAATTTGTGGGTACATTTTAAAACCTGGCAGATTTGAACTGTGAACCCGGCACACGTGGCCTCCTAGCTTTCGAATGTCATGGTATCTGTAACATCCGCTATGAAGCTGATGGTGTGATTTCTTGGTGAGGCACACTTGCAGTATTAAACTGGTGGTACAAACTATCTTTACTTTAGAAGTACCCAGTCTTCATAATAAGGCGACAGCGCATTTTGAGCCCGAATGTATAACCTAGCACATTGAAAGCACGTGGCTTGGATAGACACGGCACCTCTGCAGGCCGGTGTCTAAAAGCCATCTGCCTCATGTCAACAGGGAGCAAAATTGACAGAATATGAAATATTGATGCACCCTTGTGCATTCTACTTTGCCCAATCACACGTTTATTGTCACATGCAGTTTCAGTCTCCAACACTGCAGTGTCAATAAATTAATAAAATATCTCATTATGTTTTGGTTTGTAAAGAGAAATATGGAATTCACCACTTAGTTATGTATATTTTTCTTAAACGTTGTAGTTTGTTTTGTACTGGCAGTATCCTAATCTCTGCATTTTTTAAAAATACATGTAGTGGTGGTTTGTATATATGAAAAAATATATATCTTTTTCTCAGTATAAATAGCCAATTAAATGTTGTGGCACTGTGCATGGTAAGCAGGAGTGCTAATCGGAGGTGCGGAAGGGCAACAAACTAAACACAAAAATCAGTTCTAAATGAGTTTGCAATATATATTTAAAAGTGCATAGCTCCAGTGGCCTCCTAATATCGGTAGAGCGTTCCAGACAGCCGCAGAAGCACATCTGAAAGCGCTGCGCGATGCGGTAAACCGCCTTTGTTCGATGGCTACACTTGAGCCCTTGCATTCCCACCTCAATCTACAACACATGATGCACCAAATTCACAATTCCAACATTGCAAATGAGATGCTCCAGCTCAGGGATTATCCAGTTCAATAATTATAAAAATACCCATATGGATATACAAGGAAGAGCTGGCGCACTGAGGTTTGGATTGTCCATTTTGTGACACTGTGGTGAGAATCGGAGAATCTACATTTATGCGATCCACACTTGCAATCCAGCCTCGTTGATGATCTTGTATAATGTACGCATTAGCATCTTTTGTTATGTCAATGTTCATGTGTTGATGGTGCGCCAATTTAAACATCGAAGCAGATGACTCGAAGGTAAGCCAATGCAGAAATTGTATTAATAAATTAATAATGCAATCGTACATTTGGTAGCCACTGAATTTACACCTAGATTAACCTTGATCAAAGCTCATGGAATGTTTCGCGTTTCCTGCGGATTTAGAAAAAATGGTCAATCATTGATAATTCTTACACCAGAGAAAACCAGCACCTTTGATACAATTGCGTATCTTGTACATACACACACGAGTAAAAACGAAGCCGATTTAATGCAAAGTGTTCTCATGGGATGCGCATGGCAAGGAAAGTTGACGTATTTGTTTTTCTTGTATTCCGCATAAAAAAAGTTACAATATGCATGAACACTGTTAGGTTTTACCTATCTGAGAGGGCAGTACTTGATATAAGTACAGAAAAAAACCACCTGGTTCAAACAGTGTGCGTTGATGCTCGGGGTCAAGCTCACCACTACAGGGTCAACACAATTCATTCACACCTAGCGTTGGGGTATGTGTTGGACGTCTCTCAAGTAAAAAACAATACAAGTTTAACCTACTTGCTGACTGGCACTACCATTGAGAACAAAAATTCACTAGAGAAAAAAATTCGTTTTAAAACAGCAACCATCAAAACGACGTGTGAGAAATACTGTCCAACATTCAAAGTTCACAGTTTGCGCTTTATAGCTCTCTAATGCATCTTCGGCTTTTACCACGTATTATTCGGCATGATGTCCGATGCTTCACTCCACATTCTGATAGTTCCGTTCCTGAAGAAGCTCCCGACATGTGGAGAAAAACATCGGACATTGACGAACAATGCCCGGTGCAAACCGTCAGGGCATCGCGGAACAACTAACAATGAAAGTTTACGTCCATGTGCACGGGCAACGTTATCGCGGATCCTCGTTGATGTCCCGCGGTGGTAGCTTAGGCTGCATGGCCGACCCGTCACTCGCAACCGCGTCACGCCGTACCCTGTGCCACCTCCTGCTGCAGCCGTGCGCCGCACACTCCTCCACCCGCACTGGACGGGATGCCGCACTGCAACCTCCGACGCCGCCGTTGACCAATCCGGAGCGTGATGATTTATTGCCGGCCGGTCCCAAGATCAGTTCGGCGAGCTCGGCCTTGACTCTCGCTTCCTCGACGGCTCTGTTTATCAGCGGTCTCGACGCGGCTCCGTCGGAAGCCGTGTCTGTGCCACTGCCACCGCTGGCGTTGCGTGCCCCGGGTGGCCGGGTGGTGGCGGTGGTGCCGCCCATCCCGTAGGCCGGCCGTCCCCGGTACATGTTCTCCACGGGGTCGGTGAAGCGGTATACGCGACGCGCCTGGGTGGGCCGCTGCCGTTGCTTGGGGCCACCGTTGTCCGTGAGGGCGTCGCCGTTTTGCGACGTGGCTGGTGGACCGTCCTGCACCTTCAGCGACTCCGCCATTTTGGCCGCCAATTCCTGCGCCCTCCTTTCAGCCTCTTGTCTTGCTCGTTCTGCAGAGACAAATACAGATGTAAGATTTTGATTTAAAGCTTTCGTGACTGCAGGGATTCAAATTCTTGTTTTTTTCGGTAAAGTCACGTAGAAGGGAAACAATAAAAGAATAAAAATATAAAACAATAAAATTATCACGACGTTTCGACTGCAACACAAGCAATCATCATCAGGTGTGAAAACCACAGCAAGAAAATTGTTATTGTTTCCCTTCTACATGACTTTACCGAAAGAACCAAGAATACAAATGTAAGAGTTTATTAACTTCGCTGTCGCATACAAATGGATAAAGAGGTATGAAATAAATTAATAAATTACCGTTCTTTAGAACCAGTTCATAGCCGATTGAGACACCAATTTCAACGGAGATCTGAGCCTACGTGTTCAACGGATATCTGAGCCTACGTGTTCAACAGAGATCTGAGCCTACATATTCAATGGAGATCTGAGCCTACGTGTTCAACGGAGATCTGATATGCAACTAAATAAAGGTGCTGCCCTGCAATTGCTTGTTCACGCCACCGCTGGCAGAAGGGTCTCCACCAGAGGGAGTTCTGGAGAAAACTTTATCGAGGGTGTTTGGCCTACTCTTCCACGCTGGCCAAACATCTTGAAAGACGTAGGAATGGTCCCACAATTTACCCCACCGATCGACTGTAGTGTATCCATTTATACTGCCGTGCCGGGAGATGTTATCGAATCGGAAACCTCTGGATTTCGAACTCCAGTTTGCTATGAATTACATTACAGAAATACAACAAAAATGATAACAGTTTTTACTTTTTTTTCCATGATAGCAAAGGAGATAATTTCTGAACAGGATTATGCATACAGTGCGCATTATGGGCCACGTTTAAATACACATCACAGACTAATATCATCCAAATATTCAGCTGGGTGACATTCACAGGTAACCCTATTTACTGAACATAATACTTGGGTAAAGAAAACGTAAATGGAGTTTATAGTTAGAGCTGTGTAATAATAATGGTCATAAAAGTCACGGGTTTACAGGACAGTGAATCAATGAATGGAGAACCAGAAGGAACGCTGGCACGTGTCCAGAAAATACATGCAGAACAATAGACCAAAATGAGATATATGCAATTCATTATCTAATAATAGGGGTTTCCTCTTTTTTCTGGCAACAAAACTGAAACCTTTTTACAAGGATTCATGTCTGCATTAACCACAATACCTGCAGTCAAAATGCAAACCAAAAACATACTATGATAATATATGCATTGTACTTGAAACTGATTGGTCCACACCAAGGGACAGCTTTCTTTTGAGCCTCGACCCAATTGGTGCTCGACCTTTTAGCATCATCTGGTCGAGCACCAATTGCAGCAATGGTCATCGCTATTCTGGCTGCAATTCCCTCACCAGTCTTGTCCAGTGTCCATCATCACTCCTAACAGTGGTGTGTTATGCTCAATTCCACGCTTCTTACGTGAAAATTACATCTCTAACTCACACATGTTCTCTGATTCATGTATTTTGCTTTCTGTGTCTCGGTGAAATTCCAGCTTTTGTTCCATCTTTGTCGATGTCCCTGTTTATGCTCCATGTTGTAGAATGTCATCCACACCAAGTTGACTAAGAATACATGATATTAAGAAAACACGAGATGGTAAATAAAATAAATGGGAAGTTTAGAAAATATCATCGAATATATCTGTAACGATTTCACACAGAGTAAGATGTGCATTTGCTGCAGTGGCTAGATGTTAACTACCTCACCTGGTATACAGGAGGTCGTTGGTTCCGATCGCTACCCTGACACCAGCTGCTGTATATTTGGAGTTTGCAGCGTCTCTCTCTCTCTCATCATCATCATGGTGGCTAGGAGATGTTGACTACCTCGCCTGGTATACAGGAGGTCGTTGGTTCCAATCGCTACCCTAACGCCTGCTGCTGCTGTATATTTGGAGTTTGCAGCGTCTCTCTCTCTCACCATCATCACAGTGGCTAGGAGATATTGACTACCTCACCTGGTATACAGGAGGTCGTTGGTTCCGATCGCTACCCTAACGCCTGCTGCTGCTGTATATTTGGAGTTTGCAGCGTCTCTCTCTCTCTCATCATCATCACAGTGGCTAGGAGATATTGACTACCTCACCTGGTATACAAGAAGTTGTTGGTTCCGATCGCTACCCTGACACCTGCTGCTGTTGCTGTATATTTGGAGTGTTCGTGTCTCTCTCTCTCATCATCATCACGGTGGCTAGGAGATGTTGACTACCTCGCCTGGTATACAGGAGGTCGTTGGTTCCAATCGCTACCCTGACGCCTGCTGCTGCTGTATATTTGGAGTGTGCGTGTCTCTCTCCTCGTGGTCGCGTGGATTTTTCTCTGGGTCCTCCGTTTTTTTCCCTCCACATTTAGAAACGTGCGTTTAGAGTATTTGGCTGCTATAAATTTCCACATCAGCCACTTCGTTGAGCATGTTACCAGGTCGCTTATGAAAGAGAGCTAGATAGCTCCGTGAACCTTACCTGGTAAAATAAAATAAAAACCAGCTGAATGGTTTACTTCCTAATAATGGAAGCACCTTTGATGAGCCTCAGCGCTTGCTGCTCCTCCTCGTGCCGTTCACGCTGCCTCTGCAGGGCGAGGTCCCTCTCCCTCTCCACGCGCAGGACAGCCAGTCTCGCCCTCTCCAGCCTCTCTCTCCTCTGCCTCTCCCTCCTCTCCTTGCGTACTCTCTCCTCCCGCTTTCTCCTCTCCGTCTCTCGTCTCGCGTTCTCCTCGCGCTCCCTCGTCTCCCTCTCGCGCCTCTCCTCCAACTCGCGTGTCGCCCTCTCCTCTTGCTCTCTCCTCTCCCTCTCTCGCCGCAGTTGCTCGAACCACTCTCTCTCCAGGTAGCTGTCTGTTTGCACCGCTTTGTTTGCTTGATCTGTGGAGAAAATGCAAACAAAATAAAACACACACAAATCATAACAAACGTGGCAGCTTGGTGCTCTATTGGCGTCCTTCAGCCATGAGTAGAAATTACACATTCTTATGGCAGAGCTAGTATCTCCATAGGACAACAGCTTTTGTTAATCCACTGATGGATGAGGAACTGAAATGTGGTCATTATGTTTGAGCCTACCATTAATAAATTGAGAAATTGTGGAAAGTTGACAGGCAGCAGCCACACAAAGACACCACTGTACACCAGCTTCATCCTTGTTTGGACTTACAGTATAGCAGTCATCAACGTCCACTGCTGCCATCTGCATCTCGGAGCCTCGCATATGGAGAGGGCTTGTTCCTTTACACTATGAGGACCCATTCGCTTGCCTAACTGGCGATTGCACAATGTGCAAAGCTGAGAGCCTTTGCACATGGCAATGCACATCTTGGTGGTTGTTAAATCTGTTTTCGGCACCAGACTAATGTTTCTATTGTGTTGGGTTTTTCTCGTCATTCACATTTTGAATCGCTATCCTCCCCGCGCCTTGAAAGCCGCGAGGGATACTTGGCCATATTTCACCTGGCTGGTCGGTGCTGGGAAGTGAATGTGGCGGGGTGAGTGTGGAACAACAATGTATTTTGCTGCATGGCCATCTACTGCCCACGACGCCTGCCACACCTGTCTTCTGCGTACGGTGGACGTAGCAACTGGTGATGTGAACTTTGCCAACCCCAGAGGGTTATAGTGGCCACACCGGGATTTGAACTCGCAATGCTTTTGTAGTGTGTTGTACGGAGGCACACACTGGAGTTGGAGGCAACACGTTTATTTAATAACTCCCCAATAGGGTAACTTAATCTTCTTTGGTTCTTTCGGTAAAATCACGTAGAATGAGAATAAAATAATAAATTAATAAAATAAAATAACACAATAAAATTCTCACGACGTTTCGGCCACAACACAAGCGGCCTTCATCAGGTGAAGGGACGAGACTATCTGGAGGACAGCGCTGGAGCGAACACAGCCAAGCTCAGACCACGACCTTTAAGCTGTGTGAGAAGAAACAGAGCGCCTTGACAAAGGAATTAGGTCGCGGTCTGAGCTTGGCTGTGTTCGCTCCAGCGCTGTCCTCCAGACAGTCTCGTCCCTTCACCTGATGAAGGCCGCTTGTGTTGTGGCCGAAACGTCGTGAGAATTGTATTGTGTTATTTTATTTTATCAATTTATTATTTTATTCTCATTCTACGTGACTTTACCGAAAGAACCAAAGAAGATGAATCCTTGCAGTCACGAAAGCTTTAAATCGAAATTTAGGGTAACTTAACTCAACGTACACTGGTTCTACTGCTAAGCGATAGCTACAGTTAACTATGTGAGTAGCGGGTTAACTACACGCATGGGTCAGTCAGCCTACACGCTGGCTGACCCACGATGCCGAGCGAAGACCGAAAACGACGAGGCGGAGCACCAAGGGTTGATTCCAGAGACGAGCCTAGAACGCTCTCGGGACTGCCCCTTTATGCTCCTGAGCGTGGCCTCGCTCCGCTTTCGGCCACGCCCCCTTCGAGACCTTTCCCGAAGGATCTCGACAGAGCGTCACGTGTCCCTCAAGCCCTCCTCGTGCCTACCTCACTACCCTGTCCCAGTCACGTGCCCTCACGGGTTCACTCAGACTACCATGTCCTGATTTGCCCTCTCTCTGGCCGCCACCAGGACTATGCCCCCTAGGGCCCGTTCGCATACCGTACTCACTCTGGCCCCGGAGAGAGGTTCCAGACGCACAGTAGCACTCTTATGTAGGCCTCGGCAAGGTAAGGTAATTTACTCTTATTACCGGGTAAAAGGGTAAAGGTGTCGACATGCCAAGGGGTAAGGTAAAGGGTAGGATGAAGGTAGCTCGGAAGAATTACCAGGTAGGGTAAAGGTAGCGCGAAGTATTACCCGGTAAATATGGTGCCTTGTTTACTGCTAAAAGCTCCGTGGCGCAGTCCGTGCCCTCCATTTAATAAGTAATATTTAAAAAAAACTTTTTTTTAAAAACACGCTTTTATTAAATGTACTCGTAATGGCAGAACTTCACGACTCCAGGAAGTGGCCCCTAAGCTTCCATAACGTAAGGGACTGTGGCCAATTACAGCCAACGTCAGTTGACTGTGGACATTAGACCCAAGCTGAAACATAACATATAAAAGATTGTTTAAAAATATTTCATATTATTTTTATGATAAAATATAGTATTGTCATCAGTATGACATAAATATACCAAGTTTGCAGTCGATACCACATTGAGAAGTGGGTTAAAATTGAGTTACAAGATTTGAGGATTCAACGACAACAAGCGTGTAAAATTTGAATCGAGAGTATTCTATATGAATAAAGCGCTCTACCTAGCATTTACCGTTATAAACTTTTTTCATGTGTAGTTGTACCCCAGTAATTACCCTGTAATCGGGTAATTTGTATGGGGTAATGGTAAAAGGTAGGGTAAAGGTAGGCTCGTTGCTTTTTACCTTACCTGCTAAAGGGCAAAAGGTAAGGGTAGAGTGATTGTATTGTGGTAAGGTAAAAGGTAGGATAAAGGTAGGCTCGTTGTTTTTACCTTTTACCTTACTTTGCCGAGGCCTACTCTTATGACAGTGCCTGGCGCTACCACCATGGTGACGTCACTCCACTATGGCTGGGAATCATGTCGCCAAAAGGTGGGAACCACAATCCCAAACATTGTTATGAAAATAGGAGCCCACGTCAAAGCCTATCATTTATCGTGAATGCAATTAGTAACACGTGCACTTGAATGGCGGTTCATATGCGTCTTTGCACAACACGATGATGTCTCATTCCAGACACCGTTCACTATAAAACGTCGCTTGCAATCTTACTTAGGGATCATGGCACGCATTTACACGAGCCCCACTGTAGAACTTGTGTTCTCAAGACACTGGTGATGAATTTCAATTCGGTGATACATTTGCAAGCACGTATATTCGCTCGCCAAGAACACAAGCCACAGAAAAAGCACTTGGCAAATTAGCATCTTCAAAGGTCTATTAAGGTTAGTAATCTCTTTGGTAGGTGTCATGCTTTGCATTGTAATCTGACTATGGGTTATGTGCCAAACAAGGAATACAACTGGTCCACTGTAAACTTCAAAGAAGCTTTGCTTGCCTGAGTCATCATCTTTCTTCGACGAGCCCTTGAGACAACGATTCGCGTAAATGTTTTGGATGTCCAGCTCCCGATCCTTTTCCTTGGAAACAAAAAGAGAGGAGGATAAGCACAAACACACAATAAAAGGGATGCCACACCAACGCTCCACGCACACAGAAAATCAAGCTCGTGCAAGTAAAATACAGCTGCATGGTGTTAATCGTCGGTGGAACAGGAGCGGATTTCCAAACAACACACCTTCCTCCAATATTGGAGAACACTCAACATTGTACTTCACAGCAGTCCTTTGACTTTGGAAAACATTTGTTGACTACGCCATTGTTTTGAAGGGATTTTTTACGGTGCGGGGCAAGTGGAAGTGCCCTTTATATAATGCATATTGCTAGAAACAGTGCACTGTACAAAGCAGGAACAAGAAAATCCAGTTTAGAGTCCAGAACGTAGACATTCTTCATGATTTAGTTAATAAAATAAATAATAAAATACAAAATATTTAGTTAATGTTCCATTGTGTTACTAATGACTCATTGGGGTGGCCTTTCATACTTTACAACCGAAGGCTATTTTTTTATATAAACATCTTACCAGGTGTTTAAGTTCAGGTTGGACTAACGGTTGCGCAGTAGTTGTTAGCGCACTGCAATGTGAACCTCACCGCTCCTGCGCTTGATTTTTGGCGATGGCTGTCACCATTGGCGAGTGACGTCTGAAGCCATTGTTGGCCACCCCTCACCAACCTTGACTTCGCCACGCCGATACCAATCAGCGAGGTGAGGCATGGTCAACAACCCCTATGACTGACATGCTGTGGGGAAGATTTCACCCAATAGTGGTTTGACAAGGGGCTGTAAATGATAATAAACAAAAGCATACAATTTTGCGAAATGTTAACTGCCTCGCCTGGTATACAGGAGTTCGTGGGTTCGATCCCGACCCTGACGCCTGCTGTGTATCTGGAGTTGGCGTGTCTCTCTCCCCGCGGTTGTGTGGATTTTTCTCCGGGGCCTCCGGTTTTTCCCGCCAGATTTATAAATGTGCGCTTAGATTATTTGGCTGCTTGGAATTTCCACATGATAAGCCACTTCGTTGAGAAATCATTTGCAACCAGGTCGCCTCTGAAAAAGAGCTATACATAGCTCAGTGGGCCTTACCTGGTAAAATAAAATATATATAGTTTCGTAGTGTTATTAAGTTGGAAACAGAGGTGTTTTTAATATTTTACAGAAAGGCCCTGTGTATACTATATTACGCAGTGTGTTCCTGAAGAGAAATTTCAGCAATGCGCGCACAGATGCTTAAAGAGTTGGACGCAATTATTTATTTAGAAATACTTTATCGAGTAACTGAACGTTGTTTTATGGTGTCTGCATTTGTAACATACCTTGAATACTTGATGTAATAATGAATATCAACATTATAACGCATGTTTTATTCTCTCTCTCCAAACTTTGTATTTTGGTTATGGAATATGCCACACATTGGCACGTTGTTTTCTTGTTTAAACAAATTACACTGCGGTATTTTGCACCACAAAAATATACCCCAGTTCTCCTTTGCAAATGATACTTTCGTATAAGTTTGCACGTAGTCAGAGATCAACTTCATATATACAGTACACGTATTATCCAAGCAGCATTAAAGAAGCACACATTGAACAATATTTGCCATCGTTTTAAAAGAAAAATAATTTATATATGCACGGATTCTCGAACGCTTTCCAACTTGCGTTTCTTTACGAGCGATTGTAACAAAAGTATTTGTGTGTTGCTTCATACAAATAACTTGAATTGGGATTACACATCGCAATCATCGGCACCCTACTGGCAGGCCAGGTGCTGAGTCACATTGTGCCCACAGGGACAGCTGCCATTGGGGTGCCCTTTTAAATGTTTGCGATGAGATGTGATTTAAAGCATTCTGAGATGCCCCGGTGCATAGCAGGATGCTATATTAAAAATAAATAATTGCCATTATTTCGTTATACTGACGCTAACGGTAGCGTTCACACAAGGTGCGTGGACACCGGGTGCGCGGACACCGGGTGCGCGGACACAAGGTGCGCGGACACCAGCGTGGCATCCACAGGCCGCGAGGAGGCCACAGGGCTCCAATGTCGGCTCTGCTCGGGAGGGTGTGTTCAACCCTTGATAATTTTGGTCGGTTTTCTTATAGAGTACACCTTCATCATGAAGATCCTCTTAAAGAAAATGTTAAATTACCTAAATGACCATTAAGTTCATATAACTCCCTCCCGTAATCTCGGAAGTGCCTCCTTATTCCGACTAAGATTTACAGTCGCTCAAACTTTGTTTGGCAAAAAAGTATTTGTGCGTTGCTGCTCCAGGTTTCTGGAAAACCCTCGCCCGCTCATCTACAGCATGATTCCCTCCCTTCTCTCCCCATCGTTACTTTCCTAATAAACCAAAACTTAAAGCATACTTACACCTGTAGCTAACTTCCTCTGGCGCCTGCTGCTCCCACGTTTGCACTCTATTTTTCGATTTTCTTACAGGCACCTGTACCTAACTTTTTACATAACACTTGCACTATTTGTGACTCGTGTGAGTTTCGTTTACGACCGTTATATCGCTGGCTTGTTAGTTGTCCAATATTCATTGAGGACCCTGTACTCGTTCTCTGCGATACTGACGTGTTTGTCTCTCTTTTGTTGTTCCTGCTGTGCTCACGCGCTACAGATCTCCATTTTAAAATACCCGTGTAACAAACAAAATAAGCTTAAACATAATAGCGACGCAACTTGTTTTTCACATTTCATCATGTTTAGGAGCATTAACATGCCGTGCCCCCTCCTCCCCGCCCCCTCTGTTACAAACGGATAGACCAAGGCATAGAAATACAGAGTTAATGCATACACACTTTCAATCTTAGTTGGAAAGCATAAAAAAATGCAGAGTAGGCTAAATAAACAAGCTAGTTTTGGTGTCCTGCACACTTGGAATTATTATTGTGTCCTGAGCCTCGAATTGTATATTTCACAGAAACTGTGAACTGGAGTCAGGTGCAGGTGTTGCTCCCAAAGGTCATGTAGCTTGGGGGTTAGACAGACATATCTGGGCGTGTTATTGACAAGGAGCAACGTGCAAAGGGTGTGGTTGTAAACGATCGCAACTGGAGTTCAGCATAAGCCCGTGAATGCGGAGGTAACTAAGTTGCCTTGCCTTCCCTTCGAATGATCTGTTTGTATACATGCTTCTCGTCCCAAAACTCAACAATGAAAAAAAGACGAACGTGTATATTTACAATGCCAGGAATGTTCACGACAAGATTGACAGTGAGATGAACGTGAGATAAACATGACGGAGATGAGAAACGTGAAGAGAAGAGGTGCATACTAGCGGTCACATTTAGAGATGTTATGAATTTGCTTGTTCAGGAGAGGGTGGGGCAGTATTCATCTCTGTTGATAGGAGTGGAAAGTCCACATTCCTATGGCTAGGATTAGGTAGCACAGTGCTAATACTTGTACCTCACAGTAAGATGGGCCCAACTCGGGTGCCTGCGTGGCGTTTGCATGTTCTCCCCCGATTCTGCATGGGTTTCTCCTAAGTTCTCCGGTTCTCTCCAAAAGCTAAAAGCATGCAATGTCACTGGTATTGACCAAACATCCCAATGCTAAACATCTACCTGCAAATAGCTCAATTGTGTTACACTGAGCAAGATCCTTTTTGCAGACAGTTTTGAAACTCAGTGAAGATGTCCTGGATAAATAAGCGAATTAATAATCTTGAAACAACTAATGCCACCTGAACACAAAACGGTTCCCCATTTTATTTGACCCCAAATGAATGATGGACCAAGTGAACTTTCCTAATTGCTAGCCGATGGCCCTCATCACGAGCGCTGCTCATGTTAATTTCCTGCATTGGCAGCACCTGACATTCACAGCAACAAAGGAAACACACTGTAAGCAGGAATGTCTTCGAGGGCTGAACCGATCATGTTACCCGCAGCTGCTGGGCCAGACAGTCTATCTGGACCTGCAGGGCCCTCTGAAGGCTTTGTGTCTCCGCCAGGCTGCGCCGCTCTGCTCGAAACTGCCGTGTGAAATTGATGACATTCACCTCCAGGCTTTTCTGCAGTTCCTGCATTTCGCATGCAAAGAGATAATTGCGTGCCGTGTTGAAAATGTCACCGGCCAACCAGTGCAACTTATACAATATGCATCGTCAATATAATTACTGGTGATTCTCACTCTACTTTGCGATGGTTGCTTCACGTTGACCGATGATCCAGCACTCCAATCACTTGCTCACTATCATATATCGCTACTACAATGGTTATTTGTTCACGTGAACTTTAACCATTGATTCCTCCACCCATGTTGAGGACTTGGTCTACCACGCTGACTGGTTTGTCTCATTGGAATTGCGTTCAACTACCACTTCTCTCTCTGCTTCTTCCCTCGCATTGCTTGACTTTGGAATTCCCCCCTTTCCCCTGGTTCCTACAACCGTGTGCTATTTGTTGTTGGCCACTTAGCATTTTGTGTCTGTCCCTAGCAACCGTGATCTAAAAAGAAAATGCTCAAACGAACGCCTCGGATCCTGTGCTACTACAAATCAATCTCACTATTGGGAGGCCCTTTATTACGTCTTTCTATTATATTGTGGCCTACTTCTTTCAGATTACTTCCTATTACATACCGCTTTTAGAAGTGGTCAAGAGCTGCCACTCTCTGAAGCTCCTTGCAAAAGGAGACTCAGGGATGTGGACACACTGGGCCTGCTGTGAGCATAGCTGCCCATGTTTGTGTGACATGTGTCATTGTTACGGTGGAGGAAGCCAGACAATTTAATAGCTCCGAGGCCGCCACTGTGTAATGATTTTTTCATGTTTCGTGCATCCCACATTATACGTTTTAAGGTACAACCTGGTGCAGATATGTTTATACTTGAAAAACGTGTGTGTGCATTCCAAACATCTGACGCTCTCTAGATGCAGAATTCCTCGAGCGGGGTTCTACAGCATAAACACAACTGGTCAGGTGGCTTTAGGACGCCGCTTTCGCAAGGGACTAACAACTGTTCCAAACAGCAGGGGTGTGGTGCGACGCACTTGCCAGCCATAGCGATCTAAGTTGCCGCTTTTTAACGCATGCCAGTTAGCAAGAAAAACATGTCAACATTTGTTCCCCCAAAATGTTGGAATAGCTTTCAAAAATCAGTATGTGGTAAAAGATAAAGGTGCAGCCCTACAATGGCTTTCTCACGCCACTGCTGGTGGAAGGGCCTCCACTGGAGTGAGCTCTAGAGAGCCCCTCTGAAGGGTATTTGGTCTACTCTTCCACAGTGAAAAAATGGGAGAATCCGCACTTATCCCTATGACATACAACCTGCCAAACGACTAACCTCATCCGGCAGTATAAATGGGGCACCTGTTTATGCTGCTGGATGGACAGAGGTGGCATTTGGGGGGCGGGAGGGGGGCTACGAATCTGGCCATTCGTTTCATCTGCCGCACCGGGAGAAGGAATCAAACCAGTGACCTTTGTAATGTATGTCCGGTGTGCTCACCATTACAATGTGGTAAAGGGGCTTAAAAGTCAGCAGATAACTGCTTCGATCGGTGTTGTTGACAAGTACGGTGGAGTAAGCACTAGAGCGTCAACTATTTGCAAGGCGATTGGTGTGGGAGGGGGGGAGGGAGACACCCCATGTGGAACTGCACAGCACAGGGCGCGTCAGTGTCAACACCCCGCCCCCGCGCCGAGGGGCGGGGCTGCATGCCACCTGCACGCGCGGCTGCGTCCCCAGCAGCCTGCGCTCGACGTCGAGCAACGCCGCCCGCAGGCGCGGCTCGTCGGGCAGCGCGACGTCAGACGCGAGCGCCGCCAGCGCCTCGAGGTCGAGGCTCGCGCGCCGCCCCAGCGCCTCGACGCGCACGGCGGCGTGCGCGTGGCCCCGCTCCGCCTCGCGAGCGTCCCGCGTGGCCTCGCGCAGCCGCTGGCACTCCCGCGCGTGCGAGTCCAGCGCGTGGCCCAGCCCGCACTCCGGCACCTGCAGCGCACGGCGGCCGAGTTAGGGGCACGCGCGATCGGACAATGTTTCGCGCCCGCGTGCTGTGATGATCATTTATTAAAGTTTGGCTTTGTTAGGGGTTTTTTTTTTGGTTGTGTTGTTTACGCACTATAAATCGCCCAAAAGTCAAACCGATCATTTCATTTTCAGAACTGAAGTTTTGCCAAATTAAGTGCACAACCAAATTTAATGTGATGTTTTTTCTCGTCAATTGCTTTCCTTCCCCCGCACCTCTGATTAGCACGGTTGGCTACGTACGGTGCGAAAGAAGTTCAACATACATATATACATACCATCACATCGCTACACTTTAAAACCTGGTTTTATCACAGGTGACCACCTGGACTCGAACCCAGAATCTCAGCAGTGCCAGCTCAGTGCTCTGAACTTTGGGCCGCTCGGCCACCCACAGCGGTCGCCCATAGCCGCATCCTCACCTCGAAGGCGTTGATGGCGAGCTGGTGGCGACGCTGAGCTCCCCACAGTGCGATGTTCTCGTGGCGAACTTCGGCCAGGCGCCGCGTCAGCGCCACCGCCTCGTCCCGTAGCTCCCGCGATGCTCGCAGTCGCGCTGAATGCACGCGCCGCTCCAGTCTTCGTGCGTCCCTGACGCCGCCACCGCCGCCGCCGCCATACAGAACGCGTGCCGCGCGCGGGGGGCCCCATCGCCCCGGTGTAGCGTTCGGCAGAACTGTGAACGCCTTCTTTTTACCTGCAGCAGTGTGGTGTGTTTTGGGGGGGATTATTTGACACATACTGTGCAGACTTACCGAGGTATTATGTGAATTGTAATCGTCTGGCGCAGCAGTTGAAAAAACATCGGTCAGTTTCTTAAATCTCCCTGCCTCTGTTCACCCAGCAAAAAAAATAGGCACACCGGAGTTAGTTTATTAATAGACCACATGTGGTGAGGTATAGAGTAAGTACTCCCACCTTATTTAAAACATCCGGCCAGCTTTGAAGAGTCGGCCAAAATACCCTCTAGATTTAGTTTGACTGCTGCCTCTAGTGCAGGCCCTTCCGCCAGCCGTGATCGGACCAAGCAATCAGAATGTTGCACCTTTACCTTACATTGACATGGATCAAAATGTTCAGTTTTCAAAGAACAAGATATGGCAATGGTGCCCCTGTATTTTGAAGAAAACAAGAAAATATTGAAGTGATGTATATTAATGTTCTACTATCAAGGAGACTTGGGACAGTGTCGTATGCATAACTCACCGCGGATGAACGCTGTCCATGAAATATATCTTAATTTACTCATTTTGAACCGCAAAAGTTCAAACACAGGTTAAAGAAGCAAATACTGTCTTAGTACCTTCCTGAATAAAGCTGACATGACCAAGCTTACACATGCATCATTATCGCTTCATATTTATAGTGCACCTCCTTGTAATACATCTCCAGGTGCCCTGTGGCAGTCTAGATAAGGGGGACCCTCAGTGGCAGCTGTCCCTGTGTGGCAAATGGTGAACACACCACTGGCCTGCAATAGGTATCCGTCTGCCAGTAGTGGGCAATGTTGCTATGTGGCTTTTACAAATTAAGCAAGTAATGTCCTAAATTTGGATCATGATGCCAGCGCACATGGCCTACTCTTTTTTTGAATGTCGCAGGATCTTTAACGTCCACCATGAAGCAGGCAGCACCTATATCTATGATTAATACACCCAAAGTATTAACCGGGGCAGCCTTTGGGCTCAGACCACGAACCACTGCGACAAGAGGCAAACGCACTACTGGTGGGCCATGATTGAGTTTGACTGCTGCCAGTGTGGACAGGCATAACCGACACAATTCCTATACCTCGTCAAATACCTGACTCAGTAAATCCCTGGCTTCGACCTTCTGCAAAGCTTAGGGTCACAACCCTAAACCGCATCTGCACAGACTATAGCAGACGCGGAAACTTGATACGTGAATGTAATATTTAAAACTCTCCGGCATTCTACTGTGGTGACCCAGAACAGACCAAGCAAAATATAACGACTCAATTGTTGATTCACATTTACGAAGGCATCATCACAGCAATAACCTCTGCTGCTCTTGCTTGACACATTTATCCGGCTCAGACCCATCCTGATAAATGACTCAGACCCGGTCTGGATGACGCCCTGATTTTACAATGTAGCCTCACAGCAGCCAATAACTCCTGATGGGGCATAGTGGTAGCCCATCAAAACACTAACCAGGCTCCAAGCCTGCTTTGCTTACGTTATCTGATAAGATCAGTTGAATTCCAGCTGATTTGGTCATAACCTTTTCAGTTTTACTCAATGTCATTCGTAAGAGCATTTTCTCAAAACGACGAGGGCCCTAGCAGCACATCCTTCACAACTGACATTCAATGTAAAACTATCTTTTTGTTGTTCTACATCAGCCACACGAAGACTATTCTTACGTTTGGGGAGGACAATGATGGGCGTGCTGACGTTGTAGTGGCTGGGCGTGACGGACAAATGGTCGGGTGTTCGACATCCAGACCAGCGTTCTGACCAGGTGCCCGGACTGCACTCCTCAGAGTGCGATGGGGGGGTGCCCTGCCAGGCCCCTTTCGCTCTGGACGCTCCGCTCACACTCCCAGCCATGAGCATGAAGCTAGAGTGGGCAACACGCGAGTTATATTTGCAGACAAAAAAGGCCTGATCAACTGCATTAATTTTCTGACAAGACTCTGTTGAACTTGTTATCGTAATTACCATAACGTTTGTTACGAAACAGCCCAAATATAATCACTATGGAAGATTATCATCCAGTGATATTCATAACATTCACCCACTTTAGACACTAAACGGACATAACCAGGAGCAAATATATATACAGTATTCATATTCTTTATTTATAATCCGATGACAAACCATTTAGATTGAAACAAACATAACAGTTTTTCAACGTTCAGATAAATGAACTAAGTTCAACACGCATACATAGTTTGTAACGTTAATGCTTGTTTAACCCAGGTCCCTTAATAAAAAGGGGCGTTTCAGTACTATGATCGATTCATTGGTGAACGAAGACCTGTCTAAGCCTTCGCCATCTGCTACAACAAAATCCATCTCATCCCTCTCCACATTCATCATAGTTGGTCATCGCCTCGGGCTTGTTCTCTTCTTTGGGGCTGGCGCTCAATTTATCGGTCACATCCATCGGCCATCAGAACGATGAGAGTACACAAGACCTCCGTGTAAATGGTATGGGTTAGAATGATGGCAGATAACAGAATGGTACGAGGGGGTGGGCAAGAGGAAAGTTCATGGTGGTAAAGGTGAAACCTTGATATTTCAATCTTCATTTGAAGCTATCGTGATTGCGAGAATCCATACTCTTTGGTTCTTCCGGTAAAGTCTCACACTGCTGACAAGTGGAAGGGCCTCGACGAGAGGGAGCTCTAAGAGTCTTTCTCGAGTTGTATTTGGCCTACTCTTCCACGGTAGCCACCGCACGGGTGTAAATAGGAGGGGTGGGGAGGGTATTTGAGTAACATCGTCTCAGCTGCGGGGGCGGGAGGTCGAACCGGCGCCCTTTGGCTTGCAAGTCAAGAAGCGTTGCCCTGGGTGGGTGGCAGTGCGCTCAGCTTGACACGTACCACGGCATCCGGCAGGCGATGGAATGACGGAATAATGGAGTGGCGGATAAGTGGTGGGCAATACAATGGTGGACAATACAATGGTGGACAATGCAATGGGTGGACAATACAATGGTGGACAATGCAATGGGTGGACAATACAATGGTGGATAATACATTGGTGGATAATCCAAAGGTGGATAATACAATGGTGGATAATACAATGGACAATGCAATGGGTGGACAATACAATAGCGAATGACAAGAGGGTGGTGGATACAAAGGAGTTTTGCAAAAGTAAAGCGAACACATAGTCACCTTTGAACGGTCTCCACGCTAGCCGCCAGCTAAATTGTGTTAGACTTGAAATCCTTTGTAGTTATTGTTGTTGCAAGTTGTTATTGTAGTTATCCATAACAATGAATGATGGCTTCGTAGCCATGACGATGACCCTCCCGTTACATTGTAACCAGCGGCAGCTCATTCGCTCCGAAACAATACGCATCGCCCGTCGGAGCTCGCGCGAAATTAATTCCCTTTAAATGTCCTTAACACGGACGCCGTTTTTAGTTTTTAATCGCGAGAGAAGTCAATAATAATGTCACCAAAATCCCATTTCTTTGTATCCCAACTTTGCCATCCACTCACTCTTTTCCATTAAATAAAGAGTCTGGCGTCGTCACATTTCCCAGCGCGCTTACGCGGCCATCGGTCGTCCGCCTCTCCGATTGGACGGGGCGCGCAGGAGTGGTCGCCGTGCTGCCAGCCTATTGGACGCTGCGAGATCAGTTGGCCAATCAGTGGCGCGGCAATCGGAACGCTATGCCTATCCGTTGTAGCAAATTTGCGCCTAAGCGCTTCATCACTACGTACAGCTTTTGCTGGCGTAGAAGACGCAGAACTGCAATGTCGCATTCAGCGGGCAAGCCCAGGCGGCCCACAGCGCCCAGGGCAGTAGCGGAGTCGTGTGTCATCGCCGTGTGATGTCTCCTTCGTGTTCGTGGACCCGGGACATTGCGTCGTTATACGATTGTGGAGGGTCCTGGATGGCCGCAGTTGGACACTCCGGGCTGAAGAATTTAACACGTACTAGTATTAGTAGTAGTATTAGTAGTGTTAGTAGTATTAGTAGTATTAGTACTAGTATTAGTAGTATTAGTAGTAGTATTAGTACTAGTATTAGTAGTAGTATTAGTAGTATCAGTGCTAGTATTAGTAGTATCAGTACTAGTATTAGTAGTAGTACTAGTATTAGTAGCAAGGAGGAGGATTTCGCGACTAATGTCAGGCTTTTTGGGGGGGGTTAGATCATGTAAATATATACATGTGTCGTTAAACCCGCCACCACCCGACACGGCCAATCCGTAAGGTTTGTCACGAAAACAGAACGTGCCAATTCGTTACGTGACAAACCTTACTTATTGGTTGTGTCGGGTGGTGGCGGGTTTAACGACACATTTATAAATTTACGCGATCTAACCCAAAAAAAACTTTTATACTGGAGAGTTTCATTTTACATTTGTGCATCATCAGGTATCCGCATATGTTGTCACGGTTTGTGCAGTGGATGCGTTTTCGGGTGGACCAGGGATCTTCTGCGTTGAGTCTTTCACAGGGAGGTGTTTGTGAGTTCTTTTGAACTCCATTCAGCTCTCCAAGTTTAATCGGGATTGAAATTGCATTGTCGAAGGTTAAGTGCATGGGATGAAACCCGTCCTTACACGTGGTCTGTGCATCATGGACAATCGCCTGGATTTTTTTCTCCGGGTCCTCCGGGTTTTTTACTTCCACATTTAGAAACATGCGTCTAGATTATTTAGATTATGTTGATGCTATAAATTTCCACGTGATAAGCCACTTCTTTGAGCTATCATTTGTGGCCAGGTCGCTTCTGAAAAAGCAGCGATATCGTTCAGTGGGCCTTACCTGGTAAAAAATAAATATGTAAGTGATTTGTTTACCTTTCCTATTCTTTGCACTCCTATCGTGTTTTGTATTGTGTGTTGTTGTGATGTTCTTACCTGCCTTGACATTTGTGAAAAAAGAGCTTTATAGCCCATCGCATTTCTCCAGTATAAATATTCTGATACTGCTGGATGAGGGCCTTCCCACAAGCAAGTGTGGGTTGTGTGGGGTGTGGCGTTAATTTGACCATACTTCACCACACTGGTCAGTGAGGGTTGAAGGCAGGGCGCACATCTACTGTTTATTAGAATCAGAATATTTATTTATACTGCAGGAATCCGATGAGCTATTAAGCTCTTTTTCACATATGTGTAGTGTCTTCCTTCCTCGAGGCGTGTGTGTGTGAGTGTGTGTGCGTGTGAGTGTGTGAGTGTGTGTGAGTGTGTGTGTGCGTGTGTGTGCGTGTGAGTGTGTACCACATCACTCCATCTCTTCTCTAGCCCGTGCCGTGCCCGTTTAGCCCCCTCAATCCGGTCGAACAAAAGCTGTTTAGGCATGCGGTGGCTGGGCATGCGGGCTACCATGACCCAGCCAACGCAGCCTTGCCCGCCGGAGGAGCTCACCGATGGGACCTTGCCCAGATCTTTCAAGGATTTGTGAGCTCCTCACACAATCCAGTCTGGTTAAACCCAGGATGGATCGTAGGCAGGCCAGCCTAAATGTTTCTAACCGGCGAAGATGTTCCATTAAGGAGGTCCACGGAGTGGAGTGATGTGGTACAGGAGGATGTGGAGCTGAGTGGACTTGCCGATGACTGGTACCAGCGGTGTCAAGATCGGCCTCTGTGGAGGAGGCTCGTGAAGGACGCTACTGGGCAGTTGGAGGCAGTCGCCCTCCAACAACAACGGAGGGCGGAGGAGCGACGCTCACAACAACGAGCGGAGCGCCGGGTGGCTAAAGCACAGCAGGTTGGCACAGTAAGGGGCACAGGTGGTGCATCAGCCAGTCATCTCAGTCAGTCGACCCGTGGCACCTGGGTCTGCCCCGTGACCTCCTGCCAGCGGGCGTTCGACACTTCACGTGACCTCAAGGTGCACATGGCCTGGCACAAGCGTCGTGGTGACGTCACCGCCACTTAATGGCGAATGGCGGTTGTTGTTGTTGTTGAGTGTGTGAGTGTGTGTGTGCGTGTGAGTGAGTGTGTGTGCGTGTGTGAGTGTGTGTGTGTGTGCGTGTGTGAGTGTGTGTGCGTGTGTGTGAGTGTGTGCATGTGGTGTGCGTGCACACGCTCAGTCAGAGACGAGGTAGTTTCAGAAGGCACCGTCTCTCTTTATAATCTTGTTCACACCACCAACTCCGGCCTCCTCTCTCACGACCACGCTGCCTTACAGCCCGGCCCAGACACGACCCTGTCCACGTTGCTCCGACGGCGTCGACCGAGACAGCCAACCACTGTCCGGCCGCGCAATGATCGGGCACAAGCGACAGCGACGACGAGACAAGTCCACTCCCAGCACCGGCAGCCCGGAGCTCTCGCTCTCCGCTGCTTTTATTCTCCTCGGCGCGGCTTGGCTCCGCCCTGGCCGCGCTTCCCTTCTCGAACCCACCAGAGGGTTCCAGGGGCCTCCCTATGAGGTCTACCGTGACCCTTGCCCCAGTTCCTCCGCCCTGCCGGTACACACACCGTGTATGTGCTCGACTTCGTGTGCGCTAAGTGTCCACCTGCAGTTGCTGCTGCTGGCCAGCAGTCGGCTCTATGTCACTACATCTGTACAAAAATACGATAGGAGTACAACGTACATATAGGAAAGGTAATAAAATCACTAAAAGAGCATACAAATTAAACTAAACTATTTTATTTTACCAGGTAAAGCCGACTGAGCTATTATCTTCTTTTTCAGAAGCGACCTGGTCACAAATGACAACTCGACGAAGTGGCTAATGTGGAACTTCATATCAGCCAAATACTCTAAACGCATACTCTTTGGGTCTTTCGGTAAAGTCACGAAGGTATAGAATAAAATATATTACATCATGGGGTTTCAGAAGCAACACAAGTGTCCGTCATCAGGTGGGAAAGCCACAGCAAGAAACAACTGTTGTGGGCAAAAGAGCTGCTTCTGACAAGAGGTTATATAAGGTAAGAGGGGGGAGGAGCCAGGGAGGAGAGATAGAGAGGGTGGGGGATGAAGTGTGGGGGAGTGGCGATCTGCCTAATGTGGGGGAGTGGCGAACTGCCTTTTGTGATGCAAAACCGCTACAGATTGCACCGCTAGTACGACACAATGCCAGGGCAGGGCAGTGAGCGGGCCTGGGGGGTAGAAGGCTGAATAAACTGGAGATGCGGATATGAATGCAAAATGTAAAACAATTAAGGTTTTTTTATTTAAAGCTTTCGTGACTGCAGTAATTCATATTCTTAGTTCTTTCGGTAAAGGCACGTTGAAGGGAAACAATAAAATAATAATAAAATATATATAACATATATTTTATTTTGATTTAAAGCTTTCGTGACTGCAGTAATTCATATTCTTAGTTTTTTCGGTAAAGTCACGTTGAAGAGAAACAACTAAATAATAAAATATATATAAAACAATAAAAAAATTCTCACGACGTTTCGACCAGAACTCAAACGGTCATCTTCATGTGTGTTGGTTTGCATAAATGTATTTTTAAACGGCGCATTTATTTATTTATAAAAAAAAACGTTAGCGCCACGCGCAGCGATTTAGCAGTTTACCCAGGACTGGTCCATCTATATTCTGAAAAGAGGAGGGGGGAGACGAAATTTTTTATAATGTATGCTGTCTGAAAGCCACTGTAAGCGTGAACAATCAATTAAGAACTGAAATGGTTTATCAAATCTTTCCAATGATTGCTAAGATAGAATCCATCTTCTCGGTTGAAATTGTCTCTGTACTTGTATATGTGGATAGCCTCATGAACGAATCTCTCATGGAAGCCAGATGGCTTACAAAGAACATCTGTCTTGGAAAAGTCAATGGCATGTGAGCCTACTGAATTAGAATAATGATCTGCTACGGCCGAGGTCTTGGTCCTACCGTGTTTAAGGTCTGCTTTGTGTTCACGAATGCGGTCCGAGACATGGCGTTTGGTTTCTCCAATGTAACTACTACCACAGAGGCAACTTAGTTTGTAGACACCAGGGTATTGTATGTCCGGAATCACATCTTTTACAGACGGAACCAGATCACGGATTTTATGTAATGTGTTGAAACGGACCTGGATCTTGTGTTTATTCAAGATTTTGGAGATCTTTTTTGTGATCCCAGCAATGTAGGGTAAAGTGATGGTTTTGAAAGGCTCCTCAAGAGGGTTCTTCTTCATGGTTTGAGTGATAGCTTTGCGGATTGTATAGTCGGAGTAACCATTAGCCCTAAGAGCTTGGTGTACGTGCTTGAGTTCACTGCTTATGTGTTCCTGGTCGGATATGCATTGGGCTCTATGATACAGAGTCTTGATGAGAGAATTCTTCTGTGATGGATGGTGGTGGGAATCCGGTTTCAGATAAGCATCCGTATGGGTAGCTTTCCTGTAGACAGAGTGGCTCATTGAACCATCAGGTCTCTTTTTAATTAGGACATCCAAAAAAGGTATCTTGCCATCTATTTCGACTTCCATGGTAAATCTGGCCACATGGCCGGCCTGCTCTAGACCAATTCTTCGACCACATCAATTCCATACACCCAGCCATCAGATTTACACAAAGCAGACCTTAAACACGGTAGGACCAACACCTCGGCCGTAGCAGATCATTGTTCTAATTCAGTAGGCTCACATGCCATTGACTTTTCCAAGACAGAGGTTCTTTGTAAGCCATCTGGCTTCCATGAGAGATTCGTTCATGAGGCTATCCACATATACAAGTACAGAGACAATTTCAACCGAGAAGATGGATTCTATCTTAGCAATCATTGGAAAGATTTGATAAACCATTTCAGTTCTTAATTGATTGTTCACGCTTACAGTGGCTTTCAGACAGCATACATTATAAAAAATTTCGTCTCCCCCCTCCTCTTTTCAGAATATAGATGGACCAGTCCTGGGTAAACTGCCAAATCGCTGCGCATGGCGCTAACGTTTTTTTTATTATAAATAAATAAGTGCGCCGTTTAAAAATAAATTTATGCAAACCAACACACCTGAAGATGACCGTTTGAGTTATGGTCGAAACGTCGTGAGATTTTTTTATTGTTTTATATATATTTTATTATTTAGTTGTTTCTCTTCAACGTGACTTTACCGAAAAAACTAAGAATATATATTTTATTATTTTATTGTTTCCCTTCTATGTGACTATACCGAAAGAACCAAGAATATAATTAAGGTTTTACCTGGTTAATTACATCCTTCCAATGATTGCTCAATTTGTATCCATCTTCTCCGTTGAAGTTATGTCTGTGTTTATATATCTGGATGGCTTCATGAACAAACCTTTGATATCAGCCTGACGGTTTGCAGAGCACCTTGTTCTCGGAAGGAAGATAACAATGCCACAGTGGCGCCCCTTAAAAAAAAACAGTATATAAGTTCAAATTTCACAATTCCCAAGCTTCGGAAAGGCAGTTAAACAACAGCAATAACAGTCCCCGACCACACCAAGACAACACATAGTCCCTCAATAAAATTGTACATTAAAATGTAACTATTGTGATGCCACAGCAGCGAATCCGCTCTGTCGACGCCGCGTCTGCGATGCCACCACAACAAGGTAGCCTGGCCGACGCTGCTTTTCCCTCACCACCCCCACTTGAGCACACACACACACACACATCCCCACGTAGGACCTCGTGGAGAGGTCACCTGGCCTCCAGGTTTGCGCGTGAATCCCGTCGCCAGTTAATGCGTCCTAATTCTGCCCACTACGCCCGAATCTCGCCGACGTTCCTCTGTCGCTGTACTCGGGTTTAGCATGCGAACCTGGCCGACATTCCTCCGTTGTTGTGCCGACTTTGCGCGCGAATCCGGTCGCCAGTATTCATCATTGCGCAGAGCAGCCGGGGATCGATTAGAGCATTTCTTTAACCCCCCAGTGTACCACAATACTCGTCCTAAAACCCATCCCGAATAACCACCCCGCAGCCTTTAAATCCTCTCCATTACGCACCTGCGGCTACAACACACGCGTGAGTGACGTCACTGCCCTTTAACCCCTCACCCCCCGTTCTACGCGTATGATTGGTGCGCGGCGCCGTGAGAGCAGCGACGTCGGATTTTGGTGGCTGCGTGTACGTGAGTGTGCACAATTCCGTACGGGGAGCCTCCTACTAACGTTTGTAGGAGTGCACACGGGGAGACGAGGAATTACTTCTAGGCGGACGAGCGTCAGCCCCGAGCTAGGCCTCACAGGGACGACACGGAGGGGGTGGGGTCGCGGACTCAAGGAGCCACGGCACGAGAGGGGGAGTCAGGGAGCAGTAGCCCTCACCCGGACCAGCAGGTGGGGAACAGCGACTCTCAAGGGACGGAGGGGTCGGGAGGCAGCAGCTCCCCCGGGATCAACCCTCCACCGAGGGAAGAGCCGGAGGCCAGCAGCCTTCACACTATCGATATATGGGTAAGGATCAAAGTTACAAATCACATTTTTAAATGTATCCAGCACTAATACATTGGAGCATAGAACTACAGTACAACAGTTGTTTTTGCTGAACTACCCTTTGCCAAGGGATTCATTTCTCACTGAATGTTTTTGGTAATAGCATGTGGCTACCAATAGCCACAGCCATAGCGAGATGTATACTGGATGTGGTGTACCGGGTGCGGCAATATCTAAAGATATTGCCAGGTCGCTGACCCGGACAAACCCGGCCTGCATAACGCCCTGCCTTTATAGACAGCGTAGCCTCACAGCAGTTACTAACTTCTTATGGAGAAAGGTGGTAAGCTAATCAAAACAATAACCCAGGTTCAAAATTCTACTTAGCTTTCGACATCTGTATGTTGAACTTCTTTCGCACCGTACGTAGCCAACCGTGCTAATCGGAGGTGCGGAGAAGGAACAAACTAAACACAAAAAAGCAGTTCTAAAGAAATTAGTTTTCAAACGAGATTTAAAAGTGCATAGCTCCAGTGGCTTTCTAATATCGGAAGGAAGAGCGTTCCAGACGGCCGCAAAAGTGCATCTGAAAGCGCGTAACGATGATGCGGTGACCACCGCCTTTGTTCAGTGGCTGAGATAAAAGCCGCTGCTGCTGCGAGTATGAGCAGAGTTCGCGTGATGATGGTTCATGATGCTCTGTGACGAGGTCAACGAGGCATTGTGGTTCAGTTGTGGCAAGTACGTTGTGTGTAACGAGTGCGATCTTGCAATGTTCGGCAACCGGAAGGCAATGAAGTTCAGCGAGCAAATTAATGGACACGGTCGGCTCTTGCAGTACCCGTCACGACACGTGTCAGAGTATTTAGTACACGATGCAGCTTGCTGGTTTTTTTTTTACCAGACGTTCCGTAGAGTAGTGAGTTGTAATGATCACACAGATTAGGATGCTCACGATGTCAGTGCAGAGAGCACGCGGCGACTTCAATGCGTCGAGAGCTTGGCTGTGATGTCAGAGCTCACGAGGTGTGAGCTCGAGAAAAGAGTCAGCTACGTCACAGAGCAGGCTGTGACGTCGCGATAGGGAATCTATTATTCAACGTTGAAAGTTGATTTGAAGCTTTCGTGACTACAGGAATTACTCTTTGGTTCTTTCGGTAAAGTCACGTAGAAAGAAAATAAATTAAATAATAGAATACGACGTTTCGATTGCAACACAAGCAACCGTCATCAGGTAGAACTAAATTTGAGAGAGAGAAAAAACACAGACACGAAGACACACAGACAGACACACAAGCAGAGAGAGACAACACATAGGCATTGGGTCTCTGTGTGTCTATGTTGTGTGTCTCTCTCCGTGTCTCTGTGTTGTTTCTCTCTGCTTGTGTGTCTGTCTGTGTGTCTATGTTGTGTGTCTCTCTCTGTGTGTCTATGTTGTGTGTCTGTCTGTGTGTCTATGTTGTGTGTCTCTCTCTGTGTGTCTGTGTTGTCTCTCTCTGTGTGTCTCTGTCTGATTATGTTGTGTGTCTCTCTCTGTATGTCTCTGTTGTGTGTCTGTCTGTGTGTCTATGTTGTGTCTCTCTCTGTGTGTCTATGTTGTGTCTCTCTCTGTGTGTCTCTGTGTTGTTTCTCTCTGCTTGTGTGTCTGTCTGTGTGTCTATGTTGTGTCTCTCTCTGTGTGTCTATGTTGTGTGTCTGTCTGTGTGTCTATGTTGTGTGTCTCTCTCTGTGTGTCTATGTTGTGTGTCTATGTTGTGTCTCTCTTTGTGTCTATGTTGTGTCTGTCTGTGTGTCTATGTTGTGTGTCTCTCTCTGTGTCTATGTTGTGTGTCTGTCTGTGTGTCTATGTTGTGTGTCTGTCTGTGTGTCTATGTGTTGTCTCTCTCTGTGTGTCTGTGTGTCTATGTTGTGTGTCTCTCTCTGTGTCTCTGTGTTGTCTCTCTCTGTGGGTCTCTGTGTGTCTCTGTTGTGTGTCTGTCTGTGTGTCTATGTTGTGTGTCTCTCTCTGTGTCTATGTTGTGTGTCTCTCTGTGTGTCTATGTTGTGTGTCTCTCTCTGTTTGTCTCTGTGTCTATGTTGTGTGTCTCTCTCTGTGTCTATGTTGTGTGTCTGTCTGTGTGTCTGTTGTGTGTCTCTCTCTGTGGGTCTCTGTGTGTCTATGTTGTGTGTCTCTCTCTGTGTCTCTGTGTTGTCTCTCTCTGCTTGTGTGTCTGTCTGTGTCTATGTTGTGTGTCTCTCTCTGTGTCTGTGTTGTCTCTCTCTGTGGGTCTCTGTGTGTCTATGTTGTGTGTCTCTCTCTGTGTCTCTGTGTTGTCTCTCTCTGCTTGTGTGTCTGTCTGTGTGTCTCTCTCTGTGTCTGTGTTGTCTCTCTCTCTGTGGGTCTCTGTGTGTCTATGTTGTGTCTCTCTCTGCTTGTGTGTCTGTCTGTGTCTCTGTGTTGTCTCTCTCTCCTTGTGTGTCTGTGTTGTGTCTCTCTCTCTGTGTCTGTGTTGTTTCTCTCTGCTTGTGTGTCTGTGTTGTGTCTCTCTCTGTGTGTCTGTGTTGTCTCTGCTTGTGTGTCTGTCTGTGTGTGTCTCTCTCTGTGTGTCTGTGTTGTCTCTGCTTGTGTGTGTCTGTGTTGTGTCTCTCTGTGTGTCTGTGTTGTCTCTGCTTGTGTGTCTGTGTTGTGTCTCTCTCTGTGTGTCTGTGTGTGTCTCTGCTTGTGTGTCTGTGTGTGTGTCTCTGTGTTGTCTCTCTCTGCTTGTGTGTGTCTGTGTGTGTCTCTCTCTGTGTGTCTGTGTTGTGTCTCTGCTTGTGTGTCTGTCTGTGTGTGTCTCTCTCTGTGTGTCTGTGTTGTCTCTGCTTGTGTGTCTGTGTGTGTGTCTCTCTCTGTGTGTCTCTGTGTTGTCTCTGCTTGTGTGTCTGTGTGTGTGTCTCTCTCTGTGTGTCTCTGTGTTGTCTCTGCTTGTGTGTCTGTGTGTGTGTCTCTCTCTGTGTGTCTGTGTTGTCTCTGCTTGTGTGTCTGTCTGTGTGTGTCTCTCTCTGTGTGTCTGTGTTGTCTCTGCTTGTGTGTCTGTGTGTGTGTCTCTCTCTGTGTGTCTCTGTGTTGTCTCTGCTTGTGTGTCTGTCTGTGTGTGTCTCTCTCTCTGTGTCTGTGTTGTCTCTGCTTGTGTGTCTGTCTGTGTGTGTCTCTCTCTGTGTGTCTGTGTTGTCTCTGCTTGTGTGTCTGTGTGTGTGTCTCCGTGTCTGTGCTTTCTCTCTCTCTCAAATTTAGTTCTACCTGATGACGGTTGCTTGTGTTGCAATCGAAACGTCGTACTCTATTATTTAATTTATTCAACGTTGATTTGTGTTTGTGCAATATTCTCGATTTATCATGCTACGCAGCACTTGCTTTTGCTGAGTTTTTCTGCTGTCGTTTTGGGTGAATCGGGTCACTCCTGCAAACGAGGCTCTAATCCTGGTCTCTTGCAAAAGTTTTTTTTCACCCGAGTAAACACCAATACACTTTGTTTTATTTGTTAACTTCGGAGACCACAAAGAGACGCGAACAAAAACTCGCGGACTTCCAAAGCCGCTCAACAAAACATCCGGTTCCTCTTGAATCCTTTGGGGACCCGGTCCTGGGAACCGGATCCAAGCAGCACCGCGGTCGACTCGTGGAGTTGATTGATCGGCGCGCAGCGATGGATGTGGACGGAATCTTCCGCTCGTTCGCCGCGCAGAAGATGAAGGACATTCGGGAAGAGAAGTCCCAAAGGTGCTCCGCGCTGTTTGCCCGCACGAATCTCCCGCGCTAACCGCGAAAGTTGTATCGTTGTCGAAGCCGACTTCGGTTAGGCCGCTGCTAAGCGTCCGTCTCGCCTAGGCTACCCTGCCGGAAGAGGCGAGCCATGATCGGCGGAGCCTTCAGGGTGACCATGGGGGTGGCGGAGTCGGTCTATAATGTTTTGCTGCAGTAGACTTTCAGCATCAGGCATGATCATTCCACTGCTGGATGGAAGCCTCCCCAAGCCGTTGTGCCATCTCGCACGATCCTGCGATCTAACAAACCACATAGCACCCCCACCCGAGCGTATTTCTTTGCTCCGTCTCCTCGTTGAATGTGTTGACTAAATTATGTCATCCTGCTTATGGTTGCAGACTTTACAAATGTAATATATTTCATGGCTTGAAATGTAATTTTGAGAGGTAATTGTGTTCTCTTTGCAGTTCTCATTTGGCTGCTGATGAAGGTGCGCAGGACGTTGCCGTGTCACGTGTGGACGACAACGCGGTTGCTCAGTGTTGCGTGAATCGCCCGTCTCCGACGAAAGTGACAGGCGAGTTGAGCGGTGTGTTACACATCCATGTCACCCCCTCCTCAATCGGCAGCGTCATGTACATGTAGAGCCAGTTTGCTCCATCTCACGTTTCATATATCACGTTTACACGTTGGGGCGCCACGGTGGGGAGATGTTAACTACCTCGCTTGGTATAAAGGAGGTCGTGCTTTCGAGTCCAACCCTGACCTCCTGTATATTTGGAATTTGTATGGTCTCTCTCGCCGTGGTCGCGTGGATTCTACTCCGGTTTTCCCCTCCACATGTAGAAACATGCCTTGAGAGTATTTGGCTACTTTAAATTTCCACGGAATAAACTACTTAGCTGAGCTATCATTGTGGCTGGGTCGCTTCTGAAAAAGAGCTATATATCTCAGTGGGCCTTACCTGGTAAAATAAAAATAAGTTAATAGATTTAGTTTAGTTTACACATTTCCACAACTTAATAATTCGCATCAGCCATTGTCTATCCCAGTGGTTCTTAACCTTGTTGGAGGTACCGAACCCCACCAGTTTCATATGCGCATTCACCGAACCCCTCTTTAGTGAAAAATAAAATGTGATTTTTTTCAAATTCAAGACATAGATATGTTTTTTACTGGTACACAAAATGAGCCGTGCATGAACATTACCTTGTTCAAAGAATAAAACCAACACAATGCATAAACTCACAACAAATTACATACCTGGAAATCAATGTGACTTCTGCTGTTGCCTTTGAGAGATCAGTTCAGATATGCGTGGCTTCACCTTGGCAAGTGCCACTCTCATGTCATTTTCACAGCAAAGTCTGTTCCTTTTCTTCGTTTTTATGTCCAGCATCCTCGAAAAGGATTGCTCACAAAGATATGTTGTAACAAATGGTATAAAAAAATCCAGGGCTTTCTTAGCAATAACTGGATACTTGTTCATTTGTCGACACCAAAACGTTGAGAGCGTTGTTGTTCTGAAGAGTTGCTGTTGAACCTGGCTCTGCTGAATTTCAATGATTTCGTCGAGGAATTCATCATTGACATCTGCTGTTTCAACAGCAAACGTGAACGGCTGTCTCACCCATGCTGGATATGAGAGAGACTTTGCAAGCTCATCTAAGTGCGTGGCAATTGTTTGCTTCAGTTCCGTGGATACAGAAATATCTCCGATTCCAGACACATCTTCGATCTTACTTGCACAGTCGTCCAGAAGCGGGAAGTTTGCGAAGTTATTGTTCTCTGTTCGTCGTTTCCATAACGGTAGCTTTTTTTGAAAAGCCTTCAGGTGTTCTTCCGCTTCCATGATATTGACTCCACCACCCTGCATCTGCTGATTGAGAGCTGCGAATATATCAGCCATGTACGCTAAAATGAGAATGAACTCAGGATTTTTGAAGCAATCTGCATGGCAGTGTTGGTGCTCTTGCAAAAACAGGGCTAATTCCACACGCATGGCAAAAACACGATTCAGCACCTGTCCCCGGGATAACCACCGAATATTAGAATGGAGCAGAAGTACCTCAAATTCAGAGCCCATTTCTTTACACAGCTCACTGAAGATGCAGTGCCTCAGAGCACTTTTTCGCACATAGTTCACACATTCCACCACAGTTTTTAATACTTCTGCCATTTTTGGAGGTAAGGTTTTTGTTGCCAACGCATGCCTGTGCAGAATACAATGCGTCACAATGATGTGTGGTGCATCGGCCTTTACTAGCGCACCAAAACCAGACTTTCTTCCCAGCATGACTGGAGCTCCGTCCGTACAAACTGCAGAAACCATATCCCATGAAAGATTGTTGTCTCTGAAGAAGTCATCCACAAGCTTCTTCACATCGGCTGCCTTCGTTGTTGTTGTAAGAAGCTTACAAAATAAAAACTCTTCTTTTATCATGTCGTCTTTCACATAGCGTACAAAAAAAGCAAGCTGGCTTAGATCAGAAACGTCTGTGGTTTCGTCGAGTTGAAGGCTGAATTTTGCCGGGCTTGAAATCAGATCCGCGACTACTTGAGCCAAGATGTCTTTACTCATGTCTTCTATTCTGTCACTGACGGTGTCATTTGAAAGGGGAATTTGGGATAATTTACCTTCGGCCGCTGTTCCGAGTATCAGATTCGCCATCTTTAATGCAGCTGGTTTCACAAGTGTTTCACCAATGGTGTGTGGCTTGCCCTGCTTTGCGATCAGGTAAGCAACTTCGTACGATGCTGTCAGGATCGGTTTGTTAACAGGTACAAATCCAAGAGCAGGCAGAGTGGCCCTTTCATCGAATCTGGCTCTCTTCACCCTGAATTCAGCAAGTGTTGTGTTCTTGTATTCCCCGTCTCCATGCAGCTTCAAGAAGTGTTCCTTTAGTTTTGCCGGTGCAAGACTAGAGTTGCTCAACTTGGCGTTGCAAATCATGCAGATAGGACGCTCACTCCCATCACGTTCCGTGATACATGAGAATCCATGTTGTACATATTCGTCCGACCACTTTCTTCTTTTGCCCGACATAGTTAGTATGGATAAAATATTAAAGAAATCACACGACGTACGACAACAACAGTCACACGTTGACTACTGAGTACGCACTAAATTCCCCGCAGCGCTGATTGGCCAAGCAGTGTAGCATGATCATCTGCAGCCAGTGATGGCCAAGCGGGCCGTGTGTGTCATCACAAATTTACACAATAATTCAAGTGTGTCCGGACCTCCGTGGCGGGGGCTCTGCCGAACCCCTGAGATCGACTCACCGAACCCCTGGGGTTCGATCGAACCCAGGTTAAGAACCACTGGTCTATCCACTGATGAAGTTCTCCCAGCACAATAAACATTCCTCCACTAATCTGCATTCGGTATCCCTTATAGCCATGTGTTCTACCAAAGACCAATTACATACGATGTGTAACAGTAAATAGTTTTCGGATTTAATTTGGCTCCTTGATCCATATTTTATTTCTTTCTCTTAGTGTAGTTCCAATAATGTATCTCACCTTGCCTCTTTTCACATGTTTTTCTTGTTATATGCTGCCTGCGCATGAGTCGATTGAGCATTTCAACAATGCACACGCATGTTACATTTACAGTGAAGTAAACGTTATATAACACTGTTGATGATTCATGTTGATCACATTCGAGTTCCTCTTTCAGGTGTGGACCGGTTCTGATTTATCCACTACAGGTGTATTTAATCAATAGTATGACCTACATGCAGTCCAATGCATTGCTTTGTATGATATTGCATTGAGTAAAGGACACATACTCGTTCATTTATCTATCTGTTGTGTACCCTCTAAATTTTTTTATTTAAAGCTTTCGTGACTGCAGTCATTCATATTCTTAGCTCTTTCGGTAAAGTCACGTTGAAGGGAAACAATAAAATATATATAAAACAATAAAAATTCTCACGACGTTTCGACCATAACACAAACGGTCGTCATCAGGTGTGTCGGTTTGCATTAATTTTTTTTATTTGTAAACGGTGTTTGTATTTATTTATAATAAACGTCAGCGCCACGCGCAGCGATTTGGCAGTTTATTTAGAAGGACGAGTCCATCTATGTTCTGAAAAGAGGAGGGGGAGACGAAAAATTAATGTATGCTGTCTGAAAGCCACTATAAGCGTGAACAATACAGAGGTTATTTGTAAGCCATCTGGCTACCATGAGAGATTCGTTCATGAGGCTATCCACATATACAAGCACAGAGACAATTTCAACCGAGAAGATGGATTCTGGCTTAGCAATCATTGGAAAGATTTGATAAACCATTTGAGGTCTTAATTGATTGTTCACGCTTATAGTGGCTTTCAGACAGCATACATTAATTTTTCGTCTCCCCCCTCCTCTTTTCAGAACATAGATGGACTAGTCCTTCTAAATAAACTGCCAAATCGCTGCGCGTGGCGCTAACGTTTTTTAATAAATAAATACACCGTTTAAAAGAAATAAATTAATGCAAACCAACACACCTGATGACGACCGTTTGTGTTATGGTCGAAACGTCGTGAGAATTTTTATTGTTTTATATATATTTTATTGTTTCCCTTCAACGTGACTTTACCGAAAGAGCTAAGATTATACCCTCTAAAAGTTTATGAAAAACGTTGAATTTTCTTATTTTCTGAGACATTTGTAAATTACATGAAGCAACGGTTTAAGGTGCCTGGCACTAATTCACAGAGCATCATTGCATGCTTTGGAGATGAGTTGGAAAAGATTTGTCTTTTTTATTGTGTGTTTCAGGCAAAGAAGAAAGTGACATGTTCCAGAGAGAAGGTGATGGACAGCAGTTGTCATCAGACAATGAAGGCAACAATACACCAAAAAAACATAAAAAGAGCAAGTCCAAAAAGCACAAACAGAAACATCGTCATAAAAGTAAAAAAAATAGAAAGAAGTCGAATGGAAAGTCATCCTCAGAGGATGAAGAGAAATTGGATAAAAGGCGTAGTCAATCTCGATCGTCTTCCAAAATAAGGTTGGGTGAAGAAGTTGCATCTCATGCGAAGGAGAGAGGGGTTCTGCCCAGCTTATCAGTAGATGAGCCCATTGTGATGGTAACAGAGGAGTCTAAAATTAACAACATTCCATTGAAGAGTGTAACAATAGTGAATGATATTACAAAGGAAGATTCGTCTAGTTCTGTTCAAAATACTTATGCAGAACCGGACCCTTCCACAAGCAAGGCTGATAATGAGTGCAGTAAAATAGTATCTCTGGATGTTTTTTTGCAGTTACAATCAGACACAGAACCTGACAAATCACTGCAAAGCAGAAGCGTTTTTTCTCCGATCAGTGTGAAGCAAGCACAGTCCTTTGATAAGCATGCCGAGTCAGCATTATTCGGTGCAGGTGCAACTCAGGATATCCTTGCAACATTGCCAGAGGCAAAAATAGCAAAAGACAGTGTTCATTTAGAGAAAGGTCATTCTGTTGAACATTCCTCAAATAGTAAAAGTGTGATATCTACATCTTCAGATGTCAAAACAAAAGAAGCAATTGCTGAACAAACTAAAATTGGGTTTCTTAAGACCGTTTTAACTGATGAACTTGAAACGCCCAAAGTGAAGGAAGCAATTGGCGCAAAGGAGAAGCTCTTAGGATCTGACATCTGTCCAGAACGTGAACGAATTCCAAATACAGACGTGACTGCTGAGACAAATACGGATGCTTCTGAACTTCAAGAAAACAAAACTGTTTCAGAAGAGCAAGTGAAAGATGTACCTTCTACATTGAAGATGGATGTGGAAAAAAAAACGGTCTCGTTCTCCTGAGCACCGAAAAAGTTCTCCACGGCAAGCTGAGAGAGATGTAAGTTCATCACCAAGCACGTCAAACCAAAAACAAAAATCTTGCTCTCCCTCTCACAGTGACAGGAGAAGGACCCGTTCTCGTTCACGTAGCAATAGGAAACTATTACGTGAGGAGTGTGGGGTTAAAAGGAAACACCATTCACGAGCAAACGATGAGAGAGAGGCTTCTCCAAATAGAATGGAAGTAAAAAAAACAAGAAGCACTGTGTGTGTTTCAGGCAAAGAAGAAAGTGATATGTCTCAGAGAGAAGGTGATGGACAGCAGTTGTCATCAGACAATGAAGGCAACAATGAACCCAGAAAACATAAAGATACCAAGTCCAAAAAGCACAAACAGAAACATCGTCACAAAAGTAAAAAAAATAGAAAGAAGTCGAAAGGAAAGTCATCTTCAGAGGATGAAGAGAAATTGGATAAAAGGCGTAGTCAATCTCGATCGTCTTCCAAAAAAAGGTTGGGTGAAGAAGTTGCATCTCATGCGAAGGAGAGAGGGGTTCTGCCCAGCTTAACAGTAGATGAGCCCATTGTGATGGTAGCAGAGGAGTCTAAAATTAACAACATTCCTTTGAGTAGTGTAGCAATAGTGAATGATATTACAAAGGAAGATTCGTCTAGTTCTGTTCAAAATACTTCTGCAGAACTGGTGCCTTCCACAAACAAGGCTGATAATGAGTGCAGTAAAATAGTATCTCTGGATGTTTCTTTGCAGTTACAATCAGACACAGAACCTGACAAATCACTGCAAAGCAGAAGCGTTTTTTCTCCGATCAGCGTGAAGCAAGCACAGTGCTTTGATGAGCATGCCGAGTCAGCATTATGCGGTGCAGGTGCAACTCAGGATATCCTTGCAACATTGCCAGAGGCAAAAATAGCAAAAGACAGTGTTCATTTAGAGAAAAGTAATTTTGTTGAACATTCCTCAAATAGTAAAAGTGTGACATCTACATCTTCAGATGTCAAAACAAAAGAAGCAATTGCTGAACAAACAAAAATTGGGTTTCTTAAGACCGTTTTAACTGATGAACTTGAAACGCCCAAAGTGAAGGAAGCAATTGGCGCAAAGGAGAAGCTCTTAGGATCTGACATCTGTCCAGAACGTGAACGAATTCCAAATACAGACATGACTGCTGAGACAAATACGGATGCTTCTGAACTTCAAGAAAACGAAATTGTTTCAGAAGAGCAAGTGAAAGATGTACTTTCTACATTGAAGATGGATGTGGAAAAAAAACGGTCTCGTTCTCCTGAGCACCAAAAAAGTTCTCCACGGCAAGCTGAGAGAGATGTAAGTTCATCACCAAGCACGTCAAACCAAAAACAAAAATCTTGCTCTCCCTCTCACAGTGACAGGAGAAGGACCCGTTCTCGTTCACGTAGCAATAGGAAACTATTACGTGCGGAGTGTGGGGTTAAAAGGAAACCCCATTCACGAGCAAATAATGAGAAAAAGGTTTCTCCAAATAGAATGACAAAATCTCGTGAAGATGCTAGAAAGCAGTCTCGTTCGAATTCACGCGATGAAAGTAGGAGGAGATCCCGCTCACATTCCCATGATGACAGAAATAATAAGTCTCGCTCACAATCTCGTAATCGGAAGAGGAAATCACGCTCACATTCAGATGATAGAAGTAAAAGATCTCGCTCGCGGTCTCGTGGTGATAGGAAGAGAAAGTCTCGCTCACGGTCTCACGATGATAGAAAGAAGAGGAGATCTCGCTCACTTTCCCGTGACAGGAGGCGGAGGAGGTCCCGCTCACAATCCCGTGATGATAAAAGAAAGAGGAGATATCGTTCACGATCTTGTGATGATAGACTAAAGAGGTCTCGTTCACGGTCCCGTGATAATAGGAGGAAGAAATCTCGCTCACGTTCTTTTGGTGATAGAAAAAAGAGGTCTCGGTCACGTTCCCGTGATGATCGAAGGAAGAGGTCTCGTTCACGTTCTCAAGACAACAGACGGAAGAGGTCTTTGTCTGATGGAAGAAGATCTCGTTCCCATGACAAGAGAAGGAGATCACGGTCTCATTCATCTGATGACCAAAGGAAGACATCGTCCTCCTATGTTCGTAATGAGACTTGTCGCTCGCGTCATGAAGAAAGAAGGAAAAAATCTTCCTCCCGCGAAGACCGGAGGATTAAGTCATCTTCACGTGATAACAGACAGAAAAAATCTTGCTCCAGAACTTGTGATGGTAGAGGAAAAAAGGTAGCCTCTCCTCATGACAACAGAAGCAAAAGGTCCTCATCCCATTCTCATGACGAAAGCAAGAAGAGATCACGATCGCGCTCTCGTGAGAGGAAAAAGAGGTCTCGTTCCCGCTCTCGCGATGCCCAGTCGAAGCCATCGTCACCGCCACGCTCGCAAGACGGGGAAAAGAAGGCTTCGCGTGCAGATTTCAAGAAGTCGAGATCCCGCTCTGCCGATAGAAAGAAACCTGCCGGGAATGTATCCGAAGACAGATCCAAGTTGAGCCCTTTCTCACACAAAGACAAAAACAAGTGCCGCTCCAGGTCGCCAAATGTCGCTGGTCGAGGCGGCTCCCGCGAGAGGCGGCGGAGGTCCCGTTCAACTTCCCGGAAACGAAGAAATAACAAATCTCCACTGAAGCTGACCGAGTTAGGTAAGGTGCAGGTTTGTGGTGTGCGTTACATTAGTCTCCTGTAGCACATCGCCTTATACCATAATTGCACTGGGACGTTTATTTTTAACATTTCCCAATTCATGTTGAAATTGTTAAAGCATTAACTCTGTCTATCTTTCCATCCGTTTGAGGCAAGGAGTTATGATAACTCCAGAAAGGTGGCCTTATGTAATAAGGGGTTATTATTAAGTTGTGTTGCTTTTAGAGACCAATTCTCAAGATGACTGGGAAAATGTATCACAAGGTTGGACAAAATTCATTAAAATAGCTCATCGTTAATTACATTTACTTCTTCAACCATGGTGTGACGTCATGCGGCATGGCTGATGACGTCGCATGCTGATGAGGCATGGGGAGCAAGGTAGAGAAACGGGACTAGGCAGGTGAGATTCCACTCAAGAACCTCCGGGAATGAATCTCCCTCAAAAATAATGATCTACCCTAAATCGAATCCGCAAGTATCACGGCAGATCCACTCACTACCTCCGCAAGTGGAAATTCAAAGAAGGCCCATCATGCAATTATGGGAACACAGACCAGGCCATTGACCTGCTAGGAGCGAAACGCCAAAAATTTGATGTAAACAGTCCACAGTAAATAATTGTACATATGTTGTACGTAGCCAACCAGTGCTAATCAGAGGTGCAGGGGAAGGACAACAAACGAAACACAAAAAGCAGTTATAAAGAAATGGGTTTTCAATCTAGATTTAATTTAGAATTAAAAGTGCATAGCTCCAGTGGCATCCTGATATTTGAGGGAAGAGCATTCCAGATGGCCGCAGAAGCGCACCTGAAAGTGCGCGATGCAGTAACCGTCTTTGTTTGATGGTTAGCCAAAAGCTGCTGCAAGGATGACCGGAGTTTGCTTGGTGTTTTATGCTCCTTGACGAGTTAAGCAGGGTATTGTGATTCATTTGTGGCAAGCACTTTGTGTGTAATGAGTCGCACTCATTACACACAAAGCCAATTTCTGGCTTACTAATCTGGCAATAGACTTACAAGTTGCTATTTAGTCACCCAGTATAGTCACATATGTGTCTACTCCAGTCTACTACCAGTTATGCCGAAAAACATTGAGAAATTAACCCCTGTTTGTCCCCCACCATGTAGACAAGGCTCAGCTGCTGGAGATCGCCAAGGCGAATGCGTCGGTGGTGAACCCCAAGGTGAGCGTGAACGTGATGAACTCCATTGGCCCGGCTGCCGCACTCTTCCCGCTCATCCTGCAGCGGCAGCAGGCGGCCGCGGCGGCGGTGGCGGCAACGACCGCGGCGAGCGCCGTCGCCGGGACAACAGCTTCCGTTGCGCAGTTTCCAGTCACCACGACAACCTCGGTAACGGTGCCAGGGGCAGCTGGAATGACGACGACGCCGGCAGTGACAGCGCGGCAGCCGGACGTTGCCGGGGTGGACAAAATCAAGGCGGATGTGGCGGCTTCCACCAAGGGCTTCAAGATGACCGCCATCAACAATTTCACACAGGTGCTTGAGCGTGTAGTTAACACGCTGGACTTGCGATCCGGAGGTCGCCGGATCCATCTCCCGACGCAGTGCTTCAAACAATGGGAACATTCAATCCGTTTCAAAGACATTGCGTATATTAACAGAGCATGTTGGTTTGCATGTTTACCACAAGGACATGTGGTTAATGCGAACTTGATTCCTTACAAAAGGCTTCTATTTCGTGTTTGAACATCTTAACACCTGTTTTATTGCCAGAAAGGGTAAAACCTCTTATTGTTTCATAATTGGAAAATTTCCGATATTCCTCCCACCTCTGTCCACTCAGCAGGATAAATGGGAACACCACAGATAATTGATCGGCAGGTTGCGTTCAGTGGGGTAAAGTGTAGTTCAGTTTTCCTAACTCATTTTCAGAAGGGGGCCACTTTTGCCCATAAGACAAAAGTGTGAGGGCCGCCAAACATTTCAAACCGTTGGGTTTAATAGCACGATGATGGGGGGGGTGTTTTACATTTGTGGCCACCAGTGGCCCGCGGGCCTTGCAGTGAAGAACACTGCTGTAAGCTACTCCCACCCCTTCAAAGACCTTTGGCCACATGGGCCAAATACCTGCTGTAGGGGTGCTCTAGTAGAGCCCCTCTTACCAGCAGTGGCATAAGCAAAGTAATTGCCAGGCTGCACCTTTAACTGTTTTTCAGTTGCGTCGACTATTCTATTGTTCAAGTTACAAAATAAAATGTGTATAAATGATTGAAAATATCGCTTTATCTTAGAGCCCAGACTCGTTTTGCAACCAAATTTGATGGCCAGCATTGGCACCACGCAGTTTAAGAGTTCCACGTTTCTCTTTGCGTGTGTGGTTTGTGAACATGTTCCTCTGCAAGAACGTTTTGTTTATGCTCCTTGGTCCCGTCAGTTCTGCAAGCAGATAACTGAGAGCAAGGATGACGATGGGCCTGTGAACAAACCCGTGCGTTCGCATGACGAGAATGCAGGAGTAGAGGAGGCATTGACGAAGGCTCCGTTCATACACCATCCCTTTAAACTGAACGAGCCCAAGCCCATCGCTTTCAGCTTAAATGTGAGTGGCGCTCAGCTGATCGAGTCTGCAAATGATGTTTTTTTAATTGTTTCATTGATTTATGTCATTGATGGTTATTGGTTTGCCGTTAATTACGGCTTTGGTAGTTGCAACCATTTCTCACAGTTTCTGAAAACTATGGAAAACTCACCAGATAGAAAGGCGCTTGCAAGCTGAAAATAATGATAATAACAACTCTACACAGAAAACATTTACCATTGTTTCTGAGCGTTTTGCAGAACGAACGTGTGAATCCTGGTTTTTATTGTTAATTTGGGTGGTCAGATCAAAAATATATATATATTTTTTAATCTCATCATGGTTTATTATGATCCTGAGTTGCCAGTGGTGCACAGGCACCAATAACAAAAAATCAACACATTAGGCTATAACACTGCCCTCAACAGGAAAAATTATATAACACGCAACGGTTTCACACAATGGCCCTTCTTCCTAGCAGAGAGATGGTTCGAGGTTTGCTGTTAAGAACTTGTTTGGCAATGTAATGGGTCATTTTAATGTATGCCTGGCACATGCATGGCATTGGAGAGTTGCTGCGGTGCTGCCCAGGACTTTCAGAGACTGCTTAATGAAAGGTCTCACTTGCACGACACAATTTGTCCACCATGTTGAGTAATGCCCGCAGGCAGAGGCAACGTGCGTGCGTGTGTGTGTGCGTGCGTGTGTGCAGTTCCTAACTGCACGCGTGTACAGAAAAAATAGAGGGAGGGAGTAAATAAATAAGTGCACGTTCAGTCACGTACAACTGTTAAAAAGGACAGCTGGCCGAAATTCATGCTTCATTAATGTCAGTGTATTGTAGTGTAGCATGGCTATGTTTCATGGTGATGAACAGCTGTACCAGAGTGAAATTTGACCCCACAATGAGAACAAAGTGCACGTTATCCTGCCTCGGCGATTACTCGTCATTTTGCCGCTGCAGCTGTCCTTTTACTAGAAAGCTGCTTTCAGTTTATTTTTTTAATGCAACATGTGGTCCTGGTGGCTCGGGAGACTAAGAATGGCAGTCCTGGACTAAAACTAACACCACTCAGATTCAACACATTATTTAACAACGCTGCCTTAAAGAGGTACTCATCTCTATTCTATGAAGGAGGGCCATTGCCCTGAAATGTTACCTGTTCTATAATTGTTCCTCTTTAAAGCAGCGTTTTTGACGGATGTGTTCACTTTTTTTTAATGTTTTCAGCTTACGTACTACACCAGTATCACAATTGTTTAACCACAGGTTCTTGGATCCAAAGGCGCATTCACATCTTAGCTTAACTTCAGTAGCACAATCGGACTTCATTTTATGGTAACAAATATAGAAATGCATTTAAAAATGTTTTATCTCGACTAAGGCAGTGGTTCTCAACCTGTGGGATGGACTCCTCCCCCCCAACCCCGATAGGCACGGATTCCTGTGAGAGGGGGCACAGGCTGCAACATGGATCCCGTGCAGAAGACATTTTGAATGTGCACGGAGAATGTTGGCACCACATTGTTACGACAAAACAGTTATCGCACGAGAAAATAATACACAGCATGAAGTTACACGAAACACACTAAAGCACAACGTGAAACAAATGCCTTTCTAACACTGTGTTAACTTGTGGTGTGGACTGGTGACCTCGTTGTGTACTGCATCCTTATTAATCTTGGCAGAGGGGAGGGTGTATGCGGGGACCAGTGGACTTGGGGTTGGGGGGGGGGGCATTCCATTGGGGTACCATGGTGGCGAGATGTTAACTACCTCGCCTGGTATACAGGAGCTCGTGGATTCGATCCCAACTCTGACACCTATTTATTTCGAGTTTGCGTGTTCTCCCCTTGGTTATGTGTTTTTTTCTCCGGCTCCTCCAGTTTTTTTATCCGCATTTAGAAACATGTTTTTAGAGTATTTGTCTTCTATACATTTCCATATGATAAGCCACTTCGTTGAGCTATCAATTGTGGCCAGGTCGCTTCTGAAAAAGAGCTGTACAGCTCTGGGCCTTACCTGGTAAAATAAAACTAAAAGTAGTTTTTTTATTTCAAAAAAGGTTGAGAACGAATGTACTAAGAGCACGGTCTAACCTATCGCACGTGGATATCCTATGCCGTCTCATTCCACGGCAGAACCTAATGGTGAAGCCGCTGCAGCTGAAGCCGCCACAGGCGACACTCTCCAAGGAGTTCCCCGTGTCGTCCGGCAACCAGCACCGGCAAAAGGAGCAAGAGAGCGTGTACGGGCAGTGGGTGCCCGTGGAGAAGTCCGGCACCGAAGAGATGGACGACAAAAACCAGGTCTTCCCGAAGCCCGTGGTGGGGGTAAGCCAGTCCGGTTCGGGGAAACCCGCAGTGTGTTCATCCTCCCCTGTGCCATGTGGCCGGGTCCGATGAAGGTGGTAAAGGTGCAGCCTTGTAACTGCTATACATGCTCACCCGTCATTCTTGGCAGTCGGTCCTCTTCGAGAGGAAGCTTTAGAGAGGCCATTTAGTGGGATTTATTGGTGTCTCGTGAGATTGTAATTTCCACCTAATCTGACAACACGATTGGAGCGATAGTGGCAGTGGTTATTGTACCCCGCTGTGAACCCGGCAATCTGAGTTCGATTTATGACCACGGATTACAACTCCTCTGGCTAGCGTGATGAAGTATGGTCAAACAACCCCCATGACTCGCACAACGTGGGGAGGCCCTCATGCAGCAGTGGATTGACAAAAGGGCTGTAAATTAACTATACAAAGTTTATGCAACATCCACCTTTTGCAGACTGCTGCTGGTTAATTATTGTCATCTCAATTGCACTTACATTTCCCAGTATATTTAAGACCATCACTCTGAACCTCAATATTTTGTGGAGAAGGCCTAGTCGGCCAAAAGGCGTCCAGACATTACTTGGATGTGGGTCGTGACAATGTGACCGGTTTGTGCGTGCGTGCATGCTCTCAACACTCATCCCGCAGAACATAGTGGACCTGGGTGCTGTCATCACGAAACGTGCCGTCGCCGTGCAGAGGCTGGCACAGAACCCCACTGACATGGAGGCAATGCTGCTCATAGCCCGCTCACAGAGACAGGTGAGCACATTTACAGCGCTCCATCGCCACGCGCGTACTGTACAATGCCAACGCAATACAGATCGAGTATATAAAGCGGTGACATGCGACCGTTCAACATACATATATTTTTATTATTTTATTGTTTCCCTTCTACGTTACTTTACCGAAAGAACCAAGAATATGAATCCCTGCAGTCACGAAAACTTTAAATAAAAAAAATACATATGTGCATTGAGAAAGAAAATCGAACAAAAATGTAAAGGTGTTTTTATATATATGTGTGTGGATGTAAACCCACCGGTGCATGTTTTGCTGTCTTTGCAGATTGAGTCTTGGGCTCAGGCCAGCACAGAGCCTGGCACCTTCACGGGGTCCACAGGGGTTCAGATTCTGTCTCCCCAGGAGCTCGCCAACACGGGGCAACAGGCCTGGCTCAAGAAGGTATTGGACCCAGGCGAGAGTCGCTCCGTTTTGCTGCTTTCACTGTAACGCGTTTCCTGCCCTTGCACAGGTGGAGAGCCAGGGTCAGGTACAAGGCGTGGGTGCCCCTTGGGCTTAATGGTCGGAGCAGAGTAAATGGAAGGTAATGATCTAGAAGCAGTGGGCGGAGATGAGTAGTCAGTGTCGTTTTTTAGGGCATTAGTGTTCCACCCGCTCCCATTAAACCGTCTTTTTCCGCAAATGGTCTAATAACAATACTCCTGGCATGTTTATGGCACCTTTAACGAAATTAAACGCTCTCATAGGCTGGTTTATTTTAGTCTAGTGGACCCCCCTATTGCAGCTGTCCCTGTGTGAACAGAGCACCGCCCTGCAATTGGGCATTAGTCTGCCAGTAGCAGGTGACGTTGATATTAGTCATTCCACTGATGTAGTTTGTGTGCAAAATTGTTTTTATTATAAAGCACACTGTTTCCTACTGATTGGAACATTACCTTCTGATCAGCTTCATTGCCACTTGACTGGTTATTGTATATTACAGTACATGAGTGATCGAATACGTTTATGAAAATTTCATTGAATTCACAACACCATATTATGCCCCGAAAATCATAATGCTTGAATTTGAATAATTTTTTTGCCATGTGGCGTTTGGCTTGCAGCTTTTGCAGTTGGCCTTGATTCGAAAACGTGCGGCCTATTAAATAATTTGTCAGCCAGAGCAGAAATTGGTGCCAAAATGCCACTGTATCTGAAAATTCTTCAGTAGTTACAATTAATTTATTTGTCCGATAAAAGTGAATAATTTTGTAGGGCGGCAGCCATGGTGCAGTGGTTAGCACGCTGCGCCCTGATCCCATTGACAGGTGCTCTATTCCTGGCCACTCCTAGCACCAGTGCCTCGCTCCACCAACCTGCACTGACCAGCGTGGTCCGGTACAGTCTAACAAACCCCCGTAAATAGACGTCATGCCTTTGTCCAGCAGTTGATTGTAAAAAAAGGCTTTAATAGTATTATTATACCCTTTGTACACATCAGTATACATATAAATGCAGTTTGTGCTTATATGGATATTTAGGAATACATAGCAAAACAGATTTCCATTGAATATAACAGTTGTAAATTTATATTGCAAACTGTACGTGTGGATCATAAACCTGTAAGTCTGCGGACTTAGAGGGTTCTTTTCCTGTTAATATGCGCTCACTATTTCAATGGTTTGCACGGCTAAATAACGGCGATGGTTATCGACGTTTTAAATAAACAGCATGGTTTCGCCCTCCTCAGTTGATTCTGGCGAGTGTAATGTCTGGTCTAGCCCATTGACTAAGAGCACATGTTCAAGTTGATTTTGTTTAACCAGGTGAGAACTCCAGAGACCGGGATACATGCAGTCTCATCTTAATGTAGTTTTAAGGAGCGGGACATTTGTTAGGTGTCAAGATCTGAGGAAGTCTCCAAAGTGAAATATCAGTTGCTTTCATGGGCACTTATCAGAGAACACAATAATGTGTGACTGTGTTCAGAGGAGTAGAACTATCTATAGACAGCTTATACAGTATGTATATACGTACATCTATATATAAAACTAGCCCGCAGTAGTATGAAAGTAAGATTTTCGATAAGTGAGCAATGAGCGAATATGACGAATGGTACTAATGAATTAATGTTTGGATAATGATCTCGTAACATAGACCCATGTAAATTGCTTAATTAGTTTTAACATTTAGATTGTATCATTCTATTTGTTATTTTTAGAAGGCTTCTTTAAAAAAAAACCATAAAAAACAAGTGCTACTTTGAAACGTTTAAATAACAAGAAAATTCACAGAGATGTTATGCTATAATGAGCACGATTAAATCAAGTGTATTTGTTTAACCAGGTGGGAACTCAAGAGACATTGGGTTGAAACAATTAAAGCTAAATACAGTACAGTTATGGATACGAGCACTTGCAAGCACTGCAAGTACACATTTGTTTATACTTCTCAAGGATGTTTGGGGCAAATTCTTTTGGGCAGGAGTTGCTCGTGAACAGCATGACAATTGGATGGATTGGGTGCAGTCTTCACATCAATGTAGATATTAAATTCTTGTGGGAGGACCTTTATCACTGAGGTGTCTGTTAGAGTTGTTAACGGCACCGCCTGTTGTATAACAGGATAATTTTGAAATATAAACCTGTATCTCAATTTACATGGGCCTATGACGCTGAGTTAATTATAAATGACTCGGCCATCCCGTGATCTGTGACGCAGACGTATAGGTGTATGGATGTGTGAGCAAGGGGTGAATTAATCCAAAGATAATATTAATAAACAACGAGCCATACCGGATGAATTTGAACATGTTATATAAGCCAGACGCAGACTGTCGGTGTTTTTGAGTGGCTCACTTTAATGGCAATGACTAGCTCTGCACAGCAGTAGGGCTTGCGCAAAGTCCAGCATGGCTGATTTATAATTGGTTTTTGGGTGAGGTCGTGTGGTCGTAATGTCGGAGCTGTGCACACTACACCACCCAACTCAGCCAGATAAATCAAGTTGTCACCAGGACACAAATCTGCCAATTGATGGTTTTCTTTCAGCAAACCGTTTACGTTGAAAAGCAAGCACAATTTGACAGCACGGCCGTTTTTGTACTCGCGAGAGTTGAGTTTTAATTCATCGCCTGCTCTGTGTGGATTTACGTGAACCAAAGATGACAGACAACCAGGAAGGCCTGTCAAACACCCACACAAACCTCTACTGTGGATCCAGAGACTTATGAGAACTCATTACGATTGCCGTAAGGAAAACCCAATCTATATTATGAAATGGTAAATGTAAAAATGTGTATTATGCTCTAGCGTTTGCCTTACATTGATTTAAATATGATTATTCACTATATGTATATTTCAATCACCAGAACATTTAAGAAGTAGACACGCAAGTACAGTAATGCCGTTCTACCTACAGGTCACATAGATGATATTAGTTCCGTCTTGATTAATTCCGCGCTATTCTGCTAAAATAAAGCAAGAGTTCTCATAAGGGCGATTTACATGACACACAAAAAGTTGATCATTGTGTAGTTGCTTTGTAAAACAGGAATGGAATGCACCGGATTGGGCAGTGCTCTACAGCCTGGTTAATCTACTCCAGTCCAGTGAATTCCACCTGTGATTTTACACTGCAGCCCAGTGCAGCTATGGGGATCTAGGTGTTGTGTAACTTGCCCTGATGTCTCCTGGTCAATTCTTGCAGTCAACCTTTCCCAGCAATGTTCATTCATGCTGGCAGTCGCCCACTACTCGACCCACTGTCATTTGGAGCTCCGGTGATGGGAACATTCAGCCAAGTAGGCAAAACGAAGTACCTTCATAGTCATCGTAGTCCATGGTCCAGATTATAATTCGGTACTGCAGGTTATGGAAAATTTGTATGGATACCAGTTTCTGTATATGGCTAATCAAATTTGGGTTATGAGATATCATCTTCAATCATCAGGTAGTATTATGCATTTCTGCATGTTTTGTCAAATCACAAGTACATTTGGTATTCGCACCATTCTTAAAGCACAGGGTGATCACAATGGCGCTGTTTCACAGACGGAGTCTCGCAGTAGTTTTACGGTATGGGCAACGTTACAAATTTTGGCAAATTTGGACCACTTACGACGGCACACCTGGCCAGCTCTTTTTAAAATAACGTCATGGAATTTTGTAATGTCCACTGCGAAATAGACGGGGCACGTATTTACGGTTAATGCACCTGCGGTATTAACCATGGCGGCCGTGGGCCTTGAACCACGAACCTCTGCAACAAGCGGCAGATGCTGTATCACCACTTCCGACCTGGGTTCTCTCCACCTCCCACAATGATTTGCTGCCTCTTCTTAGATACCAGTGTGCCAAGCGTCGAATACATCTTCCCGTCTTGTTCTGAGTCTTCCTGTTTTCTCTCTTCCGTGTGTCCATGTTCATTGCATAAGTGGGATATTGGCTATCCAAGAACAAAGACGGCCATTTTATCGCACTTTCAGATGCGATTCTGCGGCTGCCTGGAACGCTCTTCCTTCCGATGTTCGGAAGCCACTGGAGCTATGCACTATTAAATCTAGATTAAAAACTAATTTCTTTACAACTTATTTTTGTCTTTAGTTCATTGTCCTTCCCCCACACCTCCGATTAGCACGGTTGGCTCCGTACAGTGCGAAATAACTTCTATATACATACATTCATAGGTGATAATTTACCAATATACTTTACCTACGTTTATTGCAGAATTCATATTTAATGGTGATTTAGAGATGTTTCGTACAACTCAAGTTTTCCATCATCTGAGGTGGTACCATAAAAGGACAATATTTGCATCTGGGCCCATGGACTACGAGTAATTTGCAGCGGGTATTACATTCTACACATCATGGTCAAGCCGTGCATTCTTGACGTAGAATATAGTCGCGTGATTGGTTTTGTGGAGTGGAAATAGAAGCCCAAAATATCTTGCCGTGGAGTTTTTGTCCGTGGGTCCTGCTGGCTGTGTGAAGCTGCTGGGTTTGGATGAGTTCAAGTGTGGCAGAGCGGGCCAGGGAGCCGCACCACTCGGCAGCGTGTTGATGAGAGAACGAGGCAGGGGTGGCGTTTAACGAGCCTCGTTAACTCCACCCTACACTTGTTTGGACTCATCAGGAGTCCATTGTCATTAAAAAACAGCCAATGGGTATGTTCGAAGACGTTACAGGAAAGATGCCGCACCGCGGTTCTTGTTTCAGCGTAAGTGTGGCGATCTGGATCAGCGTAACACTGTGTATTGTTAATGCAGTATTCATCCACAGTTGAAGAGTGACACGATAACTGTTAATTGCTAATTTAATTGCGGGCTGCTGCCGCCCCGACCTCGTTCTCTTGGGAGTCAAACAGCGAGAGCGGTGCTGCTCCGTGGGCCGCGGGTGTCGTGGGCCTCCTTGGCTGTCCGTGATCTTTGCCGTTGATGCGCAAACAGACGCACCGTAGTGAGACAGACAGCCTGCCTCACACGCACCAGCCAGTCGGAGGAGCCCAGAGGGAAGGAGCCCGGCCCAGCGGGAGGTGGCGGTTTGTATCGAGACTCCTGATTGGCCACCTTTGCCTATATGTCATTGGCGGAGGCAGAGGAGCAGCCAATCGGCACAGGTGTTTTTTACGTAGGGTGTTATAATTCCTTCCTGAGCGTTTGACATGTCCACAATTTGAGAATTTGTCGCATTCATTGTTAATTTTAATCGCCTTCACAACACTTAACTGAAGTGCCACAGTTGTGCTTTAATATCCCATGATTGCTACTTGTATATAAACAGTTGCAAGACACCTATTGAAAGTTCTGCCAGTGCTGTGAACTTAAGAGGATAAAACACTGCAGCATTTTGGAGTGGAGTTGTATTATCGAGGACCACATGATTTATTTGGGGGTGAAAATATTAAACCATATAAAAGTAATAATCGGGGTGCTTTGTCATGCCATTTAAAGTCATCCTTGCACCACTGCCACAATTACAAATGTTTATTTAGCAGAGTACATTTAAATAGACCTTTTTTTCCCCAACACCTTCTTTCCTCTCAATTTGGTTAAAAAGGTGCATCCAACCTCTAACCCCTTCATCCTCCATTCTCAACGACTGTGCATAGATATGTATGTGTACGTGTATTTATTGCATTCAAGTTGCCTGCAATGTGCAATTTACACTAAAATTACTCGTCAGTCGCATGCACGTGTGCTAAATGTGGCTGTTAATGTGAAAACGTGACTAGTCACAGGAAGCTAACCTGCTACATTGAGAGAATTCACTCGCTTGGCTGCACACCTTTACAAGCAGATTATCACTAAATTTTGATTTAAAGCTTTCGTGACTGCAGTAATTCATATTCTTAGCTCTTTCGGTAAAGTCACGTTGAAGGGAAACAATAAAATAATAAAATATGTATAAAATAATAAAAATTCTCACGACGTTTCGACCATAACACAAACGGTCGTCATCAGGTGTTTTATATATATTTTATTATTTTATTGTTTCCCTTCAACGTGACTTTACCAAAAGAGCTAAGAATACAGATTATCACTGTTTTTAATCGCCGTAGAATCCAATTTGTGGGTCACATCGATTTGGGAAACATTCCCGAGCGTATAGCGCTTGATACACATCGCAGTTCCATCAAAACTTTTTTGTTAATGTGGCACACAAACACACTTGGGCATTAACCTTATATCCTCACTAAAACACACCTAATGGAAATGGCACAGCAAAATTAAGAAAGTGATCTCGTGCCCTATTAGTATTTCTCTGTAATACCTGGACCGCTCGGACGTCGGGAATTATAGCACCCTGCACACCAGTGGGGTCTTGTGGCATTCATCATTCAATCCCGAGCATGTGTGTGTCACGGGGGAAGTGTCGATGCCGTTCGCGCTGTGACGATACCTCCAAAACGTTAGTCGCGTATCGCGCAACGCACAACGCCCCACACGTGCTTCCCTTTTAAGCGAGCGGTGTCGGTGGCCGATTTGATTCGACAGCTGCACCCAGAGCGGCTGCGTCCAGACGCAGCGCGGCAATCCACCGCCTCCCCCGGCGCACGACTCGCGAGCGGCACATTGCGGCCCCCGGCGAGGGGGTATGGCCACGGGAGGACACGACGCGGCGCTCGTAGTAACCGAAGAGTGGCCGCTACCAATTTGCGGGTGGCCGGTCGACGGCGAAACAAATGTAAGCGTGGGCCGCGCTCGCATACGAGGGCGGCGCTGTTGACGCGTCGCCGCAGAGCGGCGGCGTTTTAAAACGTCGAGCGATTGCGCCTCCGAGGGCAACATAGTCCCAGGCCCGTGGCCGTAGTGCGCTCACGAGCAGGCCCGGTCGTTTTTGATCCCTGGACGGATTGACCCCTGCTCCCACCTTGCCCCGTTTCCCAGCCGCGCCTTCACGGACCCTGGCGTTTGACACGGGGTCGTGCGCGCGCTCCACCTCCCCGACCTTGCAGGATCAGTTCCTGAGGGCGGCGCCGGTGAACGGTGGCATCGGAGCTCAGCTGATGAGGAAGATGGGCTGGAGCGAGGGCAAGGGCCTGGGCAAGAACAGCAGCGGCCCCGTGGAGCCCATCATTATGGACTTCAAGACTGACCGCCGAGGCAAGGACAATAGCGCGTCCGGTGCCAAAGAGGAGGGCCCTTGGAGGTTGGGAAAGGGGAGGGGGTTATCAGGCAGGCAGGCAGAGCAAGTGGTGACGTATACCTGTGACCCAGCGTCTTGGAGGCAACGGTTGGTGGATCACCTAGACTCGTGAAACTCCAAAATGAGTGTTGAGCTGCAGGTCCCGTCGGGAGATAGCAGTATAGGTCGAGAGAGTTCATGCAGCCATCGGTGTAGACTTTTGAATCTGCTGTTGGCAGAGCAGCTTGGGCTGGATTCTTCTGTTAGAAGAGCTTCTTAGCACTTTGGGTTTTTGCAGCTTAAATCGCCCGCTACATGCACAACACTTTATAAAAATAATAATTGGACAAACAATACATATGCGGAGGTAGAGCGGTGTAAAATGAGAGTAAATGAATCACGAAAAGTCACTGTGCAATCAGTGGTTGGGTTGGTGATTTAGTTGTTTGTGTTTCAGGCTTGCTGGCGGATGGAGAGAAAGCTCAGAAGAAGTCTGGGCCCCTGACCATCATGAAAGACTTGTCTGGTCTGCACCTACCATTACACTTCACACAAAGACACAAGAAGCAAAGAGAATGAATACCACGTGCAGACTGCGAGATTGAACAAGCAAATGGTTTTTTTTTTCTGCAAAAATGCCTAATTAGGGCTGTGAGTTTTTTAGACAGTACTAATAATAACTGAAATTTACTTATTTGAATATTGTTTCATTACATTTGGATTTTCAAGCGCGTCACGTATGCATGATTGTGAGGATGTGGCTACCACCAGGCACGGGTGCTGCATCCTGTTGAGATAATCATGTTTTTTTACCCTAATATCAATTGTCTATACATAATGTTATTGTCTTTAATATTATATTATTATCAATGTCAATCCATTGTCGTCACTGCTGCGTGTGTGTGTAGGCAAGCACCCAGTGTCGGCCCTCATGGAGATCTGCACGAAGCGCAAGTGGATGGCACCTGACTTTATCGTCGTAAACGACAGTGGTCCCGACCACCGCAAAAACTTCCTTTTCAAGGTGTGCCTTGCATCTTGGTTCGGTGTTGATTTTCAAGGGCCTTCTATCTTTCTCTTTCGTATGGCTGATGCAGATGCAGAGCAACAACTCCAATTTCACATTTAGGTGGTCAAGCCAGATACGGAGTGCATCGCCGTGATGTATTTGTGGATCGGGCATTGCGTCGTTGTTCGGTCTGTTCTGGATGACCACAGTCGCGCACTGGAGAGTTTATTTTCAATTTTTGCATCAGGCATCTGCATCTGAGGGGTTTGTATATAACTGAGCGACACTGGGGCCATGCTGAACCAGACTGGCGCAGCTCACGGAGAGCTAAGTCGTTTTTACACTGCAGAGGCTGAGCCGTGCCGCATGTATGACGACAGTTATTCGCCCTGGCCCTTGCCCAAGCCAGGCCTGTGTGTTTCATGGTTTGATTCTGGCTCCGGTAGAAATCCACTCATACCATGCGTGACCCACGCTGGCACGGTCTCGGATTTACCGGTGGCAAAGGGTGATCGGGTTGTAATTTTATGTTTGTGAGTTTAAATTCAAGTCGTGGGTTGACTCTGCTCATGATCTCAAAGTGCTAGATTAAACGGGCACCACTGTGTGGGATGTGAATAGCTGGTTGTGCTCTGGCTCAACTGGCTACTCCCCAATAGAGATGTAGAATGTTTTACCACCGGCTCAGGGCCACTGGCAGAAATGAGTGCTGTCAGATGCTCAGTTAAAACTATAAAATTAAATAGTTTTTACTTTACCAGGTAAGGCTCAGAAGCGACCTGGTTGCAAATGATAGCTCAGCGAAGTGGCTTATGTGGAAATTTATAGCAGTCAAATGCTCCAGTTGACCACAGCGACACTTGGACTTTGTGACTGCTCAAAGGTAAAAGATTAGAAATGCCGCACTATGAAGGCATGAGAATCAGAGGCCAGGCGATCCACTGCCCCGCCATCGGTGGCTGCTCTCTTAGCCGCGAGGCTCCCTCACTAAGGAACTCCCTCACCAAGCAACTCCGCTCGGTCTTCTCTCTGCAGCCATTTCTCTCCTCAAATCCTCCCTCTTCGGCCGTGCTTTCGGGCTCGCTCAATTGCTTCCTTTTGTATGTATGTTGAACTTCTTTCGCACCCTACGTAGCCAAACCGCCACATACGTCTTGATCCCTCCAATCCTTCACACGTTATGCAATTCTGCGCCCTGAGACGCTTTGTTACGTTGCGTGCACGTTTGTTGGTTCTTGTTGCGTCAACAATAGTGCGTTCGTGCGGGTATCCCCGACAGGTGATCGTGAACGGCTGCGAGTACCAGCCCACCACGGCGAGCCCCAACAAAAAGCACGCCAAAGCGATGGCGGCCACCGTGGTGCTGCAATCCATGGGGCTCGTCCCGCGAAACAAGCCTGGGAGCTAGACGCTTCACGGCCACGCACACCACGACGCGCACACCACCACCCGCACACCGCCACCCGCACACCACCAGCACACCACCACCCGCACACCACCACCCGCACACCACCACCCGCACAACACCACCCGCACACCGCCACCAGCACACCACCACCCGCACACCACCACCCGCACACCGCCACCCGCACACCACCACCCGCACACCACCACCCGCACAACACCACCCGCACACCGCCACCAGCACACCACCACCCGCACACCACCACCAGCACACCGCCACCCGCACACCGCCACCCGCACACCGCCACCCGCACACCGCCACCCGCACACCGCCACCCGCACACCGCCACCCGCACACCGCCACCCGCACCCCACCCGCACACCGCCACCCGCACTCGCACGGGGAGGGCGGCCCGCGACGCCTCCTGCATTCACGCCGTCGATGCCATTTTACTTCAGCCCTCGTTTCGGTTTTGTTATTCTAGCGCAGGGGTCGGCTATTTCAAGAGCCGCAGTGCACGTGAATGCGAGGCGGTGGTGGTCCTTAATGACGTCACGAAGCAGTCCTTGAAGAGCCGTCGCATGCGGAGCCGCAGGTTGCCGACCCCCGTTCTAGCAGCAGGGAATGATGACGGTGAAAACTGTGAACGTGAACCTCGTTTTTTGGGGGGTGGGGAAAGAAAAACAACGCCATGGTGTTAATATTGTTGTGTTCAGTGTTTTTGTATTTACTAAAATCATTACCACATTGTGGGTGATTCATCGAAGCCTTCGTAAAGGGGAGCGTGGCAGTCGGCTCAAGTCTGCCGATTTTTTTAGTGGGTTTGAGGTAATGGGTAACCACGTTGTGGGAAGTTTACAATGCAATGGTTAGTCAACGGAGAAAATGGCTTCCACCTTAAAAATGTGGAATTTTCACCACTGGCTCAGTTCCAGCAATGGACCCGAGCACCACACGGCACTCTTGTTGAGTAAGTAGATTGCTTGGACTCGGTTTGTTAATTCGCAGAGCGACAATGTTTCGTCAAGTTGTAACACGCGTTGTTTCACTCCGTGGTATGCATTGGATGCCCAGTATTCGTGCCTGCACTTGCTCACACTCAGCCTTGCGTCTCCCTGCCTTGATACTGGCAGCAAATGAGCCAGGGGGGAGGGGGAGGTTGTACTTCACTTGATCTGTACTGCAAGTAATAACGGTGGCTGCCTGTAGCACAGGAAACAAGACGTTGTAATCGCGTGTCTTTCGGTGGGTCCACACCGAAGCGATGAGTTGAGCAACTTGTTTGCATGCAAGTGCATTGTTTTATACACAGATGTCTGAAACCACTTGCAAACAGTTGTGCAACGGCTTGCTCGCAGCAAAGACGGGACTCGTGAAATCGGTTTGCTCAGCGACTTGGTAGCGGCGTGTTTCATAACTTGCACAATTGCAAACCACCACTGTCTGTCACAATCCTGACCTGTGCGGGCGGCGAAGCGATACTGGAAAGGACATTGCCGGGCACTTTAGCCACCACGCGCCCAAGATGTATAAATCTAGATTAGATGTAGAGTTGTTTGGCAACTACTCTGCTCGGATGTGGACACGAATTCAAGAGCGGATTTGGTTGTGTAACTGATCGATCGCTCGGGTGTGAACCCGCTTTGATGTTGACGTCATGTTTATGATTACGCTTTTTGAGAGTGAGCGGATCGCAGAAGCGGCGTAATCGCTTGAACCACTCGTCGCTCACCGGTTCTGACTGTAGCCCCATGTGGCTGTCGAGTCGCGTGTGACCGCGTAGTCTCATTCTCGATTTTGCGGGATCCAGAATGGGACTACACAGTCACATGAAGAACCCACGTAATAAGTCCAGAAACAAGCCACAAATAATGGCGTATGACTCCTGAACACGTAAGAATGTGTGTAGAACTGTGTTCGCACCGTACGTAGCCAACCGTGCTAATTGGAGGAACTCGTGAATGGGGCTGTCAGCAACTCCGACAGACAACCATCTTTGGTCTTTCGGTAAAGCCACGAAGGAAAAATATTTTTGTTTACTACAAAAAGTCTCGCCGAGTTTCATGACTTTTTGTAGGGGGGGGGGGATTTGGGGAATTGCCCCGTAAATTTAAATCGAGTCGTTTGTGGGAAATATTTAAAATGTGGATCGTGGCGCCGGCACGCAATGGCCGATTCGTGCAAATCACGTCACGTGATCTCTTTTTGTGACGTCCACTGTTAAGGAGACGGCGCGCTTGTTGTGCTGAACACGCTGGCAGTATGAATGAGGGCCGCCGGCTGGACTCGAACCGTGAAACCTCTGCAACAAGGCCAGACCGTGTCACCACATTCGATTCGCTTGAGTGCATGCTCCTCGTGCCTTAGCACGACGGCGTGGGTAACTATTGTCGCGATTACATCGATTTTTGTTTTGTTTTAAAGATCCAGCTTTGGAGACGTAAGATGTGCCAGGCTAACCACAGACTGTAAAAGGATCAGATTGTAAAAAAAAATCAACATTTCCTTTTGATAATTTACGTTCACTGTGGCTGGTGTCTAACAGATGCTCAATGCAAGGACATCATGTGACCATTTACCATTATTGCGTTGGATGTTCAGTGTTTGGTTCCTTCTGATGGCCCGTCAGGTCTGAACCCAAATAAAATGTTATTTTTAAATATCCCTGAACAACATTTTTAAACGGGCACAATTTATCGTGACGGGTTATAGAGGAAACCTTTTCATGTTTATAAGCTTATTAGACTGATCAGTTTGTGACGTAAGTAAAAAATATAACTTATGCTTCAGAAAGTGTATTTATTTGTATTGCTTTTTACTGATGGAACACAACTGTAAATATTAAAAACAATCAAACTTATAACTCTGTTATACAAACATGCACTCATTGTATTAAATATACAGTACTATCTGTACTACCCGGCTTCGCCCGGAACTTGGATTCACCACACCTGGCCGCCTTTGTCTCCCCAGTGGCGATGTTCACACACCACAGCAGTTACTCGTTTGAGGCTGAGTCGACCTAGGGGAGGCCCAGGGCCGGTTAAAATAATCGTCACCGGTGGTGGCCATGAGCGGGAATCGAACTCGGGTGGCCGGGTTCGTAGCGCAGCGTAGCGCTAACCACTACACTACAATGCGTTACCCCTCCACATGTGCGGGTCACGTGACAGATATAACGTCACAGCTCACTTGCCGTGCAAAAAATATATGCATTATTGACTGGTGTATAGTCTGGAAAGTAGCCACATGGCAAATTTTTAAGTTTGTTGCATGTCGGGAAGTACGCTAAACATTTTGAACAGACACATTCACAACTTTGCCTTTTATATATATGGAGATGTAGGGTACATGAGAGTATATTCTATCCTTGCATATGGCAATCTGTTCAGGAGCTAAATGCCAACGTTGAGGTCTGCCAGCAGTGAAAGGGCTTCAGGAGAGAGTTTGTGTAGTTTTGCTGCTCCTCCTCCTCCGCTGGAAGAGCGCAGACTCCAGTGGGTTTACGGCTTGGTCCACAGTTTGGGTTGCGTGGCCACAGCCGCACTGCTGTGGCTTGTCTTCAATCTTCCATTCATGAAGGAGTTGTGTGCATCGGCCTGTTGATGTTGTGATGCGGTTGATGGTTCCGCCAGTGTCTTCGAGGAATGCCAGACCAGGCGGTGCGCGATGTTTGGGTCTCGAATGAGGTGTTTATCCTGGACGCGTCCGCCTTGCTGTTCCACTCTGTTCGTGAGCGTTCTTCCGGATCTGGGTGAGATCCTAGAATGGTGGCAGCAGCAGCACGATCCCAGAAGGGGGGGGGGGGGAACTTGAGATGGCGGCGAGGTTCATTGTTGGAGGTGTTGATTGATGGGTAGTTGAGATGATAAGCACTTATGTTGATCTTCTTTCTCACAGTAGTAGCCAACCGTGCTAATTGGAAGCGCGGAAGGCCATAAAACTACATACAAAAAGCAGTTCTAAATCCATAATGTAGGTTTTTGGGGTTATATCGTGTAAATGTGTTGTTAAACCCGGCACAGCTAATTAGTAACCGTAGCTCAGTCAGCCACCCCGCAAGGCCTAGCGCTGGGTAACAAGAGACGTGCGCTGCTGGCCGCAGCTCAATTCCTCCACTCGCCACGGTCGATGCGCCCCAGTTGGCGAGGATAAGTGTGTACGCCCGTGCACCCTTCAAATGGCCCATTGGCGGCTGTACAAGGGCACGTGGCATGCATGGCGTGGGCCTGACCATTCAATTTTTTTTCAACATTTTACCAGGTAAGGGCCACTGAGCTATATCACTCTTTGTCAGAAGCCACCCGGCCACATATTAAAGCTCAACCAAGTGGTGCATCACGTGGGTATATATTACAGCTAAATACTCTGAAGCTTGTTTCGCACCGTACGTCACCAACCTTGCTCATCGGAGGTGCTAAAGTGGATTGTCTCAAGTGTCCCTCTGGATAATTCTCAGCATTAATACTCTCCATGATTCTTTACATACTTTTCAACTTTTGTTCAATGTTCTTTGTCAGAATTCTCCTTTTCAATCCATTTAATGTGGAAAAAAAATCCATATTTTGACAAATCTTACAAACATTTCTCAGTAAAAAAGTATAATCAAAGTTTAATACTTCCAATAGTTTAAAACTTTAAAATAGGTTTGGCCGACAAATATTACACTGTAAAAAAACGCACATATTTCACTTGGATAACAGCAAGAACATGTTTGTACAAGATGATGTTATATAACTGGCGCTGTTTACGAGGCATGTAATTTCACATCCATTGAACGATGAAAACGTTCTTACACTCACGATACGCATCGCGCATGAAATCGTGCGTTTAAGAATCAATAAAATTTGTATACTTTTTATGTCATTGGTTTATGAGAGATCCTATAAGGACCATAATGGCAAAAGAATTGATACCAAACTGTAATAAGTCATCAAATCATGAAGGGGGAGAATGGCACGTGGTTACTGCGCAGTTGCCACGTTTCCATGACCGCTGGGAAAAGAGCCAGACTGGTTCACAGACCGGGAAAGTGGGATCGACCCATATGTAGCCAGCACATCGCATGTTTCCTAACTGGGCTGGACAGTTCCAACTCATAACAGGGTTGCACAATTTGATCCGGGCCACCCTTGGAAACAATAGTGATGGGGTAATAGGATGAGTGTCCAATGGCGTACCTGAGTTAAAAATGGCAGAAAATGACATAATGGTTTTCAGCTTGGGATAGTAAAACCTAACCAAGCTTACAGTAATTTAAGTGAAAACAAAATTTTAATCTGTCCTCTCTTGCTTCGGGCAGGAGGGGGACGAGTGCATGAAGCCACTCGGCTCTTGAGTCACCGGGAACAAGACCCATGCTGTGCTGGAATGGCCCAGAAGCGTCACTATGGCGACAAGCCAATTTTACAGTGGTCGTGGAAATGCGGCATGTGTGTACCGCAATGTATAATGTGTTAGCCCTGCAGGTCGTTTTAAACTCTGTGCATTTCTCTCAAAGCAATGCTCGAGTGTTAGATTTGTTAGAACTTCTATACTATTATGTGTTGTCTGTGTGAGACGGTTACCTGTTAACTCAGTTTACCAATAACTCCTGGGTCTTTCCTGTAAACTGCCAGCGAGCCTTCGACACTTCACGTGGCTTCAAATTGCATGTAGCCAGCACAAGAGATGTGGTCACATCATCGTCACTCGTGGCTAAAGGCAGCTGTTGTCATTTTATTGTGCTCGTGAGGTGATCAATTACACCAATCTACTAACGTCAGCGGCTGTGCCGTAACATCTTTTCATTGAGCCTTTGCCACAGCACGTAGCCTTAAACTGCGCTTAACCTGGCAAAGCACCGACGCGATGTCACTGCCACCCAGTGCTACGTGGCAGCAAATGTCGGTGCAATCTGCTACCTGTAGTCGGGCTATTCAGCCTGTACAACAGCCTGCATTGCAGCCATGAGGAAGGGAACCATCCCACATGGTATATATATATATATCTGTAACGCCTTTGCCAGCGGGGCGCTCAGAGCTTCCAAGTGTAGGTGTGATGTTCTGCACTGAATTCCCGGACAGCTCGCTTGCCCAGGCAGGGCGGAATCTGCAGCTGGGAGCAGGTGGCGGGCAGCAGATTGAAGCCCGACAAGTCACACTCTGCTCCAGCCTGCAAGGCAAGGCACACCGGGTTAGAATGCATCCGTAAAGTAGGATATCTATTATTAAAAAAACCTCAATTATGGATCTGTAAAGTAGTCCACCACAGCCAACAATACATCCACCATGCATAGGGAGCTTGCTAACGGACCCCAAAGCTCTCCTCCTGTGCCTTTTATCTTCCACTGCCCCTCATTCTAGCAACTTCCGCGGGCCGTTGAACTTTCAAACTTTTCCCACACATTCCCTTCGATCCCACAAGACAATCCTATGCTCTCTGGCCGATCGGACCATCGAAGTAATTGGCCGCTTCGCGCACCCAATCATAGGCAACCCCGCTAAGTGGCCAACCAATTGGAAACTCCCACGACTAATTAAAATGGCTTCGTGTGTACGCTGGCTGTGAGTGACTTGTCATTTAATTATTCATTAGGAGCGCCTTTCGGTGTCCTCTGCACATCTATATGCTGTATACGCAGTGTCGGACAAGGCCATGGTGCAAGGGTTCGCACACTGGACAAACAATCCAACGGTCGTCGGTTTGAACTCCCGGCGCGGCAGCCAAAACGACGGTGCACGTTTCCAGCACGTGTCGCGGCACATCGGACATCACGCCGATCAACGTGCGGCACAACCCAACCACACATCGGAGAGCTACACGGACGGGGATTTGCGATCGCTCTGGCGGTCGGGCCGGGTGGGGCGGTCACCTGGCTGGGAGCCGACGACGGCGACGGCTGCGCAAGGGCGGAGTTAAAGGCGGCGCTGGGCTCGTGCGTCGATATGGTGGCGCAGAAGTCACCGCCCTGAGCGGCCCCCAGCAGCGTGGACACCTCGTGCAGGCAGTGCGGGAGGATGGGCCCCGCCAGCTCCAGGCTGTAGCGCTCGCGCAGGCCCGTGCCGTGCTGCGTGCGCACCACACCGCTCCGGCTCTGTGGGCGGAACGGCGGCGTGAATCGCTTTGACGCACTCGCCCAAACCAACGCGGACACTCCTGTTGTGGCTAGATGGCCGCAGCTATGTGTGTGTGCAGTAAAACGGTTGAATTTGTAGTGTGTGTGTGTGTGTTCCAATGGAAAAGACAGGGCTATAGGTAACCGAAATGGAGGGTTGGTAGGGAACCTATGGGAGAGAATGTGGGGGATGGAGCACGTGGGTGGGACCACAGATGCGGAATTGGCGTTATTAAGAGAAGGACATTGAGGGAGAACTGTGAAATGACGCTCACACAAAGCCACAAGCTGTTCCTCATTATGAAATGAAAATGTGTAGTCAAGAAAGGAGGGGTCACCCAGATAAAACAAAAACACAGATGATGTGAAACGAATGTAAATTAGGCTCTGTGTGTTTTTAGTGTATAGTCGTGTTTGGATGTACCAACCCTGAGCGTGTGCAGTGCTGCCCCGCGGAATGGCAGAGGTGCAAGCAGCGTTGGGGGCAGCCCGGTCTGGACACCCGAGCCGTTCACGACCGCCCGGCTGCCCAGCAGGAAGTTGAAGAGGCCAAAAGCATCGGGGCCGCGTGCGAGCACAAGAGACTCGGCCTTGTGGTCCAGGCGGGCGATGCCCTCACTGCGCTGCCTGTGACGCCTCTTGTAAAGGGTTCTCAGAGAGCAGTGGAACTGAGGACGAGCTGCTTGGTGGTGACACACGACACAGCTGTGTTCAGAGATCGGGCCCAATGGCATAAACCATAGTGTTGTTTAATGATATCATACCGTAAACTATCGCAGCATTGCCTCAACCTCGATCACGAGCTCCCATTCCACCGCCCTCTCAATTCCTCTACTTGTAAAATTGTGGCACCAATTAATTGTCCAAAGTGCAGCACTGCATTTGTTTGCTTACACCACTGCTAGAGGAAGACTACCTTACAAGCTCTCGAGCCCTTCCAGAGGGTATTTTTGGCCTCTTAACTTCCACACTGACCAGATATTTTGGAAGGAGTCAAAGTATTTGCCCTTTATCCCACTGCGTATGACCTGTCGATTGACTGAGGTGTACCCATTTATACTGAGACTGAATCAGCGATCTCTGGATTTCAAAGTCCAGTGTGCTAACCATTACACCACCGCGGCATGCGATGCCTACAGCTCAAGGATACAGCTTTATTTGTGCCGGGTCGAGCTTGGGGAATTTTTCGTTGATGCCGATCTCCTTCAGCCACTCGGCACCTCCCATCAGCTGCTCGTCCTCTTCGCTCTGCTCCTCCCTGCACACGTGACGGTCACACATCATGAGCATCAACATCACTTGGCCCTCTTATATGTCCTGCAAAGGGTGTTCATTGGAACCAATATATTCAATTCTCAGAGCTGGAACATAGCCAAATCAAGTGACATTTTTTAAATCATTGGTGACCAGGCTGAGACCATCAACTTACTATGCTCCAGAACCCCATTTAATGACAGATAGGCAAGACCCAGATTTGACAACCAGGATCTCAGCAATGCTGGCTCGGTGCTCCGACACAGAAATAACTCCCTGTGCTGCCAGTTTTCGGTCATTTTTTATTTACATTTCAAAAAGGAAACCAGAATGACATGTTCGCTCATGTTGGTCCACACATGCAAATGCAATTCACCAGCTACCAAAAATTAGTTCAAGCTCACTTGCAAGTTTCCTCGCCATCATCTCCCCGTCTCTCTGGCATCTCCTCCACCAGTGGCATGCAGAACTCAATCCCTGCACCCACCGCAAGGCAGGGAACGCAGATACATGGATGAACATTCAAGGAAGCATTGTCATAATCATCGCAACTTTGTGGAAAGCCGATATTGCCCTTTCAGTTAACATATTTATTCACTAAATTGCCATCTACAGTTTTTTGTTCTATTTAAAGTGATGTTTACTTTATGGAATATGACCCTAAACCAGGGCTAGAGATAGTCAACCGGGTAGTGTATAAATAAGCAGTTACGTATTTTGTTCAACTGCACATAGAGAACAATGTGCCTGGACAGAAATAAAACATCTGAAATGCTCCCGTTTTCAACTTTTTGGCTGGCAGCTAAAGCATGACATGACAATGATCAAGATGTCATCATGACCAAAGCCATCAATGTCCCCACACCTCGCCACCGCTTTCTACACAGCAGCAACTCGACCTCCGCGATGTGGCCCAACAGTATCCCACCATCTGATCTCAGGTCTCCTGATTGGTTACCGGACTCTCATCACCGACCTACAAGTGTAAATTCTGCCAGTAGGGGGGTGACGATTACTACGTGTTTGGACGAAGACCCCGGCACGCAACGGCCTACGACCCTTTTGGAATGAGGACGCCGATGGAACGGTGACCGCACCTTCTCTCTTCATGGCCTCGCGGAGGCCCCGGGTGGTGGGGGCCATGGCGGCGGTGACCACGTCGCTCCCCGCCAGCCCGGCGGCGCGGAACAGCACCGAGAATTGTGCGGCGCAAACGTAGAAGAACGGGCAGAGGCCGGAGCGCAGCTGCGTGTACAGGGAGCTGAGGCTGCGGGACCTGCAACAACACAAACAACAACAATGACGCTGCGGTGCAAGCCACCACAACTTATCTTTACAATCTCTCATGTGTTTTTGAGTTGCACCGCGGGTTGTCCAGCACGTCGAGCAATACACGGCACAACCCGAAATCCGGAGCGATACGACGCAACATTGAAGACCATCAAGGGTAGTACAGATCCCATTTGTTTCGATGTAGATGCAGACCCAATGGCTCAATGGGCCACAGAAAAAATGTAAAAGTACACTTCGTACAAACCATTGATGTATGCAGGCCGCATGCCCTGCAGATAGTGGGGGTTATTTGACTATACTTCACCATGCTGGTCAGTGTGCAGGTTTGACTGGTTCAGATATCACTTACCACTCAAATATGTCCGTGATAGAAATTATTTTGTACTATGGTGGGGACACTATGGGACTCATATTTTATTGAGCGCTGAAAGAGGATAGCCCTGACCTGCTCCACGATACAATCTGTGAATTGTGCGTTTGAGCCAAGGAACAATCCATTTGAGTTCCAAAGAAAAAGATGCTCCGTGTAGCCTGAACAGACTGTAGGGCCAAGTGCTGTCAACGAGCACCAATGAAGGCCAGCACGGTAGTACCGTGGCCAGCCACCTTTGTCTCCCCAGTGACGATGTTTACATACCGCACCAGGTACTCAATTGAGGCGGAGTAAACCTAGGGGAGGCCTAAGACCGGTTCAGATAATCGAAACTGGTGTTGGCTGTGAGCGGTAATCAAACTTAGGTGGCTGAATTCGTAGTGCTGCGCGCTAATCACTACACTACCGCTCCCCACACACACACTTCAGCATGTCTGTCCGCACCATGACTAATCCATCAGGGCTACGGACACTGATATCGGCACAAGGATGCGGCTGGACACACATGGAGGGGGGGCAGTGCGGAGTTGGGAGATCAAAAGAGGACAAAGTAACTGAGGGCGCACGCACCACTCGGACAGCAGCACGGACTGCAATCCCGTATCGCTGGCCCAAGGCGCGCTCTTCCCGGCCATGTAACGATCGCCGCCCATCCTGGGGAACGTGGGCAGCCAAGGGAAGGACGGCCACACCCAGTGCGTGGTGCTGCGCAGGAAAGCGCTGCGTAGTGCGCTGTTCCTTGCTGGATCCTGCGTTGTGGTAGACAAGAGAGATGAGGCATTTCAACTCCCCCGCGTAACTTCAGGTTGATGTCCGAGGTTTTGTTTTACGTGCTGCAAGTTTTTACACAATTTAATTCTTGATTTCAGTTCCTGAAGAAGCGGCCAGCATGGCGAACTATACTGTGGAATTGTGAAGAGCTACAGAGTAGTAAGGCATCTCAACACCTAAGGAGTTCCTACATCCATCTGCGCAACATCTTCCATGACCGCCATTTCATGACCCCCACTGCCAATGAGACACTAATCCATGCCTTCACCACATCTCAGCTCATATAATGAAACTCCGCTCTCTATAGCCTCGTAAACCACTCATCACCCCACTGCATTTGATCCAAAATTCCACTTCCAGACCTCTCCCCAACACCTGTAAACGTGAACACGTACCCAATATTCTGATCACTCCACTGCTTTCCAATCCAATCCAGGATCACATTCAAAGATTGCAGTCTCAAGAACCTCCATTAACTTGCCTCTGCCTACCTCATCAATTTCTCTTGTTGTTAATGCGGTCTCTCATATACTTGATATTACGTCTCAAGGCACATAAGCATATGCGTTTCATAACATTAGCATAACACGTAAGTAATAAATTCGTACAAATATGGTTTAATGCAATTTATCAGGAGCACCAGCACTACCTGTGCATTTTACTGGGCATGTCCTCTGAAAGAGAAAATTATTTGGTTTGAGGCACTTTTTCCTCAAACTTACCCTTTGGGATATCTAGAGCATCACAGATGGATGGACACATCCCAATTATATAGACAGGAGTTTGAAATGTCTGGTTACATTTTGGCAACATATTCCTTTTATTGTTAACTTTGTTAAAACCAAAAAGCGTGAGTTATCTTCAACACAACATACCATTAGCATTTAAAAAAACCTGAGACTCTCTCAAACCTCGATACAATGCCACTTTCCAACACTCAGGCAGACACGTGGAGGTTTAGAGGGATGAAACTTGAGATAAAATATGAATTATACCAAGTGCGTGTGCAGATTTATCGGCCCTCCTCAAACGTCTCAAACTGTAATAATGGATGGTTATTTAAAATGTTTCCACTCTTTGTCAATCCACTGCTGGACAGATGCCTCCACAAGTCGTGTCGGTCATGGGGTTGTTTGAGCATACTTCACCTAGCCGGGCGGGTGGAGCACTCGGGACTGGTTCAGATATCACTCGCCGTGGCTGAATATTGAACTCAGGTCACCGGGTTCATAGCACCACGCTAACCACCGCAGCGCCACCCTGATCGATGATACCTTTACATACAAGCTGTGCGCAATTACCAGTCACCTGTATGTGTTGTGGGAGTTGGGCGGCCGGGCTGGGCTGGTGAAAAGCCAAGCCTTGGGCCTCCTCAACGGCCTTGAAGTGCTCCACCCAGGAGAAAGGCAGGCTCGAGGTGAACAGAATCCTCGTCTTGACGCTCCAGTCCGGTGGCAAACGCTCTCCCGACTCGCACCCACGGGTCTGCTCTGCCTGCTCGAACAAAGGACACGTCGTCAACTTACAATTAACGAAGGAAAAAAAGAGCCATGTATATGGATGGATTCTGTAACGTTTAACACACGACAACGTTGCGCCAAGCCTAATTACAGCACGCCATCAGGAAGCGTGGTCCTTGGCTGCCAGGGAGAATACTTTTACCACTTTTTTTACATCCCAAGGTTTGGGAAATCGTTCAATCAATTTGGCAATTAAATTCCTGCATTTCGGACAGACGGACGGCGTTAATTCATCAACTTTTTCAACCTTATTTGGAGAGAATAAAGATTGGCGTTTGCGTAATCTATAGTTATGTATGTTAACGCAGACCCATTGCCCAACTACGTCGGTTTTGAAAAGACCATTTCTACTTCATTAATGATTTTCTGTACCTCGTCCTGTTCAACTTGTGATGTTGCATCCCCTTGCTCCAGCGGGGATCCATCTCCAGGCTTAGCCTTCTGAAATAAAACAGCACAAGGATTGATTCAGAAATATGCTCTCATTTGTACACGGAAGCAGTCATACAAAGACACAAAATACGTATCACCTTCACAGAAAACCTAAAACGGTATTTACTTACTGAATACTCCCATATACATGTTATTCTAGAAAGCGCAGTCATAAAACAGCAGGACGATCGTCAGAACATCTACAACAACAACGATAAGATATTATTGTGCCCAACACATCACCCACTTCTCCGCAAACAATGCCACGTCAAACCTGCTGCTGTTGCTGTCCAGCGCCGAGCCCTTTCAGAACGTCCAAGAGCCTTTCTCCTCCAGCCGGCCTCGACGACGCGGGGGTTCCACGCGGTGCTGCACACTGCACGTCCCCACCACGAGTCGCCCCCGTGTCGTCGTCCCCCCTACTCGGTTCCTTACAAAGGTCCTCACAAAGATCCTCGTCCCCAGTGACCCCACCGCCAGCACCGGCCAGGCTAGCCCGCTTGTTTGCCGGCTCCAAGCCCCGGCCGAGCGCGTTGTTGTTGAGGCTGGCGAAGGGATTCCGTCTCTTCGCGGACGGAGCGGCCGGGCTGCGCGACGAAGCGGGGACCGACGAGGAGGCGTCTGGAGAGCCACTGGACGAGAGACTTTGTCTGAAGCCCGCTCCACTCAGTCTCCGCTTTAACTTCAGGGTGCCGGGGGGTCTCTTAAAGCTGGGGGAGTAGGCGACGTTTTCTTCCATAACTCTGCGCGAAGCGGCGATCAAATGAATCGATGAGACTAAGGTTGATTATCAAATCTTTATTTAGACTGTGGGAATCCGATGAGCTATGAAGCGCTTTTTTTTCTACAGATGCCCCGTATAGGCGGGTCAGTAATCAGACGAAGGTCAAGTCCATGACACATGCAGGGGGATTCGCGTGGCGTGGGACCACAGCAGATTAGTTCTGTTTGACGAGAATTGCAATTAGGGAACGAATGTTTACGTTGTGGTGCCAGTGGGCAGCACGAGACTAGCAGCACAGAAAACACAGTCGGAAGGAGACAGCGAATAGGAAAGGGCAGTACAAACGAGACGGTTACACAAGAAAAGCACAGGACAAAGTAGCGTCGTTTTATAGACCCAGTTACAAACGAGGCAGCCAATGCCAAGGGGTGACCGTACAGATGTCACCAACAGTACAAACGAGACCGACAATTAAAACGAGGCAGTACACGCGATACCAACAATGCAGACAATGAGGCAGTACAGACAGGCGGGAGCTATGGACAAGGCGACAGTACAGACGGGACAATATTTAATAGACGGTGCAGGTGAGGCAACAAGAGACAGTTCAGAGTGGGCAGTACAGATACGACAGACGGCGCCGAGGAGACGGTAGAGAGGAGGGTGCCCCGGGTCGAGGCCAGGCGAGCGGAGGCACAAGATGAGCACCCAAACGTTGAACCCCGAGGGCCGCTTTCCCGCGTAATTTCCGTGACCTCTGACTCCGTGACGTAGCGACGAGGTCATTTAAATTTGTAACAAAACGACTCTAAATGTTATTTTTTTTAATTACTCGTTTTAGTAGTACGATTTTAATGGCGATCGACTTCGCGTTGTAATGTGTTTACTAATTTTTTTAACACTATTTGTTTAACTTTATTTTTTTTCCCCCCACGCCCCCTGCCGAGTGTTCCAGTGCGTGTGGCGGTCGTGTGGTCGCCTAGTCGAGTTGCATATCGCGATTATTCACCCATTTACTCATAAACTTATAGATTCCCGACGGGTGCAGAGTTAAACAACAGCAGCCATGCCTCGCATTATGATTAAAGGTGGCGTTTGGAGAAACACCGAGGTAAAACTTTTATGTTTTTATTCGCCTTCTTTACCCCGCGGCCTAGCAAGCAGCAACTAGTCCCAACGCGCAGCCAGTAGCATTAACACGTTTACAAATAAAACAGTTTTAAATTATAGTTTAAACTCATTCTCGTTATATCATTCACACTTATTAACAGTCGTCATGTGGCCGCCACTATGGATGGTCTTAATGTTGAATATGGATAAGGCCTTCATCTAGCAGTGGATTGATCGGGGCTAATAATGATGATGGATAGGATGCGTTGTGTGTATTGTGCTCGGAATAGGAATGTGGAATTTCTGCCACTGGATCAGGGCTGTCAACAGAGATAAGCGTGGCCCCACGTTTAACTTGTGTCTCCTGCTGTATAATTATGTAGTTAATTGCACACTTACAATGCTACGTACAGCATATATGAAAAGCACTGAATAAAATTTTACTAAATTTATGTAATAATCTGTTCTGACAATGTCAGTTCGTGGATCGGAGATCGCCATGCATATAACGAGTTGTTTTAGGCAATGGTGTTACGTGGTGGGCAGTAGAGCACAATAACATTGTTGTACTGTGCTGTTCTACGCTTCCATGCCTATGCTCTCCACGTCGACCAACCCGCAATAACCAGTGTGGTGAAGTGCGGTCACATAAGCCTCACGGCGCAAACGGCGTGGATAGGCCCTCATCCAACATTGGTTTGATGAAAGGGCTTTACATGTGTGCAGATATTATTGACATTGCAGCTCCTTTGGTGAAGATGCAGTGCTTAAACACAGCTGTGAGTTAATATCCAGCCCGATTGTCATGAATTGTATCATCAAGACAGAATCAGAATCTTTATTTAGACTGGGGGAATCCGACGTATGGTTATCAATTGTTCTCTCTCGCAAGAACATGACAGCCAGACTACCGTTGAAGTACCCACACGAGCCTAGGTAATTTCTTTAGTTCACATTGGGTATCAACGTTTTTGAGAACTGAGGATGTAATTATGGGGCACACATTCTATAAAGTTGTGTGGGAGCCAGAAAGGTAACGTTTTTGCCCTTTACTCGTGCTGTTATGACTTGGAACAATGCGCATAGTTTTCCTCTGTGATTATTGTTGACAGATTATGGCTTTCCGTATCGAAACTACATACTGCTGCTGATTTTCTTAACTTATGTTAACATAAACACTGCTGTCCATGATCAACAAAATTGCTGTGTTATTCCGTTGCAGGATGAAATCCTCAAAGCGGCTGTTATGAAATATGGGAAAAACCAATGGTCACGAATTGCATCCCTGCTGCATCGAAAATCAGCCAAGCAGTGCAAGGCACGATGGTGAGCTGCCTTCTTTCATTCCGTTTGTGGACTGAGAAGGCTTTTTTTTACTTTCAGTGGTTGCAGTCCAGGGATAATCCTTGTTTATCCCTTCCTTCTGTTACCTTTACACCTCGTTTTCTGCATGTTTAACATTACTGAACTTGTGTTGAGCTGTTAAAATTAGGCTTGTGATAAAAAAAAAAATTCGCACCCTTTTGCCAGTCTACTCCCCAAGGCCTCTCCACACCAGGTTTTTTCCTACTCACATTTAAATAACTTTAATCATTTGAACCACAAATCGATTATGTATGTGTCACTGGTGAACATATATTGATTGCAGGGTTTTAATGAACCAATTGCATACAACAAATATGATTCAAAATGTATTCGTTGATACACACAATGAATTGATGCATATATCGTGAGCATACACATTTGAGTTGAATCCATTAATCGATACATCCCAACAATAATACACATCATAATCTGACTTGAGCACGTAGACCGGTTTGACCTTTCTCACATGCTGATCTTTGTGTGTCTCTTTGCTCCTCGTGCAGGTTCGAGTGGCTGGACCCCAGCATCAAGAAGACAGAGTGGTCGAGAGAGGAGGAAGAGAAGCTCCTGCATTTGGCAAAGCTCATGCCGACACAGTGGCGAACCATCGCACCCATCGTGGGCCGGACTGCTGCACAGTGCTTGGAGCACTACGAGTACCTCCTGTAAGCATTGCAGTATGAGCCAGCCCTCGAAGGCACTGCCCCAACCTCTGTGTGACCATAACAATCACCTTGTCTGCATGATTGTGTATGCGTGTGTACTTGCGGCCTAGTGGTAGTGGCACCGCTGCGTCGCCACTGTAGCACAGTGTGGATCACAAATCGTGCATCTACCAGTCATCAGTTAACCCTTCACACTTGAGTCTTTCCCGTGACTTATCAGTGAGCCTTCGACAGAGCATTTGGACCCGAAGTGCACCTAGCCTGGCATAAGTGTTTAGTGATGTCACTTCGTGGCAAATCTCGGCTTTTGTTAGTGTAGTGATAAGGTATATAAACTCGGAAACCTGAGATTTTCACCTTAGCAATCATCAGTGACGAGTAATATAAGAACTGGTCCTGGGCCTCCTCTAGGTCGACTCAGCCTTGAATGAGTACCTAGCGAAGTCTAAATATCACCACTGGCCACACCACCCTCTCCTGCGCCATGCCGGACTTAATAGGTGCTCACTAACAGCACTACTCAATTTGTAGGCTCATGGAAAAATCTCTGTCTTTGTGCATGTGTGTGTGAACTGCACAGGGACAAGGCAGCACAGAAAGACAATGAGGAGGAGCAAGGAGATGACCCTCGTAAGCTGAAGCCTGGAGAGATTGACCCAAATCCAGAGACCAAACCTGCACGACCTGACCCAGTGGACATGGATGAAGGTGAGGACCACAACTCATTGTCCACCCATAGCTTAATGCAAAACTATATGCCTCACTGACATGTGGTGAAGTCTTAATATACGACCTTTCATGACAGGTCCGGTAAAGTCATGGATGTTGAAAAGAATGATAGTTATATAGGTGTGGGACTTGAGTTTAGTGAGTTTAGTTGACTGCCAAAATTGTTCAGGTACTTTGATGGGTGTAAGGCTTATTCGTTCATTTATTTCGGAATCCGCTTGTCCTGGTGAGAGTCACGGCGGCAGCATTTTGAGTAGGGCTGTCCAGGCCTCCCTTTTCCTGGCGACAGACTCTAGCGCTTCCTGGGGAATTCCCAGGCGTTCCCAGGCCAGCTGAGCGACATAGTCCCGCCAGAGTGTCCTGGCCCGGCCCTGGGGTCTTCTCCTAGTTCATTAAAACCTATTAATTTCATTATCTTATTCAATTTTGTGGACATGGAAGTTTTTATGAAAGAGACTCCTGGTCTCAATGGGCCATTCCCTGTTCTTCAATAAAAGTAATCTTCTATATTTTTTAACAATAATGAAAGTAATTGTTTGCAAAAGCTATTTTATGCAAAAGCAGTAATAAACTAAATGTGGAGCTTTCGTGACTGCATATCTAACTTTTTGGTTCTTTCGGTAAAGTCACGTAAAAATGAAGTAATTATTTAATTTATTTTCTTTCTACGGGACTTTACTGAAAGAACCAAAAAGTAAAAGCAGTAATGTTTTTTTTCTTAGAATTACAGGAGCTCTATGCTTAGCTTTTACAATTTTAAAATGAAGTGTTCATTGAGTTATTCGAGCAGTTATTCAAATATATAAGAAGTCCACTTGGGCAGGACACGATGCTAGAAGGGATGATTGTCAAAGTCGAGACTAATAACAAGAGTCACACCCAAGAGGGCATCTATTGTCAAGATGGAGAAATTAAATCGGCTCTTGTGCAGGTGCTTGGTGGATTGTTACATCACAGGACCGTGAGAAATGGCGATGCCTTGGGGGAGGCTCATGACAATGATGACCTTAAATTAACCAGCCTTGACAAAAAGTACTGTTGGTAGCCTGCTACATTTTGTGCAATAAAAGTTGAAGAATTTGCTAATGCTGTTTTTCTTGTGCATCACCAGATGAGCTGGAGATGCTGTCAGAGGCGCGTGCCCGTCTTGCCAACACTCAGGGCAAGAAGGCAAAGCGTAAGGCCCGAGAGAAACAGCTTGAGGAGGCCAGGTTTGTGCGAGACGGGTCTTACATGGCAGTAGTTGGCACAGTAGGGGGCACAGGTGGTGCATCTGTTAGTCATCTTAGTCAGTCAACCCATGGCACCTGGGTCTCTCCCGTAACCTCCAGCCAGCGGGCGTTCGACACGTCATGTGACCTTAAAGTGCACATAGCCTGGCACAAGCGCCGTGGTGACGTCACAGCCACTAGTGTCAAATGGCGGTTTTTGTTGTTACATGGCATGATCTGAGGCACACACCCTAGAGGTGGCTTAACTTTCCTTACACTTAACATGCAGCACTTTAATTGAGCATATAGCAGAGGTTAATGAACTAGCCCTAGTCACTATCAAAAGTCACTCAGTTAAAATTTGTTTGGTGGTCCAGTAGTATAATGTTACACATTTTTATTGTGGTGACAACTGTCTTCATAGGATAGCCACTCTGAATTTGACATCATTGAGTAGTACTATAAACAATAAAATGGATAAAATTACAAAACTTGGCATGCTCATGTACCCTTGGTGGGGCTATGATTAATGGGCCGGTGATGGGCTAGTGCTAGAGGCTGATTAGCTGGTTGCTTCGTGTTGGTTAAGTTGTGCTACGCCACCTTACAGTTTTCCTCTCCCCCCCCCATGCTTGACGTTTACTGCATTACCACTTGTGTGTTATTAAATTTGGGTCATATGCAAACATCCATAGAATATTACTAATGGATGTATATTTAGAAGGCACAGTTCAA